TGAAATAGGAACTGCAGGTAGAGACATAAAATCAATTACAGAAAGCTTAAACACTGACCTGGCCAATATTTCAGACTGGATGTCAGCCAAGAAATTAAGTTTGAATAAGAGCAAAACTGAGTACATGATAATTGGTTCTCGCCATAATATTAAAAAGTGTGCTTCCGATTTACTGATTGAAATTGAAAACACGCCTATTAAGCGAGTTAGCACCACCAAATCACTGGGTCTGATGCTCGATGAGACCCTGACTTGGCATTCTCAAGTAGAACTCATTACGAAGAAAGTGAACAGGAGTTTTTATGTTCTGAGACGACTTCGAGAGTTCTCAGACTTGAAAACTCTTGTTACAGCTTATAAAACCTTGGTCCAACCACACTTTGACTATTGCTCACAAATATGGGGATGCCTTGGAATTACGTTGCAAAATAAACTGCAACGCTTACAAAACAGGGCAGTCCGTATCATTACAAAGCGTGGTTATGACTATAGGTCTGTAGACATACTTAATGAACTTGAGATGCCAAATTTGAGTGTTAAAAGAAATAACCAATTATGCACTACAATGTATCAGGTAAAAAATAGCTTAGTTCCTGACTATCTCATTGACCTTTTTACGAAAACAAACGCGGTGCATGACTATCAAACTAGACAGGCTGAGCATAATCTTCTACCACCTAAGCCAAATACAAATTTTGGTAAAAAATCCTTTTCATACAGAGGTGCAGTGGCTTGGAACAATTTAACATCTAATCAAAAAAAACTCTGAATCTATAAAGTGTTTCAAAAGTAACTTGGTAACTAGTAATATGTCTTAGTGTGATAATTGTGATGAACAACTTAATAATTAGTAATATGTGTGATAATTGTAATTTTCATTTCCTCCTATATTCTATTATTTAATACTAGTATATAACTTAATCTTATTTTTAACTATAGACGTAAATGCACGGCCTATTGGAAGATCACTTTTCACTCTTGTAAATATTTCTTTCTTAAACCATTGTGAAATAGTACCGTGGGTAAATTAAAATTAAATTAATAATAATAATAATCGCCTGCCGTATTTACATATTTACTATTGGGAAGAGCGAAAGATAAACTAATATTCGTTTGTTTACAGGTTTTAATAATCCGATGATGAATTCAACGCGATATGGCAACAACTTGAATTTAAAAGTAAATTGATTCCATACGTGATACTTTAATATCGGATATAACTTGTAACATGAAATGTTCAATATTAATCAACCTATAACATTTTCAAAAACCAGTGTATCAGTAAAAACCTGAATCTAATTCAAGTAATTATAATGTATTAATTATTAATATCTCCAATTCACAATATATCATTTATTGTAAATTATTGTAATATAAGAAAAATTATTGACTGGAATCAGACCTTTGATCACCACTGTATACGCATACGCTCTCATTTTATATTTATGTATATACATGTATATGGTTTTATTTCAAAACGTCACACTTCATATCATAGTATAAAAGTTCTAAGGGTAAATCAAGCCCCGTTTACACTACATGCAGTCAATTTATCGGCACGGCACGCGGCTAAAACTGTTACCCGTACCCATATCATCTGTGCCCGACCTTTGTTTTGGTAGCCTGGGCTTCAATTACGATTTTGTGGCACCTCACTCGATGTAGGTAAATTCTAAAGGTCTTATAATTTTAAGTGAAATCATACGCAGTTGAGAAACTATCAACTATCGGTCCTCCGGCATGAATCAAACCTACGCTTATTCGATGCCGGCGAAGTAGTGCTCAGTCTTGCCACAGAGGTACACAGAAAAAACATCCATTTTAGCATTCGATCGCTTTATCCTTATCTACTTTTTTAACAATTTTAAAGGAGGTAACTGATTTAACGCCAGTGTATTTATTTCAAAATAACTAAAGAGTTTATTTATAACTAATAGTCTAAATATTTAGTTCACATTAAAATATTCAACTACAGTCATTTAATCTGTTTAAAAGTTGGCTGTCAGGGGCCGGTTGTATCAAGCCCGTTTAGCTTAAACGGTGGTTCAAAATAGAAAGCAAGTCAATCGTTTTACTCAACAAGCAAACTAAATGTTTTCAACCTTAATACAAAGATATACTGTTTACAACTCGTATTCAATGCATAATATCCAAGTTGACTCATTCAAGGGAGACGAAAGAGCTTTATTTCATTTTGACTTATCCATGAACGTTTAAGCTACACGCGGGCTTGATACAACCGGCCCCAGACCCAGATTAGCTGCAGGAAATCCAGGAATACGTTAGTTATCCCGGCACCGTCATTGCTGCCAGGAAGAAAACTAAAGGCTTCGAAAAACGGTATTGCAATGACAGACTGGAGTAAAGTACGCGTTTAACTCGTAATTTAAAATATAACAATTAAAGCCATTGATTATGGATTTTTCAATACAAAGGCCATTGGGAATGGCAAAACAGTACTGTACAGGGTGTCCCAAAAAAAACGAAAACTATTGAAATCCCCCATAACAATGCTATTGTTATAGTTTGAATGCCTAAGCACTCTGTTGGGCCCACAAGTGTATAAATCGGGGTTGCCATAAGCATTTTTATGCATGCATATGATGCAGTCAAATTTGCTTGTTCGCAAAAATGATATTTATTAACAATATTTACAATTTACAAATATGGATAACATTATTTAAAGTGCATATCAACCAATTTTTTTTATTTCATAAATGGGAAGTATAGGTGGCTAATAATGAGGATTCGTTTTGGTTTTTGATGATTTTATATTTTTTCATGTCTTTTTCTGACCAAATACTGCGAGATTGTGAATGTTGACCGTCAGTTAAAGGATAAGCGGAAAACTGGTACGAGTGACGTAGCGCGAGGAACCCGTGAAAGCTTCGCGTACCAATATACTATTAATACGGTATTGCAAAGACTTGTATATGATACATTTTAACTGATAATACTACATCAACAATGTCTAAAACATCCCCTGACTCTGAAAATGACTCTATTCCGGATGATGATTTAGAATATAACTATTATCCGGGTAAATATACAATTATTGAAACGGAGATATTTAAGTGGATTTGGAGGGTTTCAACTCGATACTTTACGCGACGATGCTGTTTTGTCCGTGAACTCTGGCTATTTCGACTTTGTTCACCTGATGTAGGAGCGCTCGTGATTTTGTGAATTGTAGGAACAGCATCTTTTTTCAACACTGGTCGATTTACGAAAGTCGATCCAGGAATTGTAATGAACGGACATTCAAAATCCTCGCTCCGAAAGTGCTGCGAGCAAAGTCTGGAATTCGCTGTTGGAGATTATTTCGCCCGCTTTGTCTGTACAAAAGTAACCCAAATTCGCCGTCGCTTTCTGTCTAAATCGTTGTCTCCAGGGAATTTATGAAGACCAATGTTGTTTGAAGGGTCAGGAAAATTCGAGCAACCACCAGCAACACATCTATTCGGCATTTTGCCTCGTTTATAAGGGTTACCGAGAGTTAATTACACAGCACTTTGTGCGCAAGCAATACCGTGTGCAACTTTGTATTAAAAAAAACAGCAAGCACGGCAGGACTAAGGGTAAATACAAACTCGCCAAATGTATTTAACTTTTATAATTACCGTGCTAGCAAGTCGCAGTTTGTCATATTCTATTTGCGTGGGGGCATAATTTTGTGGTCGACCACAAACACAAACATCCCATGTAAACATCGCATCATATTACCTTCAGAAGCTTGCCTAAAACTGTATAAATTATACAATCTACATGCGACCGTTTCGCGCACTCAGATTGTTCCCTTTGTTGATTTGCATAAACTGCGTCAGCTATATATTCATTTAAAATCGCAATTTTCGCATGTTCCTAGATTTATATATGGTGCGTGAACAGTACCGACTGTAGCATTGTAAAGCTACGAAAAGTGAACGCTGTAGCTTCTAGCCTGCTTGTAGAGTGTATTCAAATTTGCGAAATATCGCAGGTCGATGACTTACTGAATTTATTTTGTTATGACTGTGAAAGCAAGTCACAGACTGTGCTATTTTATTTGTGTAGGGACTAGGGCATTCAATTCCACGGACGACCGCAAAAAACAAACCATGATGTATTAAACATGCGTCATATCGACATCCGAGAGACCATCTAGAAATTTGCAATCTATAATTGCTGCCTTAAATGCGGTTTCACCTACATACATTGATTTCCTTTATTTATTTACATAAACTGCGTGCACTATACATTAAAATGCTCTCATGATGTTTCTAGGCATAAACTAAAAGAGTAGATCAAATCTCAAATTCGACAGTGGAGCATATGTCTAGATACAAATTCCAAATGAATGTTCCTCGCCGGTTCCTCGCGCTACGTCACTATACCCAGTCTTTTGAGATTTTAGTTTCCACGGCCAAAACAATATGGCGACCCAAAATCGCTATTTTCTATGCAATTTTGGCTTCCAAAATCTATCAAAAACGATGCATATCGAACTCGTTCATACAAATTAGGTATATTGGCCACCTATACTTCCAATTTATGAAATAAAAAAAATTGGTTGATATGCACTTTAAATGTGCATCTCAAGGACCATGTCCTTCGACATGTCCCCTTTGTCTAGCAACACAAAGCATTTAGCATTTTATAAGTTGCATTAAATCCCCACGGGCTGAAATTCGTGAACACGGCATTCAAATTTTAACAATGAGTGATTTCAATAGTTTTCGTTTTTTTGGGACACCCTGTATAGTAATTTATTCTCCCTTATCTGGGATCCGCCTGCAGGCATGGATGTCTTGTCACGGAATATATTTAATTAAGGCTGAAGCTTTAATGCGTTCCAGACACCGTCTGAATAACTTTGAGCGATTTCCGGTGAAATAATGCTGTCATCGTAGCAGAACGTGTAATGTAGTTTGCCGTTTAGGCCAATAATGTAGTTCCCAAAAGTTCCAAGCCTTTTGTGAATTGGTGTACCAACTATTAACTTTTGGAGATGAAATAAGTCTTCATGCAGGGCTGTTTTTCGTCAAGACAGACCCAACATTCGATAGGGTAAGAGACGACTTCTTTCGAGACGCTAGTTTAAGACTGCCTTCATGTAGAACGTTTTTTATAAACATTTGGCTGTCGGTTTCGACTTTCGATAGAAATTTCAAGTGCTTATCGCGGCCAATATCGTGGCGGATATCTTGCGTTAACGAGCGAGCGAGTTTCCAGAAGTCTGTATTTGACGTGGGCAGCTCGATGTCGTAGGTCAGTGCACCATAGTGGCTTGCAACATAGTCGTTTGGGAGCGTAGGCTGATGATTTTCGCCAACGGACGTGAGACATGTGATATCATTTGTTGCATTAGTGGAGAATTCAGTGGTCTTGAGAAGACCGCTAAACGAATAATGACAGGCAGCTAGGATGGCCCCGGTTATACTGCAGTTGTTGTTTCCACATTGTTGAAGGAGGGAGACTAGCTCGTCGGCTGGTATGGTACGGATAAGGACTTTCGTTCTTGGTTCTGATTTCAGTGGATCATCTTCAATCGTAGGAAACTGGTTTAGTACTGGGTTAATGTAGTCCCGCGAAGATATAATCCGGCTTGGTGTAGAGAGATTCTTAAGTTTGTGTGATAGAAGCGACGCAGAGCTCGGGTACAGTGGTAAACTCGGGATATCTTCTACATTCGGTGCGGTTCCTTTAGCGATGTTTTCAAGATAGCCAAGAGTTTGCCTTAAAACCGCGACAAGACTTCGCCCATTAGCAATAGCGTGCGATATCGCTAATGCCACTCCTCCCGTGTACGTTTCGGAACTTGGATGAAAATTTGCGGGAATCAACATGGCTTTCCAGAGTGGTCCATCATCACGGTCGAACTTCGTATTCGCGAATATTTCCTCTGTGATTGCTTCCGTGTCGTTGATGTCTTTATCCAGGGTCGAGAAGCCAAAACTAACGCGTCCTTCCTCGCTTTCGAAATATTTCACGCCTGCGGTTTCAGTTATTGTTGCTCGTAGCAAAGGTTGCTGGTAGGATACCATGGTTAGGGCTTCACGCAAAGATTCTTCTTCAATTGGAACTTTCGATCTTACCTCAGTTAAAAAGAGATACGAGAAACCAATCCCGGCTTTATGGCATTCGTGAAAAAGGGACTCGAGGCCGTCAAGAGGACGCCTGCTTATAACACGTTGCTTGTAGACGTTGTTTGGTAAATCCGTTATTTTGCTTTCAAGCTGTTTCGCATAACTATGGGCACGAAGAATTTGAAGATATCTCGAAGCTAAAAGCACTTTACGTTGAAAACAACTGCGCAACATTTTTTTATTTCAATGTAGTGATTCAGATGCAAATACTTCCGTGCAGAACTTGCAACCCAAACGGGGACCTCACACTATTTTATGCAACGCTAGGAATCTGAAATATCCTTATGTCACGCAAGGCTTTCTTCAGTTCAGATGTATGCATATTAAAATAGTTGTAAACATAGGAATATCAACTGGTATGCCAAATACCAAAATTTAAATATGAATAACAATTCATTATCTTCTAAAGGCATTCAACGTCAATGCAATGGCATAATTATGCTGGCCATTGAAATTTAGAGATTATACATTAGATTACATTAGTTAGGAATTCTATTGTTAGAGTCCCCAGCCTGACGATTTTATCCGGGCCTTTAATCGCTATGTTTAGGAAAGAGGTTCTCAATTCCCCTTCACTGACACCGTTTCACAAGGTGCCGCATGGAGTATGGATTCGCTAACAGAGAGCAAGGTGGTTATATTTTTTTAAAAAACGCATCGTTATGTTGCTATTTTTGCTTATGAAATTAGCGCTATGATAGCAAATAGTCGAGTAACACAAAAAAGATCGTGTTTTTAGCCCGCTCGGGGCTTTTGAAAATGGATCAACTCGGGAAATTTAACTCGAACATTTGTTGACCTCTTTTTGCTTTAGTAGACAGATCCATAGAAATGATTGCAGTTGCGGCAGTAAGTTTAAGCCTGTTTTCCGCTAGGCGGAATTCTCCGCGGGGAGCGGAATTTTTCTTTGTTTTCTCCGCATTTGTTTTGCATTAATGCGCGCAGATAATAAAAAATCCATAGACATTGCATAACATATTTCATGCAAAATGTGAAATAAAAACTACAACCAACTCTAACAACTTGCCTTCCACTCCTCTACTACATGATACACAGTGGCGTAGCCAGCCCGAGAATTTAGTCATGCTATGCTAATATTTTGGTGTTTATTGACTGTGAAAACAATGAATTTCTAAAGAAATTAATAATGATAATAACATAAAATTTGCATAGCATGACTAAATCGTCAGGCTGGCTATGCCACTGATGATACACATTCTTGTTAGCGTGTTCTGCACTCACATATTGTTTACAATAGTACACACCAGCTCCACACTGAAGGCAACGGAAATTTGCTTCTGATGTTGCACATTTGCTGCAAAGTTGTCCATCCGGAATCCACTCTAACTCAACGACTGCCCGTAACATTGCATCACGGATGTCTTCCCAGCCTTGGGCGGCTCGTTGCTGTTTTTTTCGGTACTGGGTGACTTCGTCTTCGCCCTGATCATCATCGCTCTCTTAGCTTCCTCATCATCACCCTCATGTCCATCATTCATTAAAAATGTTTTTCGGTTCTCCGCCGTATCCATTCTAAACGTTTCCTCGTTATCTCCGACCTTACCCCTTTGATTTGAGTCCACAATTTCTGGCGTTGTAAGGGTAACTCAGGCGCGGATCTAGACCGTATCGAACGTGGCTCGAGCCACGGTCAGATTTTCCCATCCAGAATTTCCCATCTGCAATCTAATATTCACACATTATTTAGAAGTACATATTAATTCTTTGAATCACACCAAAATTAAGGAAATATATGTCTAAAACAAATAATTTGAGTAATATCTTTCGTAATCGTTGTCATATTATTACCAATTCCTGCTAAAAGTGGTAACAAATTCCCAATTATTATTCCTTGTTTCATATTACGATTGTTCAGTTAACACTGAACTATAAAATTTGCCGAAAGGTTGCCGAATTGTGCCGAGTATGTTCGGAAGCTAGTCGTGCATTCGAAGCTGCGATCACAGCAACTAGTTGACACGGTCAGCGTGCAGATTATTGCGCAATTGTTACTAAATATAGTAACGCTCGGACACGGTGCTGTGTAGCAAACCAATCACAGGGCAAGCTTTTGCCACGTGAGCCACGGTGCGACACGGTGCGACACGGTGGCCTGTTTTTGATTGCGCAATAAGCATGATAAACAATAAAGTTCGACACTTCTCGACTTCGAACTCGGATATAGTTTATACATAACACGTTAAATTGGTCTGTTCGCTGCATCCTGGCTGATTCAGGCTGAATCGAATGCATTAATACATGAATCCGTCGAAATTTTTTAAAAGCAAATCTAAGCGAGCATATTTCAGGGGAAATATCGCTCTTCAGGCTACAACATGATGGAATTATTACTAAAGACAGGCTTCGCTCGCTCGCGTTTACAATCGCAACGACAATTTTTAAACTGCTATTTCCCAAGAGACAAATACTGAAAAATCTTTACCCAATGTCCTTGTAAGGTAAGACTTTTAGGTTTTAAATCGAACTATGGGCGCTCTCCTTTATACGGAAAAACGGCCAGACCGGTTCTGTTGTATTTCGGTAGTCGGTACAGACAAAAGTATATCGTTATTTACATCTGCCTATCACGGGAAATGCAGTTTCACCGCTATATTCTTAACGAAATACTCTATTTCAATTTAAAATATGACCGGTCTGACCTTTTTGGCCGCTTAATGGAAAGCGCCCTATGATACAAATTTGCATTTACGCTGTGAATAATTTGTGTATGCAAATTTCATGTTGAGTGTGAGTGAAATATCCGTAAATACCTTAACAAAAATTTTGAAAATGGTTTTGTGGTTTTATGAAAGTACAGGGATTTACAATATTCGCTTTTAAACGTTCCCTGAAGAATATTGTAGAACCAAAGCTCAGAAAATGTTTGTTTCGGAGGGTCCATAGCCCCTTCGCCATACGCCCCCACAACCCCCCCCGACCGGAAAATTTCTAGTCCAATATGACACGGTCAGATTTTCGGCTGGATCCGCGCCTGAATAAACTTTTCTTTTCTGAGCGGATAACGAGCTACCGAAGGACACAATTTCTATCGCCGGTAAAGTTCGCTTCAAATTACGCCGTCTTTTCATAACGCGACCTTATATACTTATTGTTACAAAGAAAAAGTATCAAATTGAAATTTGATAAAGCATAAGAACGGTTGTTAAGACTGCTATTCCACTCGTTTTCGTACATGGACTATTAATACCTAACTCATTTGCACTTTGCAGCCGCCATGTTTGTGGATGGTGGTTTCAAGTAGAAGGACTGGGACGATTGGTTGTTGAACTTGCCAGATTAGACGCGCGAGATTGGCCGGGATTAGTCACCTGCCTACTATAACAAATGCCGCCTGAAACTAATCTCAGTTATTATAAAGATAGATTCTGGGGAAACGGGTGCAGGGGTGACCTCGTTCCATACAAGGCGCTAACCAAGCCTCAAACAACCGCCCCAGCAGGTGGACAGCATACTGCTGACGGAGGCAAAAAACAACTCAGCTTAGGATTAGATGCCCTCGTTGTCGAAGACCTAATAGCGACCTTAAGATTAGACGACGGTTAGTGGAGATGACGGTAACCGGAAATGAATTGAACTATTGAGCATGCGCAGTAAATGTTTTGAAAGAAATTGCTCCGTCCACATCACGACGACGACGCCATTTTTGCTGTTTTGCCGTTCACTAGAAAACGCCTCTTACTTTTCATGGATCCAAAGCCGTAAGTTTATTAATTTTTGTCTTTCTCGATTTGATGGAGAAATATGATTTTCCTGTGTGAGTTTTTCGTCGAATCAATGTGTAAATTTCGATTTTTCCTTGTATCTTTTAAGGAGGCAAATGGTTTGGTCGCGAGACCATGACGAGCTGTTGTGCAGGGAAATCCTGGTCGTAGATCCCTTTACAGGCACAAGGCGAAGGACAGTACAGAGGGGCACTAAATGGAATGAGATTGCACAAAATCTCAACAGCGTTCAGCACGTATCGTTCCGAGTCAACCAAAGGTCTGTGAGAGAAAGATACAACTTACTCTCAAGAGAATTTCGAAAGAAAACGAAGGACGAAGAATCGGCCAGTGGCATCGAAATTGATGACGTTAGTGAAATCGATAAGGCCCTTGAGGATATCGTAGAAGTTGAAGATGCAGCAGATCAAAATCAGCAGGATGTTACTGAGCAAAAATTGCAAAAAGAAAATAAAGATCGAGAAGATGCTGAATCGATTCGATTAATGGCCATGGAGACGTTGGGTGAAACTCAAAAACGAAAACTCGTTGATAATAAAGCCAATAAACCAGTAAAAAGGCGATCAAACGGCAGTGATGCAGTTAATTATTTGAGGGAAAAATCTGCTGTAATGAATGAGTGGAAAAAAGAAGAGTTAGATTTGCAGAAACGGAGGCTGGAAGCTGATAGCAAGAAACATGATGAACTCATGCAAATGATGATGAATCAACAACAAATCCAACAACAACAACAAAAGCAACAAAATGATCTTATTCTGACTTTGTTAACACAGCTGAGCCATAGAAAGTAAGCTATGACAAACTATTATATATATAAAGTGTTCATATTCCATTTTAGCTTGGACTATATTGAAATATAGTTTTTAAAAACTGTTAGTTTTTACATAGTATTTAAAAAAAACAGTGAACATTGTTTTGTTATTCTATGAAGTCTTGAGATAACTAAACGTTTAAGGTTATATGGTTTTAATATTGTACTGTACTTTACAGAGTGTGCAATAAATGTTTTATCTACAATGTCTTTAGTCAATAGTTCCCAAAATACTCTTGTAGAGTGGGAGGGCTTAGACCAAAATACTCTGAGGTTTGATTTCCATAGAGGCAAGTTAATGCATTGCGTAGTATTGCACAAACAATATACATTTTCCCAACACAGCTCAGGCCAATTTTTAAATTCTTTTTAAAATCCATGAATTTAAAATAGTTCACGATGTCTCCAAAAAGCCATTCAACTGCTATGCGAACTTTGCTCATAGATTTGTTGAATTCTTTCATCGGCTGAGTTAAAACAGCATTTCTGAATGGAGCCTGCAGGTGTACCCTTAATGGGTAAGCTGGGTCTCCATATAGACATAGAGGTTGGCCTTCTTCAGTAAAGCAAAATGTTTGAAGTTGGTTTAGTAGACCAGATTGTGCAAGCATAAAAGAGTCGTGCCTTCTTCCCTCTGAACAAATTAGAAATAATGCACCATCATGTATATACATAGTTAACCCAAGAATAAACCATGCTAAATTGATCTTTAAAAATAAACAAAAAAACTGCTCAAAACCTACTCACCCATAGGTCCATACAAATGACCAATCATTCCATTTGGCAGAGCAACAGATTGAATTTAATAGCATGGACACGTTTGTGACCATTGTAGACAGCTCTTTGCAGTTTCCCTGGCCGACAAATTGCTCGGACAGTTCCATCAATAAACCCAACACAGTTATTGAGTGCAGCTCCTTTTAAAAAATAGAACTAGCATAATCTTTTAGATTATCAGGGCTGAAAAGCATTTCATTCCAGTGAGAAACTCGGTGGCCGTGGTGATCATAAATGTAGTCTACAACTACATTTGTGATCATGCTCAGTTCAGGAACTGCCCTGCCAAACAGTGGTATCATGTCCGAGTATCTGCAAGGATAGGCAAAGCGTTTCAGAACAGCACATAATCCTTCAAGACCATCTGCCTTCGTTCCTTGAGGACATTTAAAATATTCAGGTATACCAAGAGCTTCAGCAAGCTCAGGTATATCATTTTTTCTGAATCGCAGCTCAGCTTCGCATTCAGTGTTTTCCAACTTTTCCAGACAAAATCTGCCGTATTCTTGGTAAGGAAACGCTGGATTTTTGGAAAAATTACTATCATACAACAACACAAACTCTTCGTCGTCGATAATGTTATCAAAATAGCTTTCAACTAAAAATTTTCTGGTCTTTTTGAAAGTTGTCATTTCGATTTTTGTGAATTCCCCGTCGTCTGTTTATTTTTTAATCTTAAATTTCCCGCCCTCAGACGACGACGGTAAGGCTAGATCCAGTCCGTAACAACCGTCGTCTATTATCCGTCGTCTAATCTTAAGGTCGCTAATATCAGACGACGTCTCCCTACGACCATCAAAATACCGAATTATCATTGCAATAGTCCATATTTCAAGTTGCACTAAGTATCCCTTTATTCACTGACCAAAATGTGCGACATATATCGGCACTGATCTTAGAACAACTTTGGATGCACATCTGTCTCATATAGCCATTGTTTTATAAATATAAAGGAGTGAAAAAAGTATAAATCACGTACCTATAATATCAATTTATAAAATCCTTTAGCAAACTATGGGAGCAAGTAGCAGAATAGAAGATTTGTTTGACCATAGCAGGTAGTAAAATTGAAATCGAATATATAAATTTGGCATGTTTGATGTTTTACGTTCTAAGTTTATATATTGATTTTGACATAATCCACTTGGTCAATGATCTAATGTATATATAAAGATAAATATTTATTATTCTTGTCGTCTCAATGTTACGTTATTTCATGAAAGGGAAGAAAGCTTTCATTATGTGGCTGTTATCAACTCTGCAAAATATGAATAATTTGGGGGGTCATTGATAGGATTAATTTAACTAGTTTAAGACTTTAAGCACTGCATATCCTATAATTATATGTTATATAACTTATATTTTAATATATATCACTGACAGGATTAATTTATTGCACACCGTACGTTATATTTACAACATAAATTAAATGTTGATGATGTTCAAGGGCAAGGAAGGCATAAAAATACAACTGTTAAGTTGAAACAGAATTAAGACATTGCAGAAGGTGCATGTTAATTAACTGGATCTAATAACTTAAATCTTTTCTTCCTACCACCAGGCACATTCTCTGCCGCATCCTCTAGAATTGTTTAGGTGTGGATTTTTTCGTTTATTCAACGTTCCTGTTTCCGCCTTTATAATATGCATTATATCTTTTAAGAACCTTCAACATTAATATATTTGAGCCTGAATTAATGTATCATATAGTGTACTTTTACAGATGTTATATTATATACTGTTAGATTTTCAAAAAGTTGTACAAATGAAGGACAGCAAAAAGTTACAAACCTCCTATAGCTATATTAAAGTGACAGCCACAAAATTTACATTTCAGAAGATATTTAAACCGGCAGCCTAAAATTTTTTGAACAATTTATGCATCTATAGGGCTAATTATATTACATATTTTTCAAATACAATTGTTATTCATTGTTATTATACATGGTAATATTTTAGTTAGAGATATAAACTGTCAGGATGTTTCTCTTTTGTATGTATATTGCAAACATTTGCTGCTAATTTATTGCACACCAGAACACAATTGTAATTTAATTGTAGTACCAAGTATTACACAGAGTCTAAAATCTTGTCTTCTGTTAAATAATTTTCTCAAGGTGGTTTTATAGTTTTAAGGCTGCATAATTCAGACTGGCACCAGTGACCAAGTCAAAACTGGTTCATACGGTAAAACATAATGAGCACAGCACCCTTGTTATTATTACTACCTCTGGAGATATAGTGCCTGTTCTTTTGCATTGTTGGCAATTTCATTTGGAAATATCAAATTGTCCCACTTGTGAAAAAGTAATGGGCACCATTGTCAGGCACTCAGTCTGAATGCAACCTAAAAATTCAAATGCTTACACCCCTTTTTCCTTCCATCATAAATACAGTACAAATTAATAGGGTTGCCTTTATTTTTACTACTTTTAGCAAGGAGTGACACATATACAATTTTTTTAGATTTCCTAAAGGTCTGGCATTATTTTTCTTGCCATTTTATGTTCCGCTTGGAATTGTTGTCATGGTCATTCGGATATTTTTTGCAATTCAGCTATATTTTGTGTTGATTCTAGTACCTAAATCATGGGTAATTAGACGGTATGTATGAATTCAATGGGCCAGTTATTTATATAGTTTGTTGATACGTACTCCTTAGAAAAGATTTCAGCCAAGAATGAGGTTTTTCAGGGATTAAATTAAAATTATGCATTATTTTGAATTGCCCTCAACCTCCCCCGCCCTGCAATTATATATTTTCTTAATGTGTGGTGCTGACAATATCTAACATTTGATAACGACAAAAATTGGATTTTCTTTCCGTTTTAGAATACTACTCCGTGTATCTGGTGCTCTCACAGGGCTGATCGTAACACAAGAAGGATTGGATACAGTTCATGCAAATCAATGTAAAGTAAGTAATACTGTATATAATTAACAATTATTGAATGAGGTTGAGGTTGTGAACATTGGAACTTCGAATTGTTTGAATGGAATGATTCTTGAATCTCTCAAGATTTACTTTTTTTACTTTGGATTGTCGGCTAGCCATGGTTTTTGGTACAATCAAAAGTGTACGTACTTGAGATTGTTTTCGTCCTCATAATTTTGTCCTCGAAATATAAAAATTAATACATTTATTGTGTAATGAATGGCGTGCGCATGACGTGCACACTTAACGAATGTCGAGACATTTGGTCAATTTCGAAAATTAGTACAGGGTGAGCCTTAAGTATCACGTGTACTTATTATATGCAGAGCTTTTGGTCGGTTGACCCGGGCCCTCATCCATGCATTTAAAATAAATTTTCGCTTCTTTTTCTCTAGATGATAATTTCAAACCATATATGTCACGTAGACAGTCTCGCCTTTGAATCTCTACTCTCGTGTTTTATGGTAAGAGTTTGCAAATATAGCAATTAGTTTCAGTCAAACCCCTTCGAGTAACCGTGGTCACACTAACGTACAATACTCTACTTCATATAAGAATTTTTGAGTGTGAACCTGTACGTGCTGCAAGTATTTATAAAGCATTTGAAGGTTTTGTTTATAATAAAGCCAGAACTGCTCCGATTTTCGAATTAGTAACCACTTTGTGTGCCTGGGGTTACTGTGCAGTAACATATGCGGAGTGGTCTTAAGTCTTCTGTCTGTTGTGTGGGGTATTAAAATCAATCTTTACTGATCACAGAGGTAGCTACATATATAATGGACAACTTTCGCTTTAGACTAATTTCTCACCTCAGCGATAGGAGGGACATTTTCTCAAGTTCACGAATTTTGTATACTTTTTTATTACGGCCGGAAGTGTTCCACGTGTAATACAAAAGTATGCAAAATTTGCCAACTTCGCGTGGCTATAGTTTCCGTGTTTTACAAAATTTCGCAGCCAAACCTTGTGCTTGCACTAATTGAAGTAAGATCTTTCTAGCTGTAATGATTTATTTTCTTCCAGTTGTTACTTTAATCAAAAAATTAGTCTAAAGCGCAAGTCGTCCATCGTAGCTACTTTAACAACCGCCTCCCAGGTTGACAATCTTGGCAAGATCCTTGCAAGATCTTGGTAAGATCTTATCACAAGATCTTGTCAAGATCTTATCAAAATCATGCAAGATCCTGCAAAGATTTTGCCATGATCTTGCAGGATCTTGGCATGATCTTGCAGGATCCTGCAAGATCATGGCTGTGATCTTGGCATGATCTTGGCACAATCTTGCCATGATCTTGCCATGATCTTGCCATAATCTAGCAAAATCTTGGTGAATCCTAGAAAACCTTGGCAAGATCCTGAAAAACCATGGCAAGATTGTGATAACCTTGGCAAGATCTTACAAAACCATGGCAAGATCCTGCAAAACCATGGCAAGATCTTACAAAACCATGGTAAGATCTTACAAAACCATGGTAAGATCTTACAAAACCATGGCAAGATCCTGCAAAACCATGGTAAGATCTTACAAAACCATGGCAAGATCTTACAAAACCATGGCAAGATCTTACAAAACCCTGGCAAGATCCTGCAAAACCATGGCAAGATCCTGCAAAACCATGGCAAGATCCTGCAAAACCATAGCAAGATCCTGCAAAACCATAGCAAGATCCTGCAAAACCGTGGCAAGATCAAGATTGATTAGGGAAAAAACATAGATACACTCTGTTGCAGTAAAAAAACTTTATTAACGTTTGGTTAGATTAAGGGCATGCTCTATGTTTTTATTTGTATGCAAAAATGTTAAATTGTAGTATTGTTCTGTTACTGTTCTGTTTTATCATCTGTGGTGTTTATTACATCGCTTCATGTTTCCTCCGTTTTTCTTTCTTCATATTTCTACCTATGTGAAGCATCCATGATCACTTGGTGTTCTTGGTGTTAGTGTGACTTTTTTAACCTGTCCTCGCCAAATTTGATATTGCATGAGTACATCTAAATGTTAAAAAAATATTATATAATATTGCATATATTTTACCCTGCGTCTAAGGCCTTGCCATGAAGTTAGGTAAGTTTATTGGACATGCATTGATCAGCATAATATAAATTCTTACCAAACAATTCAGTGACTGTTTTGGCATCCAAATGTTGCTTGCTGGACTCTATTGCATAGGATTCTGTCCTGCATCTCAGCTTCAGCCTTCAGTGAAGATGTGATTGATTGCGCACTTTGATGGCTTTGATATTCATCAAGTTAATACGGTTGTGCCACTAGAAGAATAATTGATCATTAGAATCATGATACATGGCCATAATAGATCATTTTTTGAATACTTTACATCTACTTTATGTCCTATTTGTTACAACCTGTTATTTTGTTTATTTTGTTATATTTTGTGATTTCAAAAAAAGTTCTCTAATAACTTGAGAATGCATGAACATCGCGAATCTTCTTCGCTATGAAAATTTTTGCGAATTTTCCGTAATTATGTAAACCTACCAATATTCATAATGCATCCAATGAGAAGAAGTGAGTCCTTGTCGGGCTCGAATGTTTAACATAATGAAGGCTTTATTTGAATGACAATCCCGTCCAGCCAACGCTAAACTACCGCTTGCAATTATAGTCCTATAGTTTCACGATAATGAAAATGCTATATATATTACGAGATAGTGTGGCCCGTTTCCTTCACTGCTGCCGGTAATTCCTGTACAATTTAAATATAACTAAAACTACAAAACAAAACCAGTTTATGCTACCAGCATACAAACCAGCAGTAAAGGGTTAATTTTATCGTGTTTATACTAAACTACTTACCCGCTGTTACAAGTTATTCCTCCGCTTCTTTTCATACCAAAACTAATTCACTTCAGTATGGAACCATCTGTATGTTACTTGGCTTTCGAATGGTACTTTATGTGCGTTGGTTTGTAAATCCGCGCTTCTTGCGCCTTTGCGCCAACGGTGAACGGTAGCAACGGCGTGAATATTCAAATTTCAAAATATGTGCCGCCGCAGGCGAGGTATGTTATTAATTTAACCATAGCGTGCACGAATTTAATTGATACCAGCTGTGATTATTGACGTTTGTGGTACTTATAGAATGTGATAATGAAATTAAACTGGCAGGTAAGAAACTTGCTCCATCAGATTTGTCCCATTCAAGATGATGGAAGAATCTTCCATCACCGTAAAATCTTTGCTTGATTACGGTAAAATCTTGACAAGATCACCATGAAATCTTGGAATGATCGCCGTGAAGTTTTGGCAAGATCATAAGGAAATCTTGGCAAGATCATGCTGGATTCTTAATTAGTAGGATCACCGAGTAATCCTGGCAAGATCATGCTGGATTATTGGCAAGATCACGGGTTAATATCTCATATGTAGCAAGATCATACCAAGATCTTAGCAAGATCATACTAAGATCATATGTAGCACGATCATACCAAGATCTTAGCAAGATCACACCAAGATCTTGTCAAGATCATACCAAGATCTTAGCAAGATCATACTAAGATCATATGTAGCACGATCATACCAAGATCTTAGCAAGATCACACCAAGATCTTGTCAAGATCATATCAAGATCTTAGCAAGATCGTAGCGAAATCCATTCCAAGATCTACCAAGATCTGAGCAAGAACACACGAAGATCTTGGCAAGATCATACCAAGAATTTAGCAAGATCATACCAAGATCTTAGCAAGATCATACCAAGATTTTAGCAAGATCGAACCAAGATCTTGGCAAGATCATACCAAGATCTTAGCAAGATGATACTAAGATCATATGTAGCAAGATCATACCAAGATCTTAGTAAGATCATAGCAAGATCTTAGCAAGATCACACCAAGATCTTAGCAAGATCATACCAAGATCTTAGCAAGATCATAGCAAGATCTTGGCAAGATCATGCCAAGATCTTAGCAAAATCACACTTAGCTCATATGTAGCAAGACCATACTAAGATCTTGGCAAGATCATACCAAGTTCTTAGCAAGATCTTAGCAAGATATTCATATCAAAATCTTGCCAAGATCTTGGCAAGAGGATACAAGATTTCAGCCAAGAATTTCCAAGATCTTCACATCTTGCCAAGATCTTATAAATATCTTGCCAAGATCTTACTATTTCCAAGATCTTGGCAGGATCTTTCATGATCTTTCAAGATCTTGCAAGATCTTGACAAGATCGTCAACCTGGGCTTCCATCGTTTACCGCTATTAGCTCTTTTATAGACAATATTTTATTTGCTCGAGAAAACCTATCTTAGATCATCTAAATCCTATACTTTTTTTGACATGATGTTATTCGATTCAATTTGCATTTCGAATTCAAAGCAACTTTTATCCCATCGACTATACGGCCAATAATTTTTTATCTTTTAGAATATAGAAAAGAACCGAATACCAACATTTTTAAGATGGATTTTGAAATATGACGAAGTGAAGCCAGGCGATCCTGTTCCTTCCCTGGTCTTTGCTGAGGGGGCTAGCACAAATGGAAACAGCGGTATTCTAAGATTCAGGTGTGTATCAAGTATGAAGAAGTGTACATACAATCGCTGTCATCGTGAAGTAGCTAATATTATACGCGAGAACACTGCATGCCATAGCTATATACTTTAGTGTAAGAGGAATGTAATTAGACAAGAGAAAACTGCGTGATCAAGGTTTTTCTTTTCGAAATTCTTTTAAAAAATGCTCTTCAATCTTTTATCAAAACGACAATAAGTGAAATAATATTTTACAGTAGCTACTCGTAACAGAGAACTGGAGATTATAAAATGAGGCGATTTCAAAATAATTGCATGCAAATCCGCGCAAAGGTGGTCTGAAGGTCTGTTCACATGATCCAATTTTGTTTGATCCAATTAACCTCTGATGAATGTTTTATAGTCTGTTGTCTTGTAATGTATATGAGCAGCAAATCCACTGAAGCCAATGCACTACTGCTTTATCAATAACCGACTATATTCCATACGTCAGAAGTGAATAGGATCCACCAAAATTGGATCGCGTGAACAGACCTTAAGCGAAGGATCGTGTGCAATTTTTGCAGTGAAATAGAATTTTAATGTCGAATTACAATTTCTATTATTTAGCTCATGGCCATTTGACATCAAGAATGAACCATTCTTTGTGGTAATTGAGTTTCATTAAGTTAAAGTGACTTAATTTCAGTTATTATTTTAGATCTCAATTTAAGGCCTTACATGCTAACCGCTTTGGTTCTTTCGCTAGAATCTTTCGAACATCAAATTTTACGTTCAAATATCAACTTGGGAGCTCTTTTAAACTAATATACCGAAATTCATCTTACAGTACACGTATTGTGTCTTCTTCATACTAGTACAGAGGGCAAGGCTAAGCTATTCTCTTTGGTCCCTCTTCAATAGATTCCAAGCAGCTCTGACAGTAGCATGGTTGATGATATTTATTGATAATAGGCATATTTAAATCGAGGACGCGAACGTCAAAGAGGACGTGGAAATAACGAGTAAATGGCGTGATACGCCTATACATAGACATGCCAATTTCCACGCCATTTATTCGCCACTACGAAAATTTATCCTTACGAAGTCTATTATTTATATTTTACAGTAATAATTCCATGTTCTGTAAATCTTAAATACACGGATTGCTTGCTTGAGATTAAATTAGGATTTGGCTTAGCTTTTGGACGAGGGTTAATCCTGATAAACCATAATCCCAATGTAAGACCTAATCCTAACCTAATCTCAAGGATTAAGTTCCTTTATTTAAGATTTACTGAACATCAATTATTACCATCTTTACTATGTGTTGTGATTCTATATATTCCTCGTATATAGGCAATTTTAACTATATCAAGACCGTACTTTGTACAGATCGCTCCAGTAAGTAGCCATGCAGTTTCGCTGTAAGGGCTGTTTTCCAATGTTTCGTTTTTTGTACGTACGTACACGCGCGTGAAAATGATATCAAAGATTGAATAGGTTGATGATATGCTGTGTTTTTTCTGGCCTAAAATTAATTATACAACAACTTAGAAGGCTTTAAGCTTGTACGTCGCCGTGTACGTACCTGCAAAAAAACGGACAATGGAAAGCAGACCCAAGTATGAAAGCTACCGTTTCATTTTCCACGATCCCTTTTGAAGGTAGCTAAAATAATCGCAACTCTTTTGTAGTCGGTTCTTGGAGGAAATTGGTGGAGTGATTTTTTATGGCTTCTGTTCACTCCCTACACTCATTTTAGAATAAGGTACTATACTACAAATATATATACAAATAATATTATGTTTGCACGGAAATAGCATCTGAGGAGACAGGGCTAACCGACTTCGCAATTAACCCTCATTAATGGCTCCTTTCTACACGTCCTCTTAAAATAGAAAACTACTGTATGACGAACGCCATGAGGAATTCTATGCTGAAATTGTTAGAATGTTTTCCACGCTGAGCAAGTTGCGCGCTTCCAATACTCGAGTTTTAAGTTGAAATACATATGATATTGCTTGAGGCATCAGTGTGGAAGTTTTAAAATTGAACGAAATTTATCACTTCTGTTTCATCAAATTTGTGTATCATCCTGCAGTGGAGGACTTAAGTTCATCGTTTCAAAGATCTGTGCCTGTGGGGATATACAAGATTCTCCCTCAGCCTGGCCCCAGAGTTAGGCCTACGGAATAAGGTGTTAATTTTTTTTCTAGGTTCGTGCGAGCGCCTGAAAGAGAAGAAAAATTATCAAATGAGGAATACAGTAGTGTTGTTCAGAAAGTACGTTAAGTTGCATATGTATATCGGTGACGTGCAGTCCGTTAAGCGCACCTGCATGTTCAGAAACAATGGAAAGACCGCTGATTTAAAAATCACATCCCCTTTAAAAATTGAAGTAAACTTTTCTAGCTTGACAGTGTCTAGTTTGCATTTAAGTATGGCACTGATGATGCGAATCTGTCTTCTTTAGTTTATGGCAAGCAAACTTGGGATAAATGCAACGAAATTTGATGCAAAAGAGAAAGTAGAATATGCGAAGAGATATCTACATGAACAAGGTAATTTATTAGACGACATTGTGATACATTGAATCGTTAATTTGAAGTTACGGCCGTAGCTACGTACCGCGCGAGATTTAAAAGCACAGAGCCAACGCTAAAATATGAATTCGGACCGCAAGAAAAAAATAAATCTATTATTTACCAGTTTAGTTGGTCCGTATATATAGGGAAATATTTCCCTCGGACTCAAAAACGCGAGACCTTGGGAAATATTTCCCTAAACGGACCTCCAATCTGGTAAATAACATATATGCTATATATTTTCAGGCAGACAAAGCCGTGAAAGACCGAGCAGAAGAAGCGCTACATCTTCCAATTCATCATCTACAAAACAAACTACAGCTGTGGATGATACACTAGATATCATGTTGACTCAAGTCAAGGATGTTCTACCTCAGGTTCCCATCACCGTTATCAGAAATGATATAAGTATGTTTATTATATTATCACAAAATCATTATAACGCGTAGATTCCCATTATCATTTTGCATATACTCGCATCTAAATCCCTGCCCGAGAACACATTTTTCTCAGCCGTTCCTCGTTTGAATTTGAATTTGAGATAATAAGATTTCCTAGTTGGAATTATGACCCTTTTAAAGTTACCCAGTATCGAATGAAGTGCCACAGAATCCTAATTTATTCCTTCTTACCTACATTTATCAAGAGGAGTTTGGAAATCTGAACCTTAGGCTTAGAAACCTGAACCCTAATTCTAAGGGGTTCTAATTTACCAATCATGCATACAGTTCACCTTCAAATACACCACACACACACACACACGTCTATATGGCCACTAAACGCCATATTCTAATATACCAGTTCCATTGTTTCTTCAGACATCGCTATTGCTTGTCAAATAACTCAGTGTTCATATATTTCCTTCTTTTTTGAAGAAAAAACAAGATGTATTGACACAACGATTAGTAATATCCTGGAAGGACGAGTAGTTTATACGCCAGAAATACCAGGTCAAAAAATTGAAGAAAATGCGCAACCAAAGGTGAAGTCACAAACGCTACGCTACATAACGTTTCATTTTTCCTTTTTGGTCGAAAATTATAGTTCTCAAACAAGTTAAGAACACAATTAAAAATCAAACTTCCCGAGAAAAGCATCAACCTCAAGCAATCTCTATCAAGGCTTGTGACGTCCCCAGAGTACCTTTGCGCGTTCCCTCACGTCGTGTCCTAAAACCCTTGGTTCGATTTTGAAAAACGTTGCAACAATCTTTTATTTCTCCTGACATGCTATATTAATTATTTCTTACACATTTGGTCCCAACGAGCAGCCCCTCCATGTTTCTTCAAAATAAACTCTTATTGCTCTTCCTTGACCGAAATATTTTCAAGGACAGGTCCGACAGTTCAAAGATATCTGTTTGTATAAGATAATAATTATTTCACACGTCCTGTTCATCCTCTCAGAATACTTATAATAATGTACCTCAAAAATGACAAAGTTCTGCTTGATTGTAGAATAATCCATCAAATAGCAAAGTTGCAGGAAATATGTTTGGAAAAGACTCTGCAGAAAGGCACTTATCTTTTCAAGAAAAGAAAAAGGCGTTTATAGAAGCTGCAAGACAGTAAGTCAAATACCAACTTGCTGTGTTTGATGTTTTTATTCCAATTACTTACTCCGTAAAATATACCATATACGTTCACACCCTTCATATATATCATCCCTTTCTTTTTTTAGAAAGTATATTGCGAAGCATAATCTTGATGTTAGGTGAACAGCTATGTTTTCCAGATGAAAAGATTTTGTTAAACTCTGTCACCTTATCTGCGTGTACGGTGAAATATGAACTTTCCAAATAATACCAAAAGATTCTGTATTAATATTGCAGATAATGCAGTAGTTGGGAAACCAGACTTAAACATACCAGTCAATGCAGTTATAATAAGGAACAATATACATATTGGTTAACATGTGTGATTTAGGGTAAAAGCATGAATTGAGGATCAAGTTCATGCAGAGATTAATATATTTCTCGATCTTAAACAAGGCCTTATGAATAAAAACCGCGGTAGCATTTTCCCAGGTATAGCATTTTTCATTCTTTTAGAATTCAACAGTGGTGCTTGGGCAACCCCTAGAATGGTTGTGGTCTATAATGTTCTGTGTCCATATGTATGAATGTAATAAAGTGTTCTGTCATTTTGCTGTCAACCCAAATAAATAACTTGTATGTACATTTGGATGTATTGTATATATACTTGATATACTTGAGAAAAGAGTATTTATTCTGGTATTACTCTGTAGGATAATGTCTAGCCATATCATTGACTTTAAGTTCTCTGTAAGTTTTCACGAAAATTATGAAATTTCAACTCGAGAATTTCTTATCTGTTTTGCCATATAAGAAAATACTATAGAATAATCCATCGTAATTATAGCTACTCTGGCCTTTTGATTAAAAGTATTCACCACACAAAGATTACATTCACAACCCTTCTGTCAAGTTTTCTTAGGTTATGAGTACGTTTTCTGATTAGAATGCAGAGCCACACAGGAAAGTTTTGGGGCGGGAAAATGATGAATAAGTGGCCCGGCAAGCCCATAAATAGCGTTCGCGTAATTTATTCACCATTTTCACGTCTTTTTCGGGTTTTCCGTGCTCAAGCTATTAATGCCATTCTAACATTGCGCAATGCATCGCCTGACGCTTGGGTATGGGGATAAATCGTTATTGAGAGATTTGGTGGCATTCGTTTCCCCCAAAATTTTAAAATTTTTAAAATTAAATCGAATTAAGTAGAGCATATGCGAGCTCTTTCGTTTTGGGTGATCCAGTTTTGTCCGGTCAGCGTTGATTTTGGCACACGCATTATGGTCAGTTGGAATATTTGTTGAATGCTTATCAATACTTAGTGTAACTAAAATATCACATAATTGGCAATTTTTCCTTTCAAAACATGGCGACACCACAGAATGAATTAAAAGTGAATCTGTCAGAAGAACTGTCGTCGAAGGAAAAAGAAAATGGATCAATTTCTTGCGAGGAGAAGATTGCTGTTGTAGAGGATAACATTGATACAGAATCGTGTTCAAATAAGATGAATTTAGACAGGATTGATGATGCGAATGAATTGTTGAAGAATGCTGAATCAGAATTCTTAGAATGTACCGACAAAAATATGTTTGATCAAAAGTGTGAAGGAGAGAAAAACAGTAGCATAGGTAGCGCCGTTAGCGGCGCTGTGAGAACAGGAGAAGATTGCTGTAGCAACACCGGCTCAGTTGAGGATAATGATTTGGATAAAATTAGGAAAAACAATCAAGTGTCTATGTCAAGGGATAGGAAAGTGAATGAGACATTATTAGAGGAAGATGAGATAGGGTGTTCTGGGGATGAACAGGAGCATTATGAGTCTGCAGAAGAAGAACATTTAACACCAGAAGAAGCTAAGGTAAGAGAATGTCCATCCTGAACCTGCCATATATGGGAATTACGTACATAACATGGAACCATTCCATTAAAAGTCTTGTCCTTCTATGTCATATGAATGTATGTGGTGTCATTGGTGATGTTTATTGTTGGGGGTAATTGATAAAAAAAAGATTTTCTCTATGCAAACAATTAACAAAGTTTGAAGATTGCACTATTACATGATGAAGGTTGTGTACCTTGAGAAAAAAATGAGAAAAATTCTAAACATGGAAAATGTAGGCAATTTTCAAATTTGTGGGCCCTGCTTAGTTATGAGCAGAACTGATGCGTGCACACCCAACAGAATATTACCTTTAATTAAGAAGTCAGGCTAAACATTCCAAAACAAACATGTTTGGTTATAAAGCTTAAATGTTTGTTTTTATAACCTTATAACATCCTTTATGTTTACTTTTCATTTTTAAAGTTAAACAGTTAATCAAAATGCACAATGTTTTTAAAAAGCATAAACAAACCTGGAAAATACTTAGTTCATGCTTCATAACTCAATGCAAATGCTGGTAATACTTTAGTTTGTCTGTGCATGGTAGAATTATGCCAGCTAACTGGTTTTTAATCACTTTTATTAGGAAAGAATGAATGAGGCTTTAGAACTCAAAAAGGAGGGAAATGATCATTTCAGAAAACAAGGTTAGTATACTTTGAAATTACATATAAATAAAGGTTACATTTAAAAATACCTAGGTACAGTCAAAAAGCTTTATGGACTTTACATCAAACTCGTGTTGTATTTTCTGCAGAGTATTTTGAAGGTAAAGAACTGTATACCAAAGCTATCAAACGATGCCCTAAGGAATTCACAGAAAACAGATCAATATTTTATGCAAATCGAGCAGCGTGCTTTCAGAAACTGGTATGTCCTCTCTGCAGTATATTATTATGTGTACTAAGAGCTGCATTTTAGGAATAAAGATACCTCCCAGAGTGTCTCAAGTGAAATTCCTTTAGCAAGTACAGCATTGAACATTTTGCGAGTTTTATTTTAATATTAGCTACCTTTGGCTTTGGACATCGCAGAGCCATGCAAAAGTAACTAACACATATTGATGAGATTAATCTTTTCCACATTCATTTTTGCAATGTCACAGTGGCTCAACAACAAAGACCCTTCATTTTCACAAGAGTAAAATGAATTCTTGACATATACGGAGCGCATCACATTTAGTTCACCATTTTTTTAGACCTCCCGTAAACTTATCACAGTTAAACTGTCTGATAAAAAGTTCTGCAGTGTCTTAAATTTCCGGTGAATCCTCAGATGTAGCTATGGTATCTTTACTGAAATACATGTATATTTTGCAGTTAATCGTTCCAACATTTCCTTTTTTATTTTTTAATATTCAAGGAAGACTATGAAAATGCTATTAGTGACTGCAGCTCAGGTATTTCTGACACAACATCTTCCTGGCATTATTCAGTGTTTTTAATTTCAGTGTGTATTCTTGCAGAGGTCACACCGTTTTTCTTAAACATTTTTCAAATATTTTTAAGCACTGGAACTTTCTCCAAGCTACGTCAAGGCGCGACTAAGAAGAGCACAATGTTATGAACAGGTTGAAAAGCTCGAGGAAGCTTTAGAAGGTACCGTAGCTACATTTTTGTTCGTCCGCATTTCCTCTATCCGCATTTTAACACTTATTCACCGCGACCTAAGGAAACATTAGAGAGCTTAAGCATGCGACGTTTTTGTCAACACGGACGTCACGCGTACAAAATTTAACGGCTAAAAATGGCGTCAGCCGTTCTTGCTTAAAATCTACGACGGGAAACTGCACGGACTGCGGTTTCTGATTTTAAACAAAAACGGCTGACGCCATCTATAACGCCAAAATTTTGTACGCGTGACGTCCGTGTTGACAAAAACGTCGCATGCTTAAGCTCTCTATTATGTTTTGTGAACCCGGGACCATTCGATATCTCACGAGGCGAAATGTATTTGTTTCTACATTCCGAGGCTAAGCCTAACTTATGCCAAACCCTTGCTTTGCCACAAAATTTTCGTATAATATTTCGAATCTTAGGGCGCTTTCCTTTAAGCAGCCAAAATGGTCCGACCGGTACCGGTTATATTTTGAATTGAAATTCCATTAATAATATAGTGGTGAACAGCAAAAGAGTATTCCATTAATAATATGGTGCTGAAACAGCAAAAGAGTGTTCCGTTAATAATATAGTGCTGAAACAGCATTTCCTGTACCAGGCAAATGTATGTACAGTACATGTAATAACTGATTATTGACTGAGCGTGAGGTCTGTAGCTAAGTACTGTGAAAATATCAGACCGAGGTTTTTTCACAGTACAGATCAAACAAACGAGGTCAATTATCTGTTTATTATATGACTGAACTGCATGAGACATCGGGGATACTGCTTCAGATACGGAACTTAGAGTACGGACCACGATCCGTATATAGGTTTTTACGGACCGCTCGTCAACCAATGAGAATACAGGATTTTGAAAAGCCATATAGTAAATAACGGTATACTTAAATGCAGATTTCTTAGAACACTCTAAAATACCAGTAATCTGTCCTCGCGTATGACATTTTAGTTTTCAAATAGACTGCCATTCAAGTCTCGTTTCCATTCAATTTTCCCGAATGTGTTGTAGATTACAAGATTGTGTTTGAAAGTGATAAATCTTGTCAGCCCGCGAGAGAAGCTATTATGGTAAGATTTGTTATCACTATTTTGACGTTGTTGGTTTCATATAAATGAAATGTAAAATTATCAATAAAACTCGAAATAAGTGAGCTGACAGCAATCTTGGACACCTGTAGCCCTGTTTAAACTCCATTTTTTTTACCACGGCACGGCTGGAATGGAAAAGCCTGAACACTAATAAAATTGGGCATGGAGACCATTTTCGCCGTGCCATGCAGATAAATTAAGCGTTTATAAATAAAACGGCGGGCCTATCATATCGTTAAATGTGGATACATTGAGGTCACATGCTGGATTAATCCTTTTTAAAACTAATCTTGGGTGGCAATTATAGCCATATTTCACGGTATATAATTATATGCTTCAAAACTTTTTTATACAACCCACTATTTCAAGTGCAGTTTTAACCTTTTATTTCAAGTGCAGTGTTTTTAGCCACAATGTCCAGTATTTGATAATTAAAAAACTCGCGTAAGCCCGGTCGTAACGTTAACATGCACATCTCCAGAAATTCAAGATGGCGACAGGCTCACTACGTGATTTCCGTCAAAATATTTCGTAAACTAAGCAAGATACAAAGAATTGTTAAAAAGGGTTCATTAATAGTTTTAAGTTTGAAATGAAATGAAAGGAAGTAATTCCATACGTAGAAAGCGTAGTGGAGAACCGTCGCGAAAGAAAATCGCCTCTACCACTCACTTTCTAAACTGTTCATGCAGGGTTAGATCCAGGGCAGTTTTGTACAACGGGGGTGCAGGCCAGTTCTTGGGCATTTGTTAGGTCAACCTTGTACCAAGGGTCTGGCTTTCTCTGTGCTCAGACTCTGTGGGGAGGGGAAACCCTGGGTACGAAGTTGTTGTTGGCACGGTATCTTTACTAAATAAATTTTTACCTTACCCTGTATTGCAGAGATTGCCGGAAGAAATAAAAATAAAACACGAGAAGTTAAAAGAAGAAATGATAGGTAGAATAGCTGATGTTCTATATTTGGAAACACGTTGTAATATCATGGCAAACATGCAATATCCTAATATTCCCAGGAAAAGTATTGTTAACAATGCCGGTGGACTTTGTTGATTCAAACCCCCCCCCCCCGAAAGATGCACCTTTACCTTTCATATAGCTAGCAACAATATCACACGTTGCATAACCACGTAATAATTTTGATTTCTTCAGGCAAATTAAAAGACCTTGGTAACATGGTGCTTCGCCCGTTCGGTCTTTCAACAGATAACTTTAAGCTGCAACAGGACCCAAATTCGGGAGGATATTCAATAAATTTTCAGAAATAACATATTCTAATGAAATAGAAACATGCCAGGTAATTAATTGTTCAGAGGAGGTCGAATGCTGGCGGTCGACCATTTCAAGAAATCGTATATATCTCTGCCTAATCGCATATACTAATCTTTTGCGAAGCGTTGAATACTGGATCTGCGAAAAGACATTGCTAACTATGGTTACGTCAGTGTGACCCACGGACGGAGGGATGGGTGGGGCGGGGTGAGTGTCGGGGGGTGCCAAAAGCTGAATTAAATGGTAAATTTAAGTAAATGATATTTCCTCTCCATTGGATTTAGTTTTCATCGCGCGTCTAATGACCGCTTTAGGAAATCTCTTAAGACGGCCGCTATTTAAAAACACTTTAAAAAACTTTACAGATCACCGGCGCGACTCGTCTTCATGGGATTTAATTTCCCACGGGCGGAGAGAGAGAGTGCGCCCACGGTAACCTATATTTTTGCAATTTTCAATACTTTTTCTATAAATGACCACTCTATATTACATTACACTAGCCGATTTTCCAACGTTTTAAATCCAGTCGAGTGGTCAAGTGGTTTATCTCTCGTGCGCGATGCTTAGGTTCGAAAACGGGTCGGTACAGTTTTTCTCAAATTTTTTTAAAATTTTTCTATCTTTCGAATATTTGCAAATGCAGAAATTGAACCACTGACAATACCTTTTGGGTAGTTTTAGGTCAGGGTTTGGGTCTGGTTTATTTTCGCAGTTTACTTTGTCATTTCTAAGAGTGGTAGAGTATAAGAGTAAGAGCTTTTGATGGGTGGAATATAGGTGATCTTCAGGCGACCCTCTCTCTCCGCCCGTAGAAAATTGAACCCATCCTTCATTCGGTTTCAAAGTTAAAGATGGCTGCGAATTCATCGTTCTGGTCTACTCACAGTTCCCCCTGCGACCATTTCACGAAAAGGTGTTAGAGATACGAGATTTACAATCAACTTGGAAATGTTTATTTCAAAATTCAAATGATACTTACAAAATATATCTACCAGTCAAACAACTGTTTTGTAGGCGTATAATGGTTATATGCTTGCATAACATAGTCGCTGATTGTTCAATCTAACTGAAAATATCAAAACAGAAACTTAAAATCTGCCCAACCAGCGGTGCCAATCTTCTTTGAACGCGCGGTCCAGTTGTCTGCACCATAAGTTGGAGCTGTGGCTTTGAGAAAGGTTCCATCTTGTGGAGTGGCATACAGGTAACCAGCTGGACCAAAAAATAGGAACTTGAAACTTGCCCATCCTCCGGTACCAATTTCTGTGGCACGAGCACTCCAGTTGTCACTACCATATGTTGGTGGGTAACTTTTATAAAAAGACCCATCTTCTTTAACTGCATAGAGGTCAGCATCAGGACCAAAGAAAAGGAACTTGAAACTAGCCCATCCTCCGGTGCCAATCGTCGTTGCACGGGCTGTCCAATTATCTTGAGCGTGCGTGGGAGGAGAGCCTTTCAGAAAGGTTCCATCTTGTGGAACAGCATACAAATCACCTTCTGTGTCGAAGAACAAAAATTTGAAACTCGCCCATCCGCCAGTACCAATCTTGGTCGCACGAGCGACCCAATTATCTTCGGCATACGTGGGAGGTGGGCCTTTTAGAAAAGATCCATCTTGTGGAACAGCGTACAGATCACCGTCGGGACCAAAAAATAGGAACTTGAAACTCTCCCATCCCGCAGTGCCAATCTTTTGTGCGCTGCTAATCCAGTTGTCATTGGCTTCCACTGGAGGGCTGCGTGTGTAGAAGGAACCTCCACTTTCAACAGCAAACAAGTCTTTTTTGCATGCCATGATTCACCCTATGAGAAAGATCAGCTGTTTTGAAAAATGACAGTGAATGATAAAAGAATGACTGGCGCAAAGAGAATGCCAATTTTCGCCAAATCAAGCGTAAACAGCCGTAGATTTCATTTGTAATGTAAACATGTAAATCAAGGCCTATAGACCTTTTCGGTAATTACGTCACAAGGGCTCACAACATCGTTTTAAGTTTAGAACCACCTTAAACGAGATGGATTTAAATTTCATTTTACGTCTGGCAAGCTATATGTGCAAAGATGCAATTTCGGGTTATGGCTCATTTCAACATTTATTGGTCAAAATGAAAAAACGTGTGCTTCTTCATGCATGTGTGAAGAAGGCTGCTTTGTATCTTTGCACGTGGCTCGTGAGAGTAAAACTTGAAATCCATATCATTTAAGGTGGTTCTAAATTTGAAATGTTGTGATGTTGAAATTTTATAACGTAATTACCGAAAAGGTCTATTCAGACCCCGTTTACACTAGAACGAAAGTTTCCGGATTTGTAAAATTATCCGGATTCATTGTTGCACACATGTATCGGATTCGTCAGGCGTTTACACTCACATTACTTGTTCTTGGAGGATTGTTTGGTCGTCACGTTTGAATTTCTTCGGATTCGTCGTGCAAAGCGTTTACACAAGAAAATTTTCCGGATTCAAATGTTTCTGCATGGATACGAAGTTTCCACAAACTTTTACGGATTCAAAGTTTCCGGATACGGCTTAAAACCGAATACATTTTCGATCGGATTCGTTGATGCGTGTGTAAACAGCAACATGAGTCCGGTACTAAAACATTCCGCTTTCGTGATGAATCCGGAAACTTTCGTTCTAGTGTGAACGGGGTCTCGAACGAAATTTTAAATGTACGCTGTGTTTCGTCAGAACGCAGAGTTGTTTGAATCACGCCGCCCAAACCACTCCTATTTCTGACGACCATGCCCATTCCTTTACTCTTACATTAAACTAATATCAAAGTTAAGGGTTATTATTGAAGATATTAGGAAGTTTACTTCGTGCTAGTTTTAGCCGGGAGCCTTGCAAGAAAGAAAGCTTGATATACACGATATATTGCAATAAAACATCTATTGCAAACAAACTAAGGGGCTGATTACATGGTATCGCGGATGCTCGCCTTCCAGAGCTGTACTCCGCAAGTCTCAAATTTTGAACAAACTAGAACCTTTCTTTATATTAAATCTTTCACAAATCACTTTTTCTTTTTTTCCAATCTCTCCCGAATCACATTACCTCTTCTGAATTACTTCATTTAACTGTCCGTGAAATGTACTAACAAAATAAAAATATCCCTAGTCTTCGACATATTTCAGCCCAGCCAACCGGGCCAAAAGTATTTTTCAATTACGTGGCAAGCTTTAGCGCTTTAGCCCCGCCTGGGCTGTGTTATCACGCGTCAGAATAATTTTAAATCCCGGTCCACCCCTGGATTATACCGAATTCAAATGGTCACGAAAACGTTTTAAGCTCTTTTACGGTATCTCTGGCCCCAAGAAACTTTTTCCTTTTGCAAATTATGTTAAACAATCATCTACTAGTGGGTTAAATTCGCGTTGATATAGTTAATTTTTTATTTCGTGACTATGCAAATCTGGTATAGTGTAAGTCATGCTATGCCGTGACTTTTAAGTTCTAATCATCATTCATTTCTTTAGAAATTCATTGTGTTCACAGTCAGTGAACACCATGCATGCAAAATATTTACAGCATAGCATGACTAAATTGTCGGGCTAGTATGGAAAGCTATGACTGCCTTGCCGTGCTTGCCGTAGCCAGCCAGGTTGTTTAGTCCTGCTTTGCTGATATTGAGCGTGAAACAACAGCATGACTGCCTTATGTGCTCAATGATCTTTATATCTTGGGGCGGGTTGTATCAAGGCCGTTTAGCTTTAACAGTGGATAAGTTTAAAATAGAAGGCAAGTCTATAATTTTGTTCAACAAGCAAACTAAATGCTTTTGACCTTAAATACAAAGATACTGTTTACAACTACAGATTCAGTGCATAATATTCAAGTTGACTAATTCAAGAGAGTTGTTATTTAATTTTGACTTATCCACCGTTTATGCTAAACGGGCTTGATACAACCGGACCCTTTTTTTTCACGCTCAATATCACGCCACTGCCGGGATTTTTAAAGGCAGACACAATTCACAATTGCAATTTCACATAATACTCTTAAGTCAAGACGGCCTCGTGAGATGCAATGAAAATCAATTATAAAGTTAAGCAACAATCCTGGACAAAACCTGTTAATAACACTGTTGGTAAAGTACAATTTTCATTTCATTCCGATTAACTTACTTGTTACATGCGATATTCTCCCCCCATCCCCTTGGCAATGTTGGCAATGTTGGGTTTAGCAAGCAAAGGCAACTTGAAAAGATATCCAACATTGATTGGGGGGTAAAGGGGGGGAAACACTTGCTTCAGGTTGCACCAAAACATTTTTTTAAGAATTTGAATACTTTTATTAACCGTTTTGTCCAGGATTGAAGCTACAAAAAAAGAAGGATCCCTGTGACACCGCGCCAAGGTCTTACATAAACCTAGGGCAACCAAATTTCATGTCCATGTTCACGTTTCGAACACAATAGAAAGCTTAATATATACACAATGTATCGCAATGAAGCATCTATTGCAAACAAACGATATAATATATACTAAGTTACTAACTTACCTAATCAATAATTGATACAGAAATTTTTTTAGGTCTTTACTGCAGCAGTATCAGATAGCGTTTGAATGCGGTTTAATAATAACCTTTTACACAACGGAAATATTGGTGTCTATGTGAATAAATTACATGCAGTGATGCATATTACCAGGGCAGGGCGGTCAAACGACATCACACAAGTTTTTGTTTTCTTTGTCGTGACCTTTTCTTCAGAAAAGAAAGTAATTAAACGACATAATAAGTAGATTATGTATATCTTGTATTCTGTCATGTTAATTTGTAAATAATTAAGCTATATATTCATTGTGGCCTCTTTTGTTTATATATACCTTATATCTTATATTCTTCAGAGTGTAAATGATTGTTTCATTCGCATTTAGCACTGAAGATGGCTTATAGTTAAGTCGAATTAACAAATTATGTCGGAAATTGTAATCGTGTCTGTCTTAAAAAATCCCGGCAGTGGCGTAGGCATGTTGGCTGTTTAGTCCAACTTTGCCGATATTGAGCGTGAAAACAATGAATTTCTAAAGAAATGAATGATGATTAGAATTTAAAAGTTGCGGCATAGCATGAATAAGGCCCTGTTTACACTATCAATTTGCATAGTCACGACATCACAAATTAGCTATCAACGCGAATTTAACCCACTGGTAGATTACTGTTTAACATAATTTGCAAAATGAAAAAGTACTTTGGGCCAGAGATACCGTAAAAGAACTTAAACATGTTGTCGTGACCATGTGAATTCGGTATGATGCAGGGGTGGATCTAACACTAGTACACTAATTTGCATTGCAAAACAAAGTGGTTATTTTTAGCAGTTTTCTTGTGTCATGCAAATTAGTGCATTCACTATAGTGCTAGACCCATCCCTGCATTATACCGAATTCACATGGTCACGACAACATGTTTAAGTTCTTTTGTACTTTTTCATTTTGCAAATTATGTTAAACAATAATCTACCAGTCGGTTAAATTCGCGTTGATAGCTAATTTTTGATGTCGTGACTATGCAAATCTGATAGTGTAAACAGGGCGTTAGTCATGCTATGCCGCGACTTTTGAGTTCTAATCATCATTCATTTCCTAATTTATTTTCTTTATTATAATTCTTTTATTCCAATCGACTTAAATATAATCCATCTTCAGTGCTAAATGCGAATGAAACAATTATTTATAGTGACGAAGAGTAGAAGGTATATTATAAACAGAAGAGGCCACAATGAATGTATACGACATGTAAAAGGACGAAACTCCGCATTGTCAATAACAACTTAAGCAAAATCACAGTCGTTCCCAACTTGGCCTTGTATGATGCTCAGACGGTAGAGCATCGTTCTAGAAATGCGAAGGTCGCGGGTTCGATTCCCACCGCGGTCAAGTAGAATTTTCTGCTTGCCCGGTTGGTCATATTTGTGTTGAAGAACAAATACACCTTACATATATATATATATATATATATATATATATATATATATATATATATATATATATATATATATATATATATATATATATATATATATCCAAACAATGTGCCCTCCCGGGTATCACCAGAGCGCAATGATGACTCCTGCACTTGGGACACAGGACGTACGGTTACACTTACACATTGTTGGAATTGAATAGTAGAGTCACCAGAGCGCTCAAACTTAAACAAGCGAGCGTTGCATAAAGCTTACGGTGAACGTCTTGCGATGAGACTCTCCACACAATTCCTAGAGCGCTCTAACCGCATGCATATATATATAAATATATATTGCTCTATTTGCTTGCAGTATTGAGCACTCTTTTATCTCATACGAAGAATTTCTTAATAATTGTTTATATATATATACATATATATATATATATATATATATATATATATATATATATATATATATATATATATATATATATATATATATATATATATATATATGGATTGACAGTTTATATACACGTGCGTAGACACGAATGGAACTCATTATAATTGAACTTTGAAACTATGATGACAATATTAGGTATCAAATAGCAATCATAGCATTAGCATATAGACGCACAGCGAGACGGAAAAGGTGTAAATATAACGCATGTTTTGTTAAATAAGTAAATGAAAGAAAGACGGGCTAACCTGAACGATAAACGATGAAATAGACAGCTAAAGGATCTCGCCACAGAAGTAAGACATTGACTTTATATTCTAGTTTGTTTACGCAGAATTTATGCATTGTATGGGTAATTTATACGCCACACGTGCGAACATTTATAGGCTTATATGCATGTTTACTTTAATATTTCTTTGTATTAATTTGCTCTATTTAGATCGAATTGTTATTATATAATTTATAATGCGATTTGCGAGACTTCTTTGGTTTAATGTCTGAGATTACTTGCTAACCGGTCGTCTTGGTTCCGACGAAACACTATTCGATTTCTTGCTAACCACGGTTCGAAGGAATTTGAGACGAATTATACTGTAAAACGACAATGGAAAATATGACATCGAAAGACGGCAATTGCGACGATTTTAAGAAAGCTAAGATGAAACGACGAAACGGCAAAGCAGCATTAACACGGCTCGGGAAAGTTATAATAGTCCAAATCGAGGGGAAACGTTCGACCGATGAGGTTCAAAGGGCGCTTGATAATTATGAACACGCATTTGCCGACCTGGAAGCCAAACACGAAGAAGTGACAATGCTAATCGAAGATGACGAACAGTTCAATGAGGAAGAACGATATATTGAACAATGCCAGGAAACCTTTCTGCGCTTAAAAATTGACGCGCAAGATTATATAAAGCAACAGACGAAAATATCAGAGATGAAACAAAATACTGTCGAAACCGGAAGCGTAAATACTCCCGCAGAGAACTTGTCGAATGAAGAACAAATTAACGAAATCCCGGCCGGCGAAGAAAGTCATGCATCGATACCGAATGAAGAAAATCAAGACAACCAGATATCAGCACCAGTAGCTCAAGAAACCCAAAGTCATCCTGTACAACCCAGCACATCTATTAATGATTCATCGTTCAACACAACTGAGAACACCGCGGAGACAGCAACTCATATAAGCAAAGGAGAAAGCCTATTTCGAATTGAGAAGCCAAAGATGCCAAAATTCACTGGTGACGTCAGAGAATTTGGAACTTTTAGAGCGGACTTTAAGCACTTGGTGGAAATTACAGTAAACGTGATGCAATAACCATTCTGAGGTCTAGTCTCCAAGGAAAACCGCTGGAAATGATCAAGGGAATTGGTCAAGACTATGATGCCGCATGGGAATATCTCGATTCCGTGTATGGAGATCCACGATTTGTTGCTGACATCATCACTCACGATATCTCCAAGTTTAAGCCAATAAAGGACGGAGAAGATGCCCGGTTTTGCGACTTGGTCCATTTAATAAAGCGGAGTTTCAACACCCTTAGAGAAGTAGGACGGGAGAATGACATGGATAACAACCACATGCTGGCTATCATTGAACAGAAAATGTTTACCGACGATCGCAAAGTCTGGTCACGCTATTTGGAGAGTTCAAAGAGTCAAGCCACATTGGAGTCGTTAATTTCCTGGATGACAAGTGAGATGAAGTCGAGAATGAGAGCAACGGCACCATTAAGAAGCTCATGGCAGTCACCCAAGCATGTTGGACATGTTACTGGAAAAGAAGATGGGAAGCCAACAAACCATAAGTGCTGGTTCTGCAAAACGTCTGAACATTGGACCGATCAATGCCAAAAGTTCCTTGCCCAGAGTGCTAGCGACCGCCTGAAAGTTGTGAAGGAGAACCATGCCTGTTATAGCTGCCTGAAGCGAGCTGGTCGTGGTCACAACATGTCAACCTGCTCTCGAAGGCGCCAGTGCAGCGAGACCATCAGCGGAGTTCAGTGCAAGCATTACCATCATCCACTATTGCATATTTTAAACATATCTGCTGTGTCATCTGTTACTACTAGCGGAGAGACTATGTTACCGACTATTCAGGCAGAAATCCTGGGACCAGAAGGTCAAGAAACAGGCTAATATGTTACTAGACACTGGTGCTCAAATCAGTTTAATACGGACATCAGTCGCTGAGGAGCTGGGTCTCAAAGGCAAGAGTGTCACAGTAACAATGGCGAAAGTTGGAGGAGAAGAAAATGAGATGTCAACAAAGATGTATCGATTCCAAATTCGATCCCTCGAGAACCAGTCCATCCACACAATTGCAGCTGTGGGAATCCCAAGTATCAGTGGTGATATTTCCGGAATGAAACTTGATGGCATAGCTGAAGCTTTCAACCTTGAAAGAGAGAAATTACGAAGAGAGAATGGTCCAATAGATGTCCTGTTGGGAATTGATCAACCGAAGTTGCACACTGGTGAGACAAAAGAAGCTGGTAATCTTGTTGCAAGATATTCGCCATTGGGATGGGTTGTCTTTGGAGCCACGTCTGAAAAGTGTGACGTCAGTCAAGTCTACCATGTCAAGTGTTCAAATCCCATCGATATGACCGACTTTTGGACCACCGAATCAATGGGCGTGGAAGGGAATATGTGTTCTTGTGAAAGCAAGAAGTTAAGTCCAGTTGAAGCCTACGAAGCCAAGATTATAGAACAATCCTGCAAAAAGATTGGTAATAAATGGTTAGTTTCATACCCCTGGGTCAAAGATGCATCTGAATTACCGGATAACAGAAGCCAAGCGGAGAAGAAATTGGAAACAACCGAGCGTCGATTAGCCAAGAACCCAGATCATGCAGAAGCGTATGACAAGCAGATGAGGGAAATGAGTGAAATGAACTTCTCTCGAAAATTATCAAGTGAAGAATTAAAGTCATACAAGGGACCAACCCACTACATATCCCACCATGAGGTAGTCAGACCCGAGAAGAAGAGCACCCCCATCCGAATTGTTTTCAATTCCTCAGCATCGTATAAAGGGCACCGCTTAAATGATTACTGGATGAAAGGACCCGATTTACTAAATAATCTGTTTGGAGTTCTCCTACGATTTCGAGAAAATGAAGTGGCTATCAACGCGGATATATCCAAGATGTATCACAGAATCCTAATCCCGGAAAGAGATCAACATGTTCACCGATACCTGTGGAGAAACATGGATACGGATCGAGAACCTGATGTTTATGTCAAAACAGTCTTGACATTTGGTGACAAACCAGCCCCAGCCATGGCACAGACCGCGCTGCAAAAGACTGCTGAAGAAGGAGAAAAACGCTACCCTGCAGCTGCTGAAGTCTTAAAGAAGAATACTTACATGGACGACATATGCGATTCGGTCCATTCTGAAAATCAAGCAAGAAAAATAACAGCAGAGATTGACGAAATCCTTCGCAACGGTGGTTTTAACGTGAAGTGTTGGCTCTCAAACCGGTCATTAAAGAAGAATGATGAAAGCGTTATTGAAAAAAGTGAATTGGAATTAAAGCTCCTACAAGGCCCAGTTGAAGAGAAAGTTTTGGGAACTGTCTGGAACCACCACGACGACGTTTTTGGGTTCAAAGTGATTCCTCCTGAACTAGTTAAACTTACGAAGAGAGCAATACTAAGCAAGTAGCTCGGATCTACGATCCTCTAGGAGTAGCTGCAGCTTTCCTGATTCGCGCCAAAATAGAGATGCAAAAACTGTGGTTAGAAGGACTACAATGGGATGATGAATTGCCGCCGAATCTCCAAATAACGTGGATACGATTCTTCCAAGAGATGAACGACCTGAACAACGTCACCTTCGAAAGGTCTCTTACGCCAGATTCCGTGATCGGAGCGCCAGTACTATGCATTTTCTCGGACGCATCGATTGAAGCCTTCGGAGCATGTGCTTACATCAGATGGGAGACAGAAAACAACACCTTTGTAACCAGGTTCATCGCAGCAAAGTCAAGAGTAGCCCCACTGAAGTCGCTGACCATACCTCGTTTAGAGCTACAAGCAGCTGTCCTGGCGACACGATTATGTTGTTCTATTCTCGAAGAGTCTCGAATGAAGTTTGTGAAGATAATTTTCTTCTCTGACAGCCACATTGTTCTTTCATGGATCCGTAACCAACCCAGAGAGTTTAAGCCGTTCGTTTCAGCCCGAATTGCCGAAATCCAGAGCAAGTCTGAACCAGATCAGTGGAGACACGTTCCTGGAGAGCTAAATGTCGCTGATGATGTGTCGCGAGGAATACCTGCTCTGCAACTGACAGGCAGATGGAAGTATGGCCCCGAGTTTCTGAAGTTACCGGAGGAAGAATGGCCGAGCGAGTCGTCTTCTGCTACCATCACTAAAAGCGTGGATATCGATCAGTCTGAACGTCGAAAAGTTCAACCTGTCTTTCAAGTAACCCAATCGCCAGAAGTCATTCCGTGCAAGAAGTTTTCCAGTTGGGGGAAACTTATCCGAGTCACAGCCTATGTGTTACGGTTCATCAACACGCTACGAAACAAGCATCAAAACAAAGACAACACAGAAACGACCCGACCGAAAGACACCTCAGATGATAGATCAATCTCAGCAAAGGAGTTAGAAGATGCCGAGTTGTATTGGGTCAAACAAAGTCAGAAGTCACTTCATGATCGCCTGAAAAAGGGAGAACTGAAAGGACTCACCCCGTTTACCGATGACAACGGAGTTATCAGAGTCGGAGGTCGAGTAAGCGAAGCCGTAATCTCGTACGATGCCAAACATCCAGTTTTACTCCCACGTGAACACTGGATATCCCTGCTGATCACTCGTAACTTCCATCGAAACGGCCACTCAGGAGTTGCAACAACCGTTGCAAAGATCAAGAAAAAGTTTTGGATTATCCGATGTCATGATCTTGCCAAGTCAATAAAGTTCCGATGCGTATGTTGTCGCCGAATCCAAGCCAAAACCGAGGAGCAGTTCATGTCAGACCTACCAATTACCCGACTGGAGCCATTCACACCACCCTTTCATCGCACGGCATGCGATTACTTCGGTCCTTACCAAGTTAAAATTGGCCGAAACAAAACAACCAAACACTATGGCGTACTGTTTACATGTCTGAATACTCGTGCCGTACACCTGGAAATCGCAGTGGACTATTCCGCTATGGAATTCTTGCAAACCTTACGTCGATTTTCGCAATCCGTGGACAACCGGCTCTGATGATCAGTGACAACGGGACGCAGCTGGTGGGAGCTCAACGTGAACTCCGAGAAATGATAGAAGGATGGAACGAGAAAGAGTTGAAGGAATTCAGCGCCGAGAAAGGAATGGAGTGGAGATTTATTACTCCTGCAGCACCACATCATAACGGTTGTGCTGAGGCTCTTGTCAAGAGTTCGAAGAAAGCATTAAAGATCGCGATTGGTGAACAAATTTTGGCTCCGTTCGAGCTGTACACATGCTTGCTGGAAGTTAGTAACCTGATTAATCAGCGTCCTATTGGAAGGATCCCCAATGATCCAGATGACGGTTCTTTCCTTTGTCCAAACGACATTTTACTTGGTCGAGCATCAACAATGGTACCACAAGGGCCATTCAGAGAAACGAAGAATCCTCAACATCGTGTTGAATTTGTCCAGAAGATCATCGATAGTTTTTGGAAGCGTTGGAGCAGAGATGTATTTCCCACCTTAGTTCCCAGAAAGAAATGGACTACTGAAAAAAGAAATGTACGAGTGGATGACATCGTCGTGGTTCAAGATACGAATGCGATTCGTGGAAACTGGACTACGGGCAGAATTGTTAATGTATATCCTGGAAATGACGGACGAATTCGTAACGTTAAGGTGAAGACATCCACATCGCACTACGAAAGACCTATTACAAAAGTCGCAGTACTGTACCCTGCAGAAGGATATGAAGATAAGTAACTCACAATTAGTAACATTAAGTGATGAGGAAGAGTCCTCATCGGGGGGGAGAGTGGATTGACAGTTTATATACACGTGCGTAGACACGAATGGAACTCATTATAATTGAACTTTGAAACTATGATGACAATATTAGGTATCAAATAGCAATCATAGCATTAGCATATAGACGCACAGCGAGACGGAAAAGGTGTAAATATAACGCATGTTTTGTTAAATAAGTAAATGAAAGAAAGACGGGCTAACCTGAACGATAAACGATGAAATAGACAGCTAAAGGATCTCGCCACAGAAGTAAGACATTGACTTTATATTCTAGTTTGTTTACGCAGAATTTATGCATTGTATGGGTAATTTATACGCCACACGTGCGAACATTTATAGGCTTATATGCATGTTTACTTTAATATTTCTTTGTATTAATTTGCTCTATTTAGATCGAATTGTTATTATATAATTTATAATGCGATTTGCGAGACTTCTTTGGTTTAATGTCTGAGATTACTTGCTAACCGGTCGTCTTGGTTCCGACGAAACAATATATATTTATTTATTGCTTAATAATATTTACAAATCGCTACTCAGAGTTTCACGCTAATGCGATTTTCAAGCGATTGAGATACTACTCTCTAAGCTCTAACGGGTTTGTTTGGTTCGCGTTCTGGTTGCTGACGCGGTCTTCTTGCGTTTAAAATTCCACGCGCTGAATTTGTTTCTGTGACAGCATTTCGAGAAAAGCTCATTTCGTTTGTTCAGGAGATTTTCCGACTTTGACTTTATAATTTGAAGCTTTTCCTCTGTGCAGAGCTTGCAACGCTTTCCGCCCGGAGTATAGGCTTGTGCACGCTTAATTATTGACCATTTTATAGCAAATTCTTTGCAGGCATTCTTTAGTTTCCACACATATTTTGATAGTTCAGTTTCCGATGAATATTGGAGGTGCCTAAATGATTTAATGTGGTTTCCATATCTCTCTTTAAAGGTGTTTGATGTCATTCCTATGTATGTTTTTACTAAACAAAACTATCAAAATATGTGTGGAAACTAAAGAATGCCTGCAAAGAATTTGCTATAAAATGGTCAATAATTAAGCGTGCACAAGCCTATACTCCGGGCGGAAAGCGTTGCAAGCTCTGCACAGAGGAAAAGCTTCAAATTATAAAGTCAAAGTCGGAAAATCTCCTGAACAAACGAAATGAGCTTTTCTCGAAATGCTGTCACAGAAACAAATTCAGCGCGTGGAATTTTAAACGCAAGAAGACCGCGTCAGCAACCAGAACGCGAACCAAACAAACCCGTTAGAGCTTAGAGAGTAGTATCTCAATCGCTTGAAAATCGCATTAGCGTGAAACTCTGAGTAGCGATTTGTAAATATTATTAAGCAATAAATAAATATTTCTGCTCTGTTACTTCTTTATCATCGAGCACTCTTCATATTAACAACAAAATTGCATTTTTGTTTATTTATTTATTTATATATATATATATATATATATATATTTTTACGAGTGAGAAATTCGACTCTAAACATGTTTTGCACTTCGGTTGCGCTTTGGGTGAACGTGTAATTTGTTACAATAAATACTCGCTGCTTTGTTGTATATATACAGGGTGTCCGCTCTATTGGAATCAGAATCTGATTGCCTCTATCCTCCCAGCGGAATTAGTATCCTCGCACCGATATTTACACCCACGATGTGCAAATGCGAAATCAAAGTCGTCCGCCATTATGCAATGGACCTTACGTTATGACACCGTGGACCGTCTTCTACGTTATGCGCATGCACCAGTGTGAACTACTAAGATCTTGATTGGTCGAGACAAAAATTTGTATTTTCAAACGTCAATGAATAACTGTCATTTCGCAAAATTTTGAATTGATGGAATTTATAAGTTTATATTTTCATAAATTAATATGGAATATATGTATATTTAATTAAATTAGAGGGAAACTCGAATGTAGTCCAAACTTTTCACGGTTTGACAAATAACAAGACCTAATTTTCGACTTAATTCAATCTGTATAATGAAGTCGGAAGATTTAACACTTGAAAATATTTCATCGGCACAGCTTTAAAAAGAAATTCTTTTGTGGTAAACACAACTTTAATATTCTCAAATGTATTTCACTATAAATCTGAATGTGTTATGTGACTATACGACGTTATGATTTCATTTATAAATTCCGTTTTCATAATGACAAAAAGAAAAGAAAATCAAAATATTCGCGTGCAAAAACCAGTTGAGGCGTAAAATAAAACTTCGGAAGTTGTATGAGACGTCTGATGTTATATATTCACGGTAATTAATAATTCAAATAATTTACCATAGCACTGACTATGGATGAGTAACTTAACTTCCAGAAAAAGGTAAGAATCTTGTCGTATTTTTGCGACTTTTTTAACAAAATATGCCAGATAAACATCGATTGCAGATCGATTTTTTTTAAATATACGGCCTCAGAATAGACATACCAGAAGCCTCACTCTGCATTTGGCGTGAGAAAATTTTGACGCCACCTGACGCAAGCCAAGTACTGGAGCACATGCAAGCATAATGGCGCTTAATTTCCAGTTTGTGTCTTGCCCACGGAATCCAGGTGTGTGCAGGAACTTTTTCATAGGGGTGCAAAGCTCCTGCACACACCAAGATGGCATAGAATTGCGTAGAATGACGCGTGCGCGTCTGAAAAATTTAGGACACGAAAACATTAGCAAAATCCAAAGAGTGAGGCTTCTGGTATAATATCTATTCTGTGATACGGCCGTCGTGAGTTGCTCTGACTACAATTCTTCCACGACCATAAAATATTTCCATACTTTCCTCAATTTCTTTTTTCCCCTCCAAACCTCCAACCCACAAAAATTTTCTTACTATCATGTTACCATTCCTTTGATAATTTAACATAGAAGTATTATTTTATATGAATAAATAAGGAGAAGACACATTACATCACATCACGCTACATTAGTTAGCATAATTGATTGTCACATACATTACATCACAAAAGACGACTTCTATGTACATGGTTGAAAAAGCGGCACTGTAATAATGTATGCATCTTGCCCAAAAAAAATTATCTCAAGTTAAGTTCATGTTATCACATTTGTGTATTACTGAGATGGCTATGTACCATTAGTTCATATGGATTACTTGACTAGTTGTTCGTTATTCCTCTTTCGGAAAGCGACAATTGTCGCAATCTACGTATTTTTGGCAAAAACCAGTGTGAAGTAATGCCACTTTGTTTTCTACTTACCCTTGATATATTAAGCTATCCATAAAGAGAAATCCACAAATCAAAAGAGCGTAATTTTAAGAATACATATTTACTCTAGGCTAATGATTGTCGTAAGAGGGAGTGAAGTACAAAAACATCAAAGCTGAGAATGAACTCACTAAAATGTAGATATATTGCCAGTACTACTGCTAAGGTAGTCAAACATTCAGATCAATTGGCAATGGAATTTCTAAAATTCTAGATCTACAGGATGTCTCAAAAAAACCCGCAACCACTTAACTTATATAGTCGCACCATAGTTCAGCTAAAATGACTTTTAGCATTTTAATTGAAGGATTAAGAGCCATTTTCAATGCCCAGAGACCAGAGGTGCTTATCTATTGCGCTTTAGAGCTGTATTAATGTTCTTTCATATTTAAGTGGTTGTGGGTTTTTGAGACACCCTGTATTCTCCCCGCCGCGATATGTTTTACCATTCAGTAATTAGTGCAACACAGCAGACAGTGTAGTTGATCGAGCTCATATCACAAGCTTTGATCTTTTTCGTTTATATTCATATATTGTAGATCAATGCCGCCCTTGAGAAACTTACGGCTCGTTTGAATATCTTGTCTCGTACTCTGGAAATTAAAGGTTTTAACGACAAAGTGTTGAGTTAAATTAAAGGCTTGTCAACATTAGCGTAGCCAGCCTGACTATTTGTCCCGGAATGTTAATATTTTGGTATTTATTGACTGTGAAAACAATGAATTTCTAAAGAAATTGATGATTATAATAACACGAAATTTACATAGCGGGACTGAAAAAATCGTCAGGCTGGCTAAGCCACTGCTTGTCAATTGTTTATACTTAAACATAAACTCAACAAAGTTGTGCTTGATTTCATAGCAAGTTGTGCCCATTACTATAAACATGGAATGAGAAATGATGGCGTTTATACCATCGATCCTGATGGGTTGGGATCGTTTCAAGTCAGATGTGATATGAGCAGAGATGGTGGAGGCTGGACCGTGTTCCAAAAAAGTCAAGATTTCTACCTTGGATGGTCAGACTATAAAACAGGCTTTGGTGATCTTAATGGCGAGTTCTGGTTGGGCCTTGATAAAATACATCGTTTGTCCAAATCTGGCCAAAATGAGAGTGGATTTGGTGGATTTTAATAGTGCTGGAGGTTACGCTAAATATGGAATGTTTAGTATCACCGATGAATCTGACAAGTACAGATTAGACGTTAACAGGTTAGTATTCAGGTAATCAACGTCTATGGTAATATTTGTTTCCAATACTGCACAAAAGTAAGCAGCTAACTGATAGGAAAATAAAATTGGTCCAGTAATAAAAGCTAGCAATAGAGAGTTTAATATGCACCAAATCTACGATGCGGACGTGACATAAAAACTGCTACTAGTGTTAGGAAACCAGTATTGATTTGTTTTACATACGGCTCTGACTTTCTTCATTAAAAAGAGTCTATAATTTCCATCTCTGTTTGGGAACTGTGGAAATTACAGCAGTATTACTTCACGTCCGCGTCGTAGATTTGGTGAATCTTAAACTCGCTTATGTTTTGAGTGTACAACTTCGTTCTTAATTTACTCAGGCTAAAATACAAATCTTTTACAAGTCAGCAAAGAAAATACAACTTGGTGGTGTACAAGAAGATGAAAATATAACTTTCTGTTGAGATATTTATTAATTGAGTTTTTTTAGCCAACGCAGGAGACTCCCTTGATTATCACAATCAAATGCAGTTCTCTACCAAGGATAGTGACAATGATGTCATTAATAGCCGTAACTGTGCAGTTAGCTACAGTGGGGCTTGGTGGTACAAATCGGGCCATGATTGCAATCTCAATGGTATATACAAGGGTAGAGATCAAAGTAGTGACAGTGGAGTGACATGGTACTCTTGGCGTCAATATTATTCCATGAAAATGACGGAAATGAAAATTCGTCCCAACACGTTTTAAGGCCTGCACAAACTTTATTTAAAAACTGTTTTTCCATCAAATTTGATGAAGTGAAACTGTTGTGTAACAATGTATGGTCTAATTTGATCGCTGATAAATATTTTTTGCCCAATGGAAGGTTGAAACAGGGGCGCAATCCAGTCCCTTTGTTATTCGGTAACTCCTTGCTACTCGCAAATTGTAACAATAGTCGATATCTGTTCGCATGATTCCAATGTTTTCTTTTACTAACATATGTTTTATATATAAGCTGCATATAGTACACATGAAAAATACAGAAATGTTTAACAATTATTCGCCTGATATTGTTGTAAAGACTAAAGCCCCTGTTACACTGTGCAATTTTTCATGCAACTTGGAATACAATTCTACTTTTGAGAAATGTAAATTTGGCCAAAGTTTGATCAAAAGAAAATGAGCAAGTATCTTGCTGGCGAACTATTCCTCCACGAGTGAAAATCCAGCCTTAACGAGAGATGACAAGAAATGGTGAGAATGAAGGAGAGTTGAAGAGAAATTATGAAATATGAGTGAAGTTGATGAGCCAAACTAAATAAGAAATAAGTTGCCATGGTCTACTTACATCGTAAAACAGAAACACAAGTCTTCCCGCTGTGAAAAAGTCGACAGTTTCGCAAGCAAAATAAAGCAATTAACGTACGTAAGACAATAGGCCATTATGTCACGTGTGCATGACGTGTTAGCACGGGACAATTCGCGCACGCAACAATTCGCGCACGCGAGGGCCATTTTCAACTTGACGAATTTTCTTTTCACGTGAAAAAGAAATACAGCAAAGTAACTTACCTGCAAAAATACTTTTCAAAACTATATCATTTCACTAGCGAAACACTTCGACGGGATTTCTGATTTAGCTTTATTATCATCTCGTTAGTGTCGACGCGACCAGAATGCGACGTATGCATGTAACCTGGGCTTAAGTATCTTTGGCGTGCTCCAAAATCTTATCTATTCGTAGAGGAACTACACGTTATAATTATAATGGTAGAAATATAGAGGTAAACACATGGTTGCGAAGAAATATGAAATAAGTGAGATATCAATTTCTAAAAGAGAAATAATTTATAAAAGTTCAAGGCCCTTGTGTTAAGTTAGTGTACCTTTTTACCAGAGCGAGTCAAAATTTATGCATTCCGATTGGGTTACAGAAAATGTAAATTAACTAACTCGCTGATGGGTTTAAAACGAAATTCCCCCTTTTTCACATATACATGTTAGTGATCTTACCTGTTGCAAGGTGCGACGATAGGGAAAAACCTGACCGAGGTCATGAAATGACCAGACGATGAGGAAACGGCACTCCAGTATTTTCTTGGGAAGTACAATATACTTTAATTTACATTTTAAAGTGCTAAAACAGGGCAACCTCTCTGGACTTTCCCATCAGGCTACAGCCCCTTCGGCAAATATTTTAACCCAGGCTACGACTGCACAGACATTCTGAACAGGAATTTGGGGGCTCGAGATGGATTTTGTGTGATAAAATTGCATATATATAATCAATACATTGTTGTTGGTTTTTTTTGTAGATCTATTGTGACATGACAACAAATGGAGGGGGATTTGCGCTGATTGGTAAACTCGACAGTTCTGTGACATGGAAAGTTCCATCCAAAAACACAACAGTTGATCCATTTGGTGAACCTCAGTGGTCCAGTGATCTCGTTGACGCTCAAGTTCTTGATTTCAGAATACAAATATCCACAACAGAAAATCTTGCTGAAGCAAAGGCTCACTGGTGATAACATCGGCTTTTACATAATTATTGATTGTATTAATTTTAATTAATTTCCAACAGCTGTTCTCATGATTCTAGTAACTCGGCACATTTCTATGATAAAATGAAACATATTACAAACAGGGGTTAACGTGGGTTAACTGAACCTTTACTTTGCAGGTCCTACAGACTACGAAATATACGTCCTCTGAAAAATTTGATGATTGTTAATCAGGGGGGTTGTGGAGCAACGTCGCCAGGCATTGGTGATATCGCTTATGTCAAAGATCTCCGGACTGGAAAAATTGTTGCGACAAAATTTCGCTGCTCAAAATTTGGAACGTATACGCTGATCCTTCTCAAAAATCCGGATGGGTTTGTTCTTAAAATTGTTGGGTTTGCTAATTTGTTTCCCTCAGCTTTTAGTGTTTGGTATGAGAACGAGCGGCATAATTGCTGGTAATATTTATTTCCGATGATTCACTATTAGTTATATTTTCTGTTCATTTCAAGGCCATGCTGAACGAATGCTTTGAAAAGCAAGCCCCAAAGGCTTTGCTTTTCACCAAAAGTATCCTATTCAAACAGATTCTTCTGGATCTTTCAGGTATGACAAATCGAATGACTTCAAATAACCGTTTCATTCTTATACATGTATATTAATTAGGGTTAGACTCCCTAAGCACTCCCCCCTCGCGTTTGCTGTTTTAAGCTGATCTGTATTACGTAACTGAATATATAATGTAATCCCCGTGCCGGTGCGGAGCACCGTGCGAGGGTACTAATTCCGCCCGGAGATTAGGAATTACACCCGGGACCCGGGAGAACATAGCGGAATCCAAAGTTACCACTGAGCTATATAATAGAGAGCTTTAGATTTGACTACGGCTCCCGCTACGGCTACGAGATTCGTCATTTGCGCGCCAATCACGCCACGGTCAGCTATCGCTAGTAGGGTTTGCGCGAAAACTTTGTAGCCGTCGCCTCGTCTAGTACGACATTTTTTAAAAACTTGGTAGTCTCGATTACGTGGTGAAGCCGTGAAGGAATTTTAAAAGGTAAGGCGTTATAGCTAAGTGGCTATATTCTTATTATTATGCAGAATATTTTCTTATGAACCGGAAGTGGAAGGGCCCCCTGTCGGTAAAGTCTGAGTACAACTTTGTTTACATTTTGTTTATAAAATTTTCGTCAAGATGTGTCCACTTCTTCGTGTCTACGTTTATGGTTGTGCTGTTTTTCTTGATATAAATCTTCAACCGAATCGACGGCTTCAACTAATGTCAAAATTTCTTAATATTTTAAAAGCAAAATGCTACGAAGACCGTGTTCATATATCAAGCGTTTATTTTTATAAAATACAGTTTGAATTTTTTTATTAAATCAAACCATTTTTATTGTATTGTTTGTATACTTATTTACCATTTAAACAGACATATATTTTATACATAAATTTAACTTATTGTCTTTTTAGATGGAAAGCGAAAACACAAATGAGACGGGGAAAAAGGGTGTCTTTGTTTGGCGCGAATACCATGACAGATATTTGTTGGGGGAAGTGCTAACTTTTGAGCCATACAAGTATCGTTTCGGCTCGAAGGAAAGGGGATCTGCGTGGACTTCAATTGCCGAACATTTGGAAGAATTTGGCATGAAGGTCAGCCAAAGATCGGTGAGGGAGCGGTTTAGTCGGATGATGGATGCATTTAAGAAGAAAGAAGCGGTTGAGAAGAGAGCTAGTGGTGTGGATGTTGACTATACAGAGAAGCACAAAGCATTGCTAGATATCATGGAGAGGATGGAAGAGTGCGAAGCAGAAAGTGAGCAAGAAAAACAGAAGGAATTGCGGGAAAAGGAAACAGCTGAAGAGATGAGGAAGCGTGCGGTCGAGAGGTTTGGTGAGACGAGGAAGAGGTTGAATAGTGAGAATGTAGATGGGGAGATGCCAAATGGAAAACGGAAAAGGAGTGGGGAAATGATAGAAGTGCTAAAGGAGTCTATAAAGGCAACCAAAGAAAGAGAGGAAGCTGAAAGAGAAATGCGAGAAAGGGATATGAGTCTAAAAGAGCAGCAGTTAGCAATGCAACAGCAGTTCCAGCAAAGTCTGTTGGAACAACAGCAGCAGTTTCAAGTGCAACAACAAGCCATGACTATGGCAATTGTCAATGCAATGACTGAATTGGTAAAAACCATTAAAAAGTAAATTTTCCTTTTATTTAACATTTGCATGGCAACAACTTTTTATATTACAACCAGAATATTTATATGTTAATAATATGTACAGTGTAAATATCAATTTATGAATAGGAAATTATTATTTAATACCAATTTTTACACACTTGATAACAAAATTATTCATATCCCGAACACAAAATTTGAGGTTTTGCACTTTTTAAAAAGGAATAAATGAGTTGGGAAATTTTGGGCTTTCCTCAATGCCACAAATCAAAATCAAGCTCTTAAATAAGATATTTTTGCTTCACACCCTATAAGTATAAAGCAATGATTGACAAGGACATGAATATTTTTGTTGTCAAGTGCAGTTATATTATTTACATATTGTTTTAAAAATAATTTAAATATTTTTCAAATGTACAAATGTTAATTGTAATTATTCCACATCAAAATTGTTTGTTTGAAAATATTCCTGAAGAGTCGGTGGGGCAAGACCAAAAAAATATGTAGTCGTGGAACCATGTAAACATGTAAGGGCATTTCTCAGCAAGGCACACACTACATAAATCTTTCCAACATGACTTAAACCAATCTTCAGATTAGGTTTGAAATTCAGGAATGCGAAGTAAGATGTAATATCCCCAAAAACCCATTCGACAGCAACCCGAACAGAACTCATAGACCTATTAAATTCCTGCTCCTCATTACCTAAATTGCCATGTCGGTATGGTGACTGAAGGTGTCTTCTCAGAGGGTATGCAGGATCACCGTATATGCATAATGGTTCACCTGTTTCTGTGTTGCAGTGTTCCTCAAGTGACTGCAACAAGCCAGACATCCTTAGCATGGCTGCATCATGCCTTTTCCCTTCACATAACAAAATGTCCAGTGGTAACATAGAGAACTTAATTCAAGGGGGTTAATCCATCCCCATATTAATTTAAACAAGTGCCACAGTGGTTACATGAAAGCTGATTGAAGAAGCTCTTCATGAGCCTGTAACCCTGGTATTTATAAAATATATAGTCCTGCAAAGTATATACACAAATGTATATACACACATGTTTGTTTACCTATAATTATAATTTGTTTATAACTGCAAAACAGAAACATATACCCACCTACTGGCCCGTAAAGGTTAGCAATAAGTCCATTTGGAGCAACTACGGATTGAAATTTAATTGCATGGACTCGTTTGTGGCCGTTATAAACGTGTCGCTGGTGCTGACAAGGGCGAGCGATTGCTCTGACGGTGCCATCAACGAAACCCCAACAGTTGGGTAATGCTGCTCCGTGCTGATGAATAGCATCTGCGAATTCTTCCAGACATTGAGGTGCAAGCCACGGCTGATTCAATGTTCTCAACAAATATCCGTGTGTTTGGTAGATAAAATCAACAACCTCAGACGTTATTAGACTTAACTCTGGTACTGATCTTCCAAACCGATGTACAATATCACCAAATCTACATGGGTATGCAAAACGTCGCAATAGGATGCATAAACCTTCAATTCCAGAAGCCACCGTGCCATTAGAGCAGCGAAATTGTTCGGGAATCATCAATGCTTCGGCTAAGGCGTCCAATTCTGATTTGTTAACTCTGAACTCGGCTAGGCACTCGTCGTCATTCATTTGCTGTAGCTGGACATTGATGTTATCGTATTGCCAGTACGGAAATTCCGGCGAGGTTCGCTTGGTTGCTTCGTGTATGACAAGAAATTCTTGTGCGGATATATACTTTTGCGTAAATAAAAATGCAGCTGCTTCTAAAAGCGTTTTATTGCAATACATGTCGATGTTGTTAAAATGGATCCAACTAAAAATACGACTACCAGCACAAAAAAATCACGAATGCAGTACTCGTACTCGTAGTTGCAGCCATCTTAACAACTACGCGCTTGACAACGACTACGGCTACGAAGTTTATAGGACCCAGTCTTTTCGCAGTCGTTCACGTAGCGGTAGCGGGAGCCGTAGTCAAATCTAAAGCTCTCTAATAATTCCTGGAGGACCGGCTGCCAAATCGTGTCGCCAAAAACATGGCGGATTTTGAGCTTTGCTGACGCCACATGGTTCTTTTTGCTCATGGTGGTTACCACTGACATACCGCGATCACAGATTACCCAGATGTCTCACTTCTTATTAAAAAAGCGTAAGCGCTTGCTCAGCAAGTGACTAGAGGCATCCCCCCCCCGAAAATTCAAAATGGAGCCGAACTATTTTATACATGGAAAAAAACCTCCTCTTATTTGCTAGAGAAGGCGACTGTGTAGTTACGTTTGTGTCTGAATCCATCATCATCTATACGCGCTTTGGAAAAGTGAGTTTAGAGTACCTCGTTTTCAATATTGTACGAGTGTTTTATCTTTTTTCGATTGTCGTAGGAGCGGAAAATTATAAGCGGTAGAAATCTCCATAATTTCAAACATATTTCTTTTAAAAAGTGTTTGAATATCTTTACATTGAATGGAACTTCCTGTACAAATCAATAAATGTACATATATTCCGACTCATTTGACATATCGTGCAGTTTTTCACTTCAATTCAGTTCGTCTCCATTTTGAAATTTTATTTCGGGGGGGGGTGAATGCCTCTAGTCACTTGCTAAGCGTGCGCAGAAAGCGATGCGCAGTGACGAATCGCTTACGCTTTTGAGTCAGAAGTGAGACATCTGGGTGTTAATCTGTGCCGCGATACAAGGTGAAAAACTGTGTCCATCTCCCTCCCGATTTTTATGAAAATATTTTCAGCTTTCTGTACATATTTTTTGTTTTTCATATAAAATGGATGAAAGTGTTTCTCTTTTTCCCTGTTCAACAAATGGAAAGGACACATAGCTTCGTGCTCTGCGTCTGACGTTTTGAATGGCTTAATTCACTTATCGGGGGAATGATTTTTCTCATTCGGCTGTTATTTTATGGCATCCAGGTAAGCCGGTTTTTATAACAATTTCAGTTTTTTGCCTTTGGACTCGAATATAAACTGATTACCAAAGGCTCTGAGCCATATAAATCCATCAAAACTTATGGTACAAACAGCAAATATACTATTTTAGACCTTTGGTACATGTGCAATGTTATATACTCAAACAGACGAAACAGTCAAACTTTATCATTTTTCTTGACTTGTGTGGAGAAGGAATTAAATTCCTGGCAATGTCAATCTTTAAGTTTGGTCTATTTTGTTTTCATGATAACAAACAATAATGTAAATAGGTAAACCTTCCCCTCAGTGAGTCTATTAGATTCAAGCAATAATTACATGATCTAACTGACAAAAGTGCTGAGTGGGTGCTGATACAAAGTAATGCAAAGTAATTGCTGCAAACAGTGTAAATTTCAAGCTCTGATGATGGTGACTGTTAAAACCTAGTTAATATATTATCTTGTTTGCCTTGTCAAAATCAAATCAATTATCATGGCTTATATTAATTGATTTTTTAACTTCTTGCACCTTGTGAATAAATCTTGATTATATTTCCATTTATATTTTTCAGGATGAAGATGCTATGAAATAAAGCAAGCTAGAGATGGCTTATTAATTAATGAAATAAAGCAAACTAGAGATGGCTTATTAATTAATTGTCATGCAATTTGTGGGAACATTGAACTGAGATGTATTAAGCATATTATACACATTGTTATGAATCTGCATTGTTATCCTTGATTACCATGTTATCTGATTTTGTTTTGGCTGGTATTTTTAAAACCATTGTTATATTTATAAAGGAAATAAATATAAAATGCACTGTGTGCGCAATGTATCTTCAATCTGTAGCCACTTTTATAAGTTTCTGTTTATGGTATCAAATTTCAAGAGGGCTAAATTCAATGGGCTAATCAGGAGTAATTGAGTCTATGGAGGGATGAATATTATTTATTAATAAGACCAGGGGTCCAGGGGTGCAATTAGATAATATTGAAAACTTTTATAGCCCATTGAGGTACAATTAAGCTGATGACCTTAATGAGAAGTATATTATGCAAATATGACTCATGGTTGAAACTATACTCTTGCACTTAGTCAGCTGCCAAGCATCTTGCCCCTGAGCTTTGGCCTCTGTTTCTTTGGATTATACCTAGATATATTGTCCTGAAGACATTCAAAAAAACATTATTAATTGCATACTTTCAGTAATTCTGCAGTTCATGCAGGGTTTAAAAAAGTCTAATTGATGTCCATAAATATCCAGTTTTCCCCAAAATGTCCGACAATAGTGCCAAAAAGTTCAAGCATTTTTTATAGGAATGTATAAATAATGAAAATATAAAAAAAACACCTGTCAGTTCGTGTCAGAATTAAAATCTTCAATTTTGTCCACAATTTTTGAACGTTTTAATATATATTTGTTCTTGCGTTGGCAATAACAGCGTCTACGACTTGTATTCATTTAAAAAAAACGCTTTATATTTCAAAAAAATGCAATTAATGATGCTTTCATGACTTTATATTTTTTATAAAGTCATATGACTTTAAATTTTTTTATAAAGGCCAGGGGGAGAATCTGTTGTTTACTAAATCCAGGGGGGAGAACTCCCTTGTAGCGGGCTCATATTTGAGCCCGGTCAGTGGTAAATACCATGGCCAAAAGGAACCATGTGGCGTCAGCAGAGCTTCTGCGGTTGCGCAGAAGGGCGAAGTCCGCCATGTTTTTGGCGACAAAAAGATGGCGGCGAAGTTACCGAAAAATGACGAGCCGGTCCTCCAGGAATTATTATATAGCTCAGTGAAAGTTACCCAAATGTCATGGACGTTCAATGGTCATGGTACTTGTGCGCATGCGCGAAATGCGAACGAGTGTAGACTGGTAATCAGCAACTTCCTGATTGGCTAAGACGAAACGTTTGTGTTTCAGTGAAAAACGTCAGCAATTTAACTGTCATTTTGCAAACTATCTTTTAAAAAAATGTTTCGAAAACAAAATATGAAATGTGGAATCAAAAAACAGATAAAACACTGGGAAGAGTTTAAAATATTATCAGAACTGGAGGAATTAGCGGTGAGAAGGAACAACTCGATTATAATCCTTGAAATGGTAGGAGTCTATTTTGTTTATTTCGAGGTTTATTTCGTGTTTGCTGTACGAATACATTTTATGACCTTGGTGCAGTATGTCGTTTTGCTCCGTTTTGCGAAGACGTGACCGACTATTTAAGGCTTTACATCATCGTTTTAACTTCCAAAAGAGTCCTTAAGAGTGTAATTCGGAGTTTCAATATAACAAATATCACTTTAAAGGTTTATATATAGTCGACTGCAATCACTGCATGAATTTAATAATCGAAAAACAACATTCGACGTTCACTGCTTGGTTATTTATATTATTTGGGCTGCTTTGATGTTTTGAAGGTTTAGCTATAATGAAGTATTAACTCTCACTTAAACTGTGAAAGTCTATAACTTAATGCAACGGAAGGCAGCAGGAAAACGGGTGATTTCACTTCACATTTACGACTTTGTTTGTTTCCGAAATATTTGAAACATCAGCTATCGGCTTTACATTTAGGACATTTCATAATATTGAAGGTTAGGTCTGGCTAGATCAGGAAATATTTTGCTTCGTTTGAAATGGCGAGGGGTTGCTGCATGCATGTATTTCTAGTATATTTTCTAATACAGCGCCTGGGGACGAGGCTGGTTAGGTTCGTAAGTAGAATAAAGTTAATTCTGTTAATTCATTTTGTTATTTTACTGATATTACCAGCTACAGTGTGGTGAAGGAAACATCTGGAATCAGTCACAATTCAACTGCATTTATCGGCTGCGATAAATGAGTGGTAGGTCAATAGAAGCGATGTTAATCTAGAATTCATTGTAATGAAGAATTTATTAGTCAGCAAAATTCACTAGATAGGCTATCACAATACGATAATAAAACGATAAAATTCCGTAATACGAGATGTGTGGATTTTTTATGGCCTAACGGAAAACTACGCCTAATAAGGCTCGCGGAGCCTTTGTTATTAATATTCTGTTTCGTATTCACCGGATGTGACGTACGCTAATAGTGGTGACACTGATTGTCACTGGTGACACTGGCGGTTTACGAAACGGAAAATTGCGTCGCCGCCTTCGCGAAACTTACAACTCGTTTGGATAACTTAACTCAAACTGTGGAAATTAGAGGTTTTAATGAACAAATTAACCATGTGTGTTTTAAATTGCATGTCACTGCCACATAGCGTTGTTATAGTGCCTGTAAGCTTTGTAAATCTAACTAGTTAATTGTTACTGATTTTCTAGCAAGTTGCGCCCATTATTATAGACATGGGATGAGACATAACGGTGTCTAAACCATCGATCCTGATGGTCTAGGATCGTTTCAAGTCAGATGTGATATGAACACAGACAGGGGTGGCTGGACCGTGTTTCAAAGAAGAAAAGATGGAAGCTTTCAAGATTTCTTCCTTGGATGGTCAGACTATAAAGCAGGCTTTGGTGATCTTAACAGCGAGTTCTGGTTGGGCCTTGATAAAATACATCGTTTGTCCAAATCTGGTCAAAATATTCTAAGAGTTGATTTGATGGACTTCACTGGCGATAAACGTTACGCTAAATATGAAACATTTAGTGTGGCTGATGAATCTGACAAATACAGATTGAGTGTTGGCAGATACTCAGGTATAACAACTACACATCAGTTGGGTACATTTGGCAGTATCCAGAGGTTATTATAACATATAAGCTGGGGTTGCTACCACTTTTTCAAATTGTAAGAAAATTTTTGGAGATGGAAATTATGATATGGGTAGCTGTAGATATACAATTATTACTAATTTCCTTCTCCAGAAATTTCCGTACAATTTCAAAAAGTGGTAGCAACGCTAGCTTAGAATGACCCCTGGCAGGTTCTTCAAATGTCTTAGTTTCTTTCTATATATTAATGGCAACCCGACCTCCTTATGGGGACAGCTAATAATATACAAAAATCAGTTATGGAATCCTTGATTTGATAAGTATGATACTGTTTATTATAACTAATCTAATTAACGTTGTCCTTTAAAACCATTAATAATTAGACCCGATTCTAGTAATATTTAAATGAATTTAATTTTTGCGTGCTTCAGCAGTGCTGTGAATATACAGGGTGTCCCAAAAAAAATGAAAACTATTGAAATCACCCATAACAATGCCATTGTTAGAGTTTGATGGCCTAAGCACTCTGTTGGGCCCACAAGTGTATAAATCGGGGTTGCCATAAGCATTTTTATGCATGCATATGATGCAGTCAGATTTGCTTGTTCGCAAAAATGATATTTATTAACAATATTTACAATTTACAAATATGGATAACATTATTTAAATGTATGTGCATCTCAAGGACCATGACCTTCGACATGTCCCCTTTCTCTAGCAACACAAAGCATTTAGCATTTTATAAGTTGCATTAAATCCCCACGGGCTGAAATTCGTGAACACGGCATTCAAATTTTAACAATAGTTTTCGTTTTTTTGGGACACCCTGTACAGGGTGTATAAAAAAAAACATAAGCTCAATAGATTTTATGCCCCTGCCCCTGGGATTTTAAAATGGCTTCTAATCGTACAGTTCAACTGCTAATGGTCAAATTAATCAGCCAAACTAATAATGGTGCAGCTTACAACCGAACAACGAGCTTTTATTGTCGTGCATGATAACTTGAATGCTAACTGTCGACCTTGTAAAATAAATTGTAAATAAAATTTTACTCGTTAAATACTCTCATTTCAGCTCGTTGGTTTACGCACCCGACTTTGTTTACCGACGATTGTGCCGCTAGAATATGATTACAAGCTTTCTCGCATTCCAGGGGCCAAACGTCTTTTGTGTTGTAGAACAAAGAGGATATTCATGAATATTAAGTGGTTGCGTTTTTTTTTATACACCCTGTAGATCCGATAGTTCGAGAGGTGTCTAATTAATATGCATATACTCGTTCTGCCCGACGGATTTCCTTTGTAGGGCATAATTTTGCGTTCTCAGAAGACATCCACCGAGCTGGACTGCATATATACCTGCCAGTTGTCGCGCTAGTTGAAAACAAATTCAATGTATAGCTTCTAGGGTTTCGATGGTTATACTTATTCAGCCTTAATTGAATCTTTAAAAGGTGACGCAGGTGATTCTCTTTCTTATCACAATCAAAACCAATTATTCTCCACTAAGGACAATGACAATGATGAGTGGATCAGAAACTGTGCTGCGAGAGTGAAAGGAGCTTGGTGGTACAACGCATGCCATCAATCCAATGTCAATGGCCTATACTTGGGTAAAGGTCAGAATAGTGACACTGCAATGACATGGTCAAAATGGCAATCGTCCAAGCTAATACTAAGATATACCCTCTTTTATAATTAAAGCTTACCTATTACATATATCTATTAGTATGGAAGAAATCGCACAGCAATTCCTCGATGTTACAGGCATAGATACGTTTTGGCCAATTGGCCCTACGCTGTACGTTAGAGTTTGAACCAAAAGCGAATAGTAAATCGTTTTTAGAGGAAAATCGTATTTATCGGGTCCATTTTTTTGTGATAATTTTAGGGATTTTTCGAATCATCAAGTCAAATAAAATTATTCTGAAGGAAAATTAGTATTATTACGACGATGACCAGGTACGCTGAAACGGCGGGGATCAGTAGAAGCAGCCGCACCCCTTGCCTTTTACTAGCAAGGGCGAGGCAAAAATTGATTTTTTTCAAAACAAGTCAGAATTTTGTCAAAATATGGCTAAATTTCACTTGTAAAAACTCGAAAAACCCTCTAAAATGACTATAATAAAGTGGTAATTACACTTCGTGTCGTTCACTTTGGTGTAAAATCAAACTTGGGAGTGAGATTTTGTAATCACAAGTTTGATATCACACCAAATTGCACTCAGTTAGATTACCACTATATATCACCGGTAAAAAGTGCGACCGACGATCGTGACGAGTAGCACAATCGTTTGGTAAAAAGAATTTTTTGAGCAATCGTACCGAAGGCGAAGTTAATTTGAGTATATTGCGGCAAAAAATCTCCCTCTGTTCAGACTGTTCTACCATAAAACTAAGCTTAAAGAAACGTTCATCCATTACTTACTAGACCATCGATGAACGATTCCAGTTAAAAATTCTAAATAATGAAAAAAAAACTGCAGAAATACAAACGTTTTTCAATTATCGGTCACGATAATTTTGTCAGAAATCGGTCATTTTCTGCCGGGCACTTCCTAGCTAAACAAAACCACCCAAGCACAATTCCCAAGCACCCCCGCGCGCTTGGTTTTTAGCCGAGATCAATACTAAAGCGCCTGGGTACGAGCACAATGAGCTCGAGTATAAAATACTAAAATTGTACATGTATCTTTCAACGAAACGTCGGAAACGAAACAATTTTGATTGTAAAACTGTAAAAGCCAATCGCCTACGTGGAATAACTAACCGGGAGATGAATATCCCGTCATTTGAAATGACTACACAACTGCTGATTCGCTAGGTAAGTATTTCAACATTTTTCAAAACTTTTAGTATATAAATTATGCTGATAAAACACATTCATAAGTCTATGACTTTATCATATATTCTTCCAACACATACTAAAACTGGGAAGAATGATTAATTATAGCATAAAATTTATATCCTAGTGATTATACAGTCGACTGCTGTGTACCATAACGACCGTGTCAGGCGTTTTGTACAGTGTACACAGCCTATCATCAACTAGGCCACCCAGTCGACTGTATATAAACCGGCATGATATTTATAAATTTTATATTCTAATTCATGTTCCCAGTTCAGAACATGTGTCAGAAGAATAGAAAACGTATGAAGTAGGTATGTCAGTCAGTCATAGACATAAAAGAATAATATTTTCTATCAGTTTTTTGGATATGATCATATAACAGTATAAAGAATTAAGATATGAAATTGACAAAGGAATAAATGGCGTATGCCAAATTCATTTATTAATATTCTGTATCTGTTAATTTTCTGCATGTCTATATTGATTATCTGTGTCTATCTTCATACAGAATAAGTCCGGTTTATTGCCTAGATATTTTCCATTTCTCCATTACATGTAAAACAGTCACAAATATCTTACAGTATCATTCTTATATTATTAAATCATTGATTGTTTGAATAAAACCTTATTGTCGATAGCTCAAGCATTAGCATATTCCTGTCCAAATTGGTATGCCAAATATTCCAATTTAGATATGGTAACTTGTTTACAAATGTGAACAGTAATATAAACACAGGGCACACCATCTAGATGAACTATGTAGACAAAGCAGAATTGTGCATTTAGAAATTGCATGAATGGGAATTGGGAAATTATTTATTTGGTAAAAGAGTGCAAAAGAGCCCTTTTATATGAGCCATTGTATTTATACTAACAGACACACGATGCTTCAAGTCGAACAACCCATTTATATTTCTCTAAAGAGAAGAACTATGCAGATAATTTGTTTTGCCAGATGACTGTCTGTTTGCCCGTGTTTACCACAGACGAACTGGAAGACGAACGTGGGCAAGCAAAAGATAGTTCTTTTTATAGTTTGTCTGTGTCATGTGTGTGCTAGACAATTGAATGAACCGTCTCTGGTAGTAGTATGAATCAGACAAATTTTTCATATTGTACACACAAACCGATTTCATTTATTTCTGCAATTGCTAAAATGTTTGGCAGGCTTACTTATGACCAATTTTATACTTATCTGTCAGCAAATATGCTTTTAAATCCAAATCAATCTAATTTTCAGGCAAATATAGCACCCTTACCTCTTTATTAGAAGCAACTAATAATTGGTGTGTCAATATTGACAGAGGCCTTATTAATGGTGTTGTCTTTATTGATTTTAAAAAGGCTTTTGACACTGTTGACTATGAAATTTTGCTTGCTAAATTGCAAGCATATGGTGTAGATAACCTAACATGACTGTGGTTTAGGTCTTATTTAACTGATATTGCAAGCAAAGATGCCTTGTCAATGGTCAGTTTTCTGGTATTTCAACCATATCCAGAGGAGAATTCCTAGTTTTTAGTCTACATAAGTGACCTCCCTAACTGCCTGTATGATGGTGTGCCTAGGATGTTCACTGCTGATACTATAGTAGTCACAGTTTAACTGATCTCCAAAACCTTATGATTTCTAGCCTAATTAACTTAAATATATGGCTGATAAACAGATTACGTTTGAATATTGCTAAAACAGAGTTTATGATCATTGGTTCTTGCGGCGCATCAAAGGCTTTGAAATGATGACACATAATAAGAGCATCAGTTGTACTTGTTCCTTCTTTATATGAACATTGATCACATTTTATTATTTTTTTTAATACTGGTGAAATCTCTTTCTTAAGTATTATTACAGTCGAGTACATTCCATAAGAGGCTTCCTGGGGTATTGGGTTAAGGTTGGCTGTTTTCCATAGAATGGGGAACACATTGTTGTTCTGATGATATGTTGAATATCTTTGTTATGTATAACTGGAGCTAAATATTTTGCAAAATCTTTCCATAGCCAATATGGTATGCCATCTGGTACTGTCAATGTTTTCTTTTTCCAAAAACCTTTCTTCCAGAAACCTCTCTAACCTTTCTTAATTAGGCTTGTTAGTAACGCGTTCGTTGATACTTGGTTGGACTTTGGAAACTATCTTCTTTTCAAGGTTAAAGCATCGTTCGTAGTTGTAATCCATCGATAAATTTCAATCATACGATTAACGTAAGGCCTCGGGCGGTTTTTAGTAGGACCGAATCAGAATTTGGGATTTCTACTATGATCGATGCCAATTAGGGTAAAATGGAGAATCTAGGTTGCAATCTTTTGGTGGGCGCTCTACTGCAAACTTCTTGTATACAGATACGCTGTTGATCTGGACATGGCCATTTAGTAATTTTAATCTTTTGTACAATGAAAGGGATTTTCACCGGACCTTGTCTTTAATTGTCTGCTAATTGCTACTCAGTGTTTTCAAGATAGATGTCTCCCCAGCACAGATCTCGATTTTCTCTGCAGCCTCGCAAAGCGAACTGGGTAGTTTTATTCCACCAAAGAATGTCGACATTTGCATGGGAATTCAAAAGCCGCGTTTACACTTCAGGCCTAGACCTGGCCTGGACTAGGTCTAGGACAAGTCTAAATAATATGTGCCACGTTCACACTGTCTTCCTTGTTGCTGATATCCGATAGCCAAAGTAATGAACAAAATACTTGGAAAACGACCCGAAACACGCCGAAAAGTGGTAATGCTATATGTATCCTATACAAATCATACTATTAAGTTAAACATTTGCCAGGACTAGGTAAAGGTTGTTAACATTACCAAAATCTTGCCCCAGGTCAGGTCCAGGCCACCTTTTGCTGTTGGCCTGGATTTTGTGGCCTAGACCAGGTCAAGGCCTGGTCTAGGTCGGATAAACAACGTTCACATCTAGGCCTAGGCCTGGTCCAGGGCAAGTAAAAGTACGTAGTTTAAACGCGGCTTAAGTACCAGATGCAACACTTTGATACAGCAAATCTACTTCTTCATCAGTCAAGGATCGAGCAGCACTTGGTTTCCTTCCTTTGCCGAGGCTCTTTAGATCTTACTGTTTAGCTTTAAGAACTTGTCTTGATTTATTAAACAAAGGTGCTTCCGTTAGCTGTTCAGGGTAACATCTTTCCTTTTTCTAGCGGCAGAACGAGGCAAAGAAACTACGCAATGAAAGCGGAATTATTCAGTAACAATACCTCGTAGTGACTCGTCGATCGCACATCCTGAGCGAAATGTTCTTTGTTTCTTCGAAACAGTCATAGTTTTTAATCTTGTACAGTTACTGTACCTGATTCCCACTGTATATAGGGTGTTTAGAATTGTATTATTATCTTATTATTTTATAAGATAACGTTATGATAACAAACAATAAATCTCGCGCGCCTAGACCGCAAATGTTTTATCACGTGGTACATTTGAACAAATCAAGTGTGTTTCCGTTCGCGTGCAGCCAACAGTTTGAAACAAGCTACAAATATTTTTAGATGTCTTCTTTCTTCTCTGTTTAAAAATTGAATACAAATGTTTTTAGGAGCGAAAATGTCTGGTATACCGTGGGAAGACGAGGAAAGTCAAAACTACATTCGAGCGGAACATATCGTCACGGTTGCTGTAAAGAATGAATTAAGGAGTTTCTTTATTCAGGAATGGAACAAACGTTACCAGGCTTCTCCTGGAGAATGGGATGATACTAACGTAAGTGGTTCTCATTTGTGTAATTTTGAGAAATTGCGGGTAAGGCCAAATAAGACTATGCTCCAGACCAAATTTAAACATGGAGATACAAATGAGTGGGATTGTACTGTACTTTTCGATGCAATTCTTTATTCCCACTCTATTGGTGCAAGTCTTAATCCAACGCAAAAGACTGAAATCGATAATCTCAGAAAACTACGTAATGAAATAACTCATAAACCTGTAAAAACGCTCGATGAAACAGACTTTCAAATGAAGACAACAATTGTTGAAAATGCATTGAATGCACTGGGACTGTCAATCAATGAAGTCGTTCGAATAAAAAACCTCTTTGCATCGTTTAAAGTTCTTCCTCCCAAGCCAACTCATGAAGTCGTTTCCCGTTCTGACGAAGTACGCGAGATAAGAGAAAACCTTGAAAAGTTGCACAGTGATAGCAGCAGAAAACTCACATATTTCTACATCTCTGGGAATCCAGGCAGTGGAAAATCGCAACTCGCCAGACAAGTTTGTGAAGATATTTGCAATGATATCGATGCGAAGGACGAAGCGATGTTTTTAATGACATTGAATGGAAAAGACCTAGATTCTCTATTTTATTCGTATGAAGATTTCTGTCGTCGGGTAAATTGCAACGAAAGCGTATTAATTAATGTTTCAAGCTCTTCAAAACCAACTGATGAGAAGATCAAGGATTTGAGATCACAGATATCCAGCAGAATTAAGAATTGGAAAAAGTGGTGGATTATTGTGGATAATGTGGAAAATCTTGAGCTCATTTCCCCATTACTGCCTCTAATAGGCGACGAAGTTTGGAATAATGGTCAAATCATATTGACAACACAAAACACAAATGCGATTCCATCAGACGGCGTATCAACTAAGCATAATTCAATTAGTGTTGGTATGAGAGACCAAGACTGTCGCCAGCTTCTTAGTCTGTTATCAAAAACAAACGACAATAATGCATTACTAGATGAGGTGGCAAAGAAATTAGATCGTCAACCACTGGCATTGGCTGCGGCAGCCTTGTATATGAGACTAGTCATCGAAAGTTGCCCTGATTTTTCGTGGCGGGAATATTTAGATAAAATAGAAAAAGGTAAAAGAAAATCTACGGAAGAACGTCTTCGGAAGACAAATTCAGCAGCATATCCATTAACCATGACTACAGCCATGCGTTTAGCTGTTGAAAAATGCGCGGAATATGACACAATTCTTGACTATGCATTCAAACTTTTCTCTTTGATATCTTTTGAACCACTACCACTTGATCTCGTTGTTAAATTCATTCAACAACAAGACGAAGACATAGATACCGTGGATATAATTCTTGCAATACGTCAATGCTCGCTGTTTATTTATGTTGGAAAAAGCCAGAAGGATATTCGCCTTCATCGTGTTGTCCACGAAACAGTCAAAACATTTTGTCTTTTAACGGAATCAGAAATTGAAAATTTAACCAAGACTGGAATTTCAAATAAAGCGCAAAATATAAGAAGAATATTTCATGTTGTAAAAACATTGTATTCTTTCCAAAATAGGGAAGATAAAATTAAATTAATCCCTCACTTAAAAACATTTTACCCGGAAATTATCAAATTGTTACCAAAGGAAACGTTATATGAATTATATATAAGCATTGATAACAATGAAATCTGTGCAATGTATCGATTTTTCGCGGACACTCTACGTTACTATTCCGAGTTTAATCTCTCGATAGAATTTCTTCAAGTGGTACTGAGACTTTATTCAGAAAAATTAGGATCAGACCATGTTTACATTGCTGATTCTTATTGTGACCTGGGTACTGTGTACAATGATAAAGGTGATCAGGAACAAGCTAGTTATTTTCTTCATCAAGCACTGAAAATTGGATTAAAACAACCAGAAAGGGATAATGTTAACATTGCTCGTTATTACAACAACCTGGGTAGCTTTTACCGCAAGAAAGGTGATTTTAACAAAGCTAGAGAATGTTATGGGAAAGCATTGCAAATTAAATTGAAACAATTAGGGCCAGATAATATTGAAGTTGCGGATTCATACAACAATATAAGTACTGTGTGTTGTGATCCGGAACGTGCTGGTAATTATTATCAGCAGGCACTGGATATTTTTTTGAAACAATTAGGTCCCAACCACATAAAAGTTGCTGGCACCTACAACAACCTGGGTATGTTGTGTATTTATAAAGACAAATTAAGTGATGCTCGTACCAATTTTCTGCGAGCACTGACAATTCAAGAGGATCAATTAGGGCCAGATCATATTGATGTCGCTAGTTCATATGATAACCTGGGTGAAGTGTGTCTAAGAGAAAGTGATCTGCACCACGCCAAGGAATATTTTCAGAGGGCACTTGACATTCGATCGCGACAGATGGGGGCAAATCAAATTAGCGTTGCTACGTCTTACGACCACCTGGGTAGTTTGTGTCTCAAAAAAAGGGATATGGACTACGCCAGATATTTTCGTCAATTGGCATTTGGTATTATTTCGCAACAGACGAAACAAAAGAGCGTTGCCACTTCCAACAACCAACAGGGAATAGTGAGCTTCAAAGGAAGGGATCTAGACGACGCTAGAGATTATTTTCAACGGGCACTTGATATTCGATTGGTTAAGTTTGACCAAAATCATATTGATGTTGCTCGCTCATACGAAAACCTGGGAGAAGTTTGTCTTCGAGAAGGTGATATACCGCACGCCAGCAAGTATTTTCGACGGGTATATGATATGCAATTGGAAAAGTTTTGGGCAACTCAAATTGGCCCTGATGTTTTATTCGACTACCTGGGTAAAATATGTCTCAAAGGAAAGGATCTGGACCACGCTAGAGATTACTTTCAACTGGCACTTGATATTCGATTGAAAAATTTTGGGCGAAAACATTTTGACGTTGCTTCTTCCTACTACAACCTGGGTGCAGTGTGTTTTGAAAACGATGATATTGAAGATGCACACAAGCATTTTAAACTAGCCATGAAATGCCGTTAGAAATATTACAGCACACTCAAATGTGATTAGTATAGGTATATGTATAATGTATAATAGCATGGTTTCGAGTGTAATTTGCAAAAAACATGCACTAGTGAGTTTATCAAAAACTTCAATTCAATTTGAAGTCTTTGAAAAACTCACGAGTGCATGTTTTTTCCAAATTGCACGAGAATCTCTGCTATTATACCTATTAATAATATGCATTAATGATCACGGAGAATGCTTTACAGAGCACTAAACCTACTAACTTATGATGCCCTCTGGCGATCGGTAGGGATGGAGACGGTAACCGGCGTTGCGAACCTGCTTGACGATGCGAACGAGCTAGGCGCCGTTGATGTGAACAGTCTACGTGCTTGTCCTCGGTCTTGAATAACACATCGCATCTTGGACGTAAACGGAACCCTCTCCATCCCGTGATCACACAGTCACACGCGAGTCACATGATGTGAGGACACGTGGAAAGAAAGAACGAACAGTCAAGGACAAAGAAGAAAACTTACCTCGACAGAAGGAACCCGTACCTGATACGCTCAATAGAACGCCAAAAACCAATGACAACAATACACTGCTGATCTAGAAAAGGAACGAAAAAACGACTGACCCGAAAAAGTGCCATCCCCTGGTTGGAAAAATGTGGTGATCGGCGGTGAACATGGGGGACGGAAGGTGTGGCAAACGAACAGTTAACAACCGGCTAACTAGACGGCAAACTTTATATATACATACCAAGGGGTAGATACCTGCTGTATACAAACACCGATCATGCTATGCTGCGAGCATTTTCACTCCATTAAATTTCCTTTATTATGAGTAATAAAACATTAAAAAATTTAGAGGCACGTGCTACATAATTATGTGATAAATAATTTATTCAATTAACATAATTCATGCGCAGTCGTATGTTGTTTTCAAATCATGTCAAAATAGAACTGTTTCATGATTAGATTATTATTATTTATTATTATGTTTCATGATTAGATTATTATTATTGTATATTAGATTAGAGATTTCCTTTTTTCGGCACTGGGATTTCCTAGAATTTTTTTGTGTATATTATTATATGCGTAATTAACATATTATTATATGCGACATGCCTGAAAAAGAGGTTGGGGATAAAGTAGAGACTGTTTAGCACAGGCTGTTGATTTGTATTAGCGCACAGTAGCGTAGCCAGCTACGCCACTGTTCGAGCATGCACTTTTATTATTTCCTTAACTTTAACTACGGCCCTTTTTACCAACATAATTATAATCAGCGATGTTTTGCAGGGGGAACGCGGGGGAACGGCGTTCCCCTTGTGAAAATAGGTAGTTTACGATAAACGACACGCTTAGCTCGACGTCGCTAGTCAATTATTTTGCTTGAAATAAGCTACAGGAAATTGATTATGCTGCTAGGACTCTGAAATAATCATACAAACGTTTTAATTGTGCAGAGAACCTCCGATATCTAGCTGATATTGCAGTTTCATTTAAGCCATCGCGTTGCCGCTGCTTTCATGTCATTGAGAGGCCATGAAAATGCTTCGTTTGAAGGCGTCGCACGAATGACAACGCTGCCATGGACCACAAATTATGCATAGCTATTGTCTCGCGTGTGGAGTTTCTTTGTTTTGCAAGCGTCGTCGAGCTGGCTGCGTCGTGAATCGTAAACTCCCTAACCACTCGTGGTGGAACGGTGTTTCCCCAAACGATCGAGAATTATGCTGAGTATAAAACTCAGGAAACTTTTATAGCACTTTTACAAGTGTCTGAAGGTGGCTCGATACAGTATATTTAGTGCGCTCTTTCGCGTGGAAACATTAATAGCCTCGCGACATTTGTCTAGTTTTATTTTCGAACGCACTGCCAAAACCAGCGAGAAACACAAACATAAATGCTGCTATCAGAATCAGAACAGCATACGCGACGCGTGTTTGTTTCACGTGATGCGTGTTTTTGACCCCCCCGTGTTTTTGACACGTCATTAAAAAATACCATTTAAAATTTCTTCTAAGTAAAATAATGCACAAAAAAATTGGGGGTCACCGTGCTTCTTTTCCAACTATCCGAGGCAATTGGTCATTTAATTTTGGGGTGAATTTTGTACACGTATGTTGCCATACCAACGGACGATCTGTAACTAAAACTAATACGATTCAAAAGTAGAGATATCAAAATATATAAAAACCCGTTGTTTGAACGTGTCAAAGTAATGAATAAATGTATAAATTTCATCAAAATTTTGCGAAATGACAGTTATGCCTTGACGTTTCAAAACACAATTTTTTTTTTGTCTGGACCAATCAAGAGCTTAGTAATTCAGACTGGCGCATGCGCATAACGTAAAAGACCATGGCGTGAGGTCCATTATGGCGGACGACTTTGATTTCGCATTTGCACATCGTGGGTGTAAATATCCGAGCGGAATTAGTACCCTCGCACGTGTTCCGCACTGGCTCGGCGATTATAAAATTAAGTCGGTAAGTATAACGATTAACGCCCTCTCTAAAAGTGTCCTGATTTAAACCCATAAGATTTTGTATGCATAAAACTGCATGATGTAATCTGCGAGGATGCCCATATTTGTGACTAATTTGGCAGACTGAGTATAATGACCTTGGTGAGTATAATGACCTTGGTGAGTATAATAACCTTGGTGAGTATAATAACCTTGGTGAGTATAATGACCTTGTTGGGTATAACTTTAATTAAATGTCAGTATTCCTAAATTCAGGATCTTCTTTAACAATAGTTGGTTACAAAGCTTAAATTTTATGGAAATCACTATCCGGTTGATAGCGTTATCCGGCATTCATATACAACCGGCCCCTGCAACTATTATTAGTTATCCAAACGAGTGCTTTGTTTGTCTATGACGATTTTCATAAAAGAATAACGAGCGGGAAAAGGGGGTTAGATAGGAATTGTACAGGGGTAACGGTGCAAGAATCCGTAGAATTGAACAGAATAAAGAGTTTGGCAGCGGATACATCAACATTTCGACCATGCATCATCAAACCGTTACATCGGTTATCAAAGCAAAAAACCGTTACATCGTTTATCAAAGCAAAAAACCGTTACATCGTTTATCAAAGTGAAAGAACGATAATTTTTTTCCATGCAGTATACATGAAATAATATTCACGGAAAACTGCATGCGCTGGCAAACGTTTTATTCTGTACACTTCTGTCCACATTGTGCCCTGTTACCCCTATACAATTCGCACTTCCATTGGAACAATGAAGGTTTTTTGGTGTCAACAGAAATTTGTGAAAAGCAAGTCCCCTTGGAGAACGAAAGTAAGAAAAATTTTATAATCGTAATGTACAGTAGCTAGACCTTAGCTACTGTAATGTACACTAGCTAGAATATAAAAAATGAAGATGTGAAAGCCAGTTTTCTACCCGCCTATATATGTTATCGCATTTTCGTTCAGCTCAAAGCTGAGAATGAACTCACTAAAATGTAGGTATATTGCCAGTACTACTACTAAGGTTGTCAAACCGCATTTCAGAGCAATTAGACAATGGGATTTTTGAAATTCTTGATCTATTTTCCCCACCATACGTAATGGTGAATTGATGAAAGGTTAAAGTGTAAACATTCCACGCATATTTGATTCGTGGAATCGTTTTACCACTTAAGTGCAACACAAAACACAGCGGACGGTGTTGATCGCGCTGATATCACGAGCTTTACCTTGAATTTATCATCGTTGAATTTGATATCAGGTAAAAAGCATATGCTAAAAAGTAATAATCATTGTTCCTAAACATAGCATTCGTTAAACCGCTACAATGCTGGAGTTTTAGTCAGCAGATAGAAACTGTATATTCAAATGACGCAATAAGTTTGCGACTAAAGGCGTTTTCTGTTAAGTTATTGTTGCGTAAATAATCAGGGCCGTAGCTAGAAGCTTAATTTGGGGGCTGCATATTCATATATTCATCTTATGCCCAATTTCTTTTGTTAAGAAGTAACTGATTTCTATGATATGTTACATAAAAATATGAATATACACTCCCCCCAAGTTATATAAGCTGTCAAGCTAATGTCCTGTAGTTATTCTCGTCTATTTAATTATAGGGTACGAGGATAAGCGGTCTAGTCACAGTAAATATTTGAATTTTAGCGACACTAGCACGTAGGGTATATAAATGCGAATGATTTAGGAAATCGCAGTTTTATATGTGGTATAGTGGGCCCTTGCAAGTGCCTAGACTTTGCGTCTTAAAACCGGTTGTATGCAGGTCGTAGTTTGGTATAAAGCACTAGTGTAGGTGATATTCAAGAATACCCGTACACTGAGTGCTTGCGAACATTTTAAGGCTGGTCTGAAAAGGTAAAAGATATAGCTCAAACAAAGCAAATGAGATTTTAACAGCAACATAATAGACTTGATTTCAATCAACAGTTACTGTAATAAATATGAGAATGTCGACTGCATCTGTTTATACCCACATTATAATCTATTCCGGAACTGCTATGCGTATTCAGAAAATAAAAACATATGTCAGAAAATAAAAACATATGTCGATACATGATTGTTTAATAAATGCCCGTTATCATATGGTACATGATTTTTTAATAAATGCCCGTTATCAGTTGCATGCTATTTAATGCCTCCTATTATACAATGCGTGCCAGAATTTTATGCAAATCGATTTTTGTGGTGTGACCCTGGTTGTTTTCAATGAAAAATAATGAAAATTGGTCCGCTATATGGCAACACAAAAACATTTTGTATGTAAAATTTTAAACCGATCTGCCTAATAGTGGCAGATAAACAAACGGCGGCCATTTTTGTGACCTCTTGCCCAATTCAGCGTGCCAACTTTATATGCAACTCATTTAAAATATCTCAAATATGGACGGTGGAAAATAAAAACAATAATTACTTTAGGAATATTTAATTTGAAACAACAAGAATACACAACAACATCTTCAGTTTGCTTTCATAGTTGTGAATTGCGGTGCATTATCGCTCATGAAAACCATGTTTTTTTCCGAATGTCAAAGTCTTCTTTTTGAACCATGGAACGAGGTGCTCCTTTAGGAAGTCAATGTAGAATTTGGCTGTCATCTTGACTACTTCAGTGCGAGTCTGAATGGTCCAACCAATTCATTACCAACGATTCCCGCTTAAAACACAACACCACCACCCCCTTGCTGACGCCCAATGCGGTGAAGACCCTCCTTGCAGAACCATCCTCTCCTCCATCCATCAGGTCCATCGAGTGTCACAGGACACTTGTCGGTGAAAAGAACGGTTTGAAAATTTACCGTCATGTTATTTGTTGCCCAATCCATTCTCTTCTTCTTTTGGATATCTTTTTAAGGAGGGCGAACTTCCGGCTTTCCACATTTTCCAAACTTCCTCAGGATACGGCAACGAGTTGATTTTGGTACATCAAGAACGCTTTAAATACTTCTTTACCTCGGCGGACTTCCCTCTTGATCTGATTTATCGCTCGATGCGAGAAGGTGCGTGCTTCCGAATTTTTCTCTTATCAGAACGTCCATTGCAACGAGCGAGGTTAATGGCAATTGTTTTAATTGTGCGATGGCCACGGCCAATTCTTTTGCTATTTCCAAGGTAGATATTTTATTGTGAAGATCTACCCATGGATCGGTGTTCCTATATAACGTACGAAATCATTACTTTTCATTAAAAACTACCGGAGTTACAACACAAAAATTGATTTCCATATAATTTTGGCCCGCAGTGTAAATTATTCATTCATTTATTTATGTGTCTATTATATTAATGACAATCCCTATTCTAAAGTGATGATAATCACAGCCATAGGCCCATAATCGAATTTTATAAAATGACCTGACCTTTTGGCTTTTCTGGGACCGGTTGTATAAAACTCTTTAACTCCATTTTGCATAGTTAAATCCAATATCAGAAATACACAACTCTGATTGGCCAATTCTGTCCTTAGTTAACTAGCCTTTCATACAACTGGCCTGTGGGGTTTAAATATTTTGGGAGCAGATCGTGGATACATGCATGCGGTAGTTGCATGTAGGTTTTTTAAAATAGTGTTGTAACTAGTCGTGAAAAGTAAAGTGGTTAATACTGTGCAATATTCAAGACCGCTTAATTGGGGGTGTGTATCACCGGCCCTGACTATGATATTTGGGCGGTCTTCAGTTATAATTTACGGTACAAACAAATTGGTGTTTTAGTGTGAATATGTTTTGCTTAAAACTGTTGGTAATCAACGTCTTGATATCCTGGAACTCATTTGTCTCACCTGAAGTAAAGGTAAGATAATTGGAATCCTAATTGGCTAATTCCCAATTGTCTCCTCAGCATTGTCTATTTTAACATAGCCAACTCTCATCAAGTCTTCTCAATTCAGCCAAATTCCGAATTATCAGTTTAATATGATTAAAATTGATGCTCCTCATCTGAACGAATCAAAAAGAGTTTGTTGATGTATTTTACCAGAGTGTGGACATTCAAACAGGTTATGATCCTGGCTCGTGTAGCAAGAAGGAACGTGGTTTGTTAAAATTGATCAAAGATCGTTCCAACAATGATAAACTGTTAATTTGCGCAGAACAAAATGCAGTTTATGGCTGGAAAACAACGGACGGTAATGTTCGGAATGTGTAATTAGTGTTATGATAAAATTTCCCTTAATATTTCCTATGGTTCCCTTAATTCCTGAATGCTGATAGGTTTTTCCATCCGCTAATCAGTTGGACATCCATTTTAACTTAGGTTCAAATCCATCCGGCGAGTACTTCAACCCAGGCTACGACTGCACGGATATTCTAAACAGGAATTTTGAGGCTCGAGATGGATTTTATTGGATAGATTTGAATCGTGCTAAACCTAAGAGGGTTGGTGAATATAATTGAGTAGTATAGAGAAGGGGGGTTCTGGAGCAGGCGGTGCACGAGGCACCGCCGATGATGTCGTCGAGTCTTAAATATTTTAATTTATTCAGGTAATTCTAATATAGTTGAGATTTGCCGGTTTGTTACTCAGCATTTTTGGTTTATTTTCATGCGACTTCGCTACCGTTGATTTTCCCGAAGTTATGCGTGGTCTCCACGCAGGGTGAGAGTGTGACGTTATTAAACCGTAATTAAGTACACAGTAAGGATTTGCGAGAAAAATATTTTATTTGTCAGGTAATACACGTTTAGTATATCAACATTTTAATAGTAGCCTATGTTTCTTTCCATAGCATTAGGACTGTTTATTTTATTACATGATATTATAAGAATGTTTCTTTCAATCCTACTAGGACTGTTCGTTCATTTTAAGAGTTCATCTCTTAAATAATCTGAAGGGAACAGGTTTTTTATTTTTGTTTGTGATTACATTTGTCTCTCCAGCTATAACCCGTACGCTTCTACTTCAACTTTAGGACAATGTTGATAATATGCGTCGGCTGCCAAATGCTTCCCACAGGTCTCCAGCCATACTAGATTTTTTTATCAGTATTTGCGCTTTCGGGCATCCAAAACACTCCAAATTGATGGATGGAATGTTCAGGTTTTCGAGGAGATCCTTCTCGTAGTGCCCGCCTTTATACGCAATTGTTGAGTGTTCGTTTTTTCTTAAACGGCGGTAAAGGAGTGCAACAATTTTCTCCAACTCCGATATTGGCAAAGTATCAACTCCGGCAGGTACGTCAAAGGGGAGCTTGTGGATGTGTTTTTCTAAGTAACTACATGTCCGTTTCTCTTTTAGCGTTAAATTACTCCAACGCAGACCAATGTCAAAAAAGAAGGAGTTTGCAAAGACGTCACCAACTTTTAAAACACCTAGCTCCTTACATAAAAAGTTTCCACCAATAAGGTATCCGTCCATATCAATGATTGCGACAATATCTTCGAGAGAAATTTTGATTTTGATTTACCAAAATGTAAGTTCGTTGATCTTTTATATACTGTAACCTAATCCAATTTCCATCATGCATATATAGATATATTACAAAACGTCACAGGTGTAGCGCTACGGTGTGCGCTACGGTGTGCGCTACTCTCACGCGTGATGATGTGCGCACAAGCATTTGTTTACACACATTGTCAGTTGATGACTTTGTCCAAACGCGTTTATGCATACATTACTGGTAATAGGTTTTAATGACAGGACGAACCTGAACATGTTCGCCTCCAAACAAAGAGTAGCTTGCACATAAATATCGCACATCCAACAGATATTGCCCGAGAAAACACAGATCGAGTTGGGATTAAAAATGTTAGCCTATACTCGCGCGGTTCAGTTATACATAACCTTTGGGTGATGATGGAACGTGTGCAGACTCTTAAAGGCCTTGCCATTAAAACTGTGCTCTTAACGTTATCGGAGACTCGGAATGACTTCGACACTGAAAGACAAATAACTGAAAAGCTAATGTGGGTGACTGAGTTTCTGATAGAGGATGAAATAAATCCAAAGACACTGTTAACAAAATGTTTCTTATCCTCATGTTTCAAAGTTGGATTCCGCACAAAACGCAATCATAACTTCGAAGAGAAAAGCAAAGTGTTTCGTGTTTATTCAAACAAACCACCTATGTGACACAAGAAATACGGTTACCATATGAACGTCAAAAAAACAATCGAGTATTTAAATGTGCACACTCCGGACGCATGGTGTACGATCTATGATAATGACTGGTGGATAGAAGTCACCGACTGTATGCTGAGACGTGATCAGATGTTTCTGCTAGACTCGTTCATATTTCCCTCAAACATTAATTTCTACTTATTGATGATTGCACATTTCATCAAAATACAACAAACCGCAAGTTTAAGTGATTATAGAACAATAGTTAATCGTATCATAAATTACCATCTATTTAGTAGTCGTAAAGTACCTAAACTATATTAATCAAAATTATCTTTTCCTAATAATAATTGGCTCATTTTTTCGTGGGTCAGATATTTCATTAGGCCCGTTTGGGCCCTATATGGCCTTATATGGCACTATGAGGCCTGATGGCCCGATTGCTGACTTGGCGTCCTAACCCGCAAATATGGACAAATATTCCATTAAACATCTACGGGAGCAAGTAAAACAGGAAATGCAGGGAGAGAACGCACACCCTTGTTGGAATCGGATTTAATTAGTTGGAACACGAAGACCTTGCATGGACTCAGCTTGGAACAACTATCCGATTCCAACAAGGGTGTGCGTAGAGCCAAGCGGTAATTCTGCCAGGTTTGGCATGTGCTTGTAGGGGATCATTTTCTCTCGTATTAGTATTGGTAGAGCTGGTGAAGACGTTGGCAACTTTGTCATGTTGGCTTGTTCTCTCCCTGCATTTCCTGTTTTACTTGCTCCCGTAGATGTTTAATGGAATATTTGTCCATATTTGCGGGTTAGGACGCCAAGTCAGCAATCGGGCCATCGGGCCTAATAGTGCCATATAAGGCCATATAGGGCCCAAACGGGCCTAATAAAATATCTGACCCACGAAAAAATGAGCCAATTATTATTAGGAAAAGATAATTTTGATTAATATAGTTTAGGTACTTTACGACTACTAAATAGATGGTAATTTATGATACGATTAACTATTGTTCTATAATCACTTAAACTTGCGGTTTGTTGTATTTTGATGAAATGTGCAATCATCAATAAGTAGAAATTAATGTTTGAGGGAAATATGAACGAGTCTAGCAGAAACATCTGATCACGTCTCAGCATACAGTCGGTGACTTCTATCCACCAGTCATTATCATAGACCGTACACCATGCGTCCGGAGTGTGCACATTTAAATACTCGATTGTTTTTTTGACGTTCATATGGTAACCGTATTTCTTGTGTCACATAGGTGGTTTGTTTGAATAAACACGAAACACTTTACTTTTCTCTTCGAAGTTATGATTGCGTTTTGTGCGGAATCCAACTTTGAAACATGAGGATAAGAAACATTTTATTAACAGTGTCTTTGGATTTATTTCATCCTCTATCAGAAACTCAGTCACCCACATTAGCTTTTCAGTTATTTGTCTTTCAGTGTCGAAGTCATTCCGAGTCTCCGATAACGTTAAGAGCACAGTTTTAATGGCAAGGCCTTTAAGAGTCTGCACACGTTCCATCATCACCCAAAGGTTATGTATAACTGAACCGCGCGAGTATAGGCTAACATTTTTTAATCCCAACTCGATCTGTGTTTTCTCGGGCAATATCTGTTGGATGTGCGATATTTATGTGCAAGCTACTCTTTGTTTGGAGGCGAACATGTTCAGGTTCGTCCTGTCATTAAAACCTATTACCAGTAATGTATGCATAAACGCGTTTGGACAAAGTCATCAACTGACAATGTGTGTAAACAAATGCTTGTGCGCACATCATCACGCGTGAGAGTAGCGCACACCGTAGCGCACACCGTAGCGCTACACCTGTGACGTTTTGTAATTTATCTATATATGCATGATGGAAATTGGATTAGGTTACAGTCATATATAAAAGATCAACGAACTTACATTTTGGTAAATCAAAATCAAAATTTCTCTCGAAGATATTGTCGCAATCATTGATATGGACGGATACCTTATTGGTGGAAACTTTTTATGTAAGGAGCTAGGTGTTTTAAAAGTTGGTGACGTCTTTGCAAACTCCTTCTTTTTTGACATTGGTCTGCGTTGGAGTAATTTAACGCTAAAAGAGAAACGGACATGTAGTTACTTAGAAAAACACATCCACAAGCTCCCCTTTGACGTACCTGCCGGAGTTGATACTTTGCCAATATCGGAGTTGGAGAAAATTGTTGCACTCCTTTACCGCCGTTTAAGAAAAAACGAACACTCAACAATTGCGTATAAAGGCGGGCACTACGAGAAGGATCTCCTCGCAAACCTGAACATTCCCTCCATCAATTTGGAGTGTTTTGGATGCCCGAAAGCGCAAATACTGATAAAAAAATCTAGTATGGCTGGAGACCTGTGGGAAGCATTTGGCAGCCGACGCATATCAACATTGTCCTAAAGTTGAAGTAGAAGCGTACGGGTTATAGCTGGAGAGACAAATGTAATCACAACATCTGTTCCCTTCAGATTATTTAAGAGATGAACTCTTAAAATGAACGAACAGTCCTAGTAGGATTGAAAGAAACATTCTTATAATATCATGTAATAAAATAAACAGTCCTAATGCTATGGAAAGAAACATAGGCTAGTATTAAAATGTTGACATACTAAACGTGTATTACCTGACAAATAAAATATTTTTCTCGCAAATCCTTACTGTGTACTTAATTACGGTTTAATAACGCCACACTCTCACCCTGCGTGGAGACCACGCATAACTTCGGGAAAATCAACGGTAGCGAAGTCGCATGAAAATAAACCGAAAATGCTGAGTAACAAACCGGCAAAACTCAACTATATTAAAATTGCCTGAATAAATTAAAATATTTAAGACTCGACGACATCATCGGTGGTGCCTCGTGCACCGCCTGCACCGCCTGCTCCAGAACCCCCCTTCTCTATACTACTTAATTGGCTACAACTTCAATGCCAGGAATTTTGCTAAAAGAAGTAACTATTTGATTTTTTTTGTAGATCTATTGTGACATGACAACAGATGGAGGGGGATTTGCGTTGATTGGTAAACTCAACAGTTCTGTAACATGGAAAGTTCCGTCCAAAAACACAACAGTTGATCCATTTGGTAAATCTCAGTGGTCCAGTGATCTCGGTGACGCTCCTGTTCTTGATTTCAGAATACAAATATCCACAACTGAAAATTTTGAAAAAACCAAAGCTCACTGGTAATAATAGCACTATCGCATTGTTAGTAAAAATAATGAAAAACTCGCTTCAACCCTATACTATTCAATCAGTACGTATAACGAGTACGTAACAGAAGTCGGACAACTTGTACACCGCTTCCTAAAAAATTTTTAGCCTGTATGCCTAAGAAGATAAGTCTGACGGCTACATCTTTGATCCTTTTCTTGCAGGATTTATCGGCTGCGAAATACGCGTCCTTTAAAAAATATTATGATCATTAATCAGGGGGGTTGTGGACCCACATCACCGGGCATTGGCGACATCGCATATGTCCAAGATCTTGGAACTGAGAAAATTGTTGCAACAAACTTTCGCTGCTCACAGTTTGGAACATATCATCATTTTTTCCAAAAATCCGGATGGGTTTGTTCTCAAAGTTGCTGTTGTTGTTTACGTTTTCATTAGACGCAATCTGTTTACCTTTGTGTATTCTTTAGAGTTAGCACCATTGCACCAAGCACCATTGTTTACTGACTTATAGTTCCTAAATTACGTTTTCTTTTTAAGGCAATGATGAACGAATGCTTCGAAAAACAATGTCCCCAAGGTTTTGCATTTCACCCAAAGTATCCAATTCAAACTGACTCGTCAGGATCTTTTAGGTAATGGAGAACTATAATGAGTGCAGAAAAACTTACTAAACCTTTTTTCTTTTGAGACTTTTTTTTAAGATGACAAATTAATTGGTCGATACCAAATAAAATTAGTAGTTTTTTGTAGTATCGTCAAAAAGTAGTATTGTGCTTTCTACCAAAAATGTTACTGGGTTTACTATCATTGATTAACTGATTTCAATTTTTTTCATATTACCAGCTACAGTGTGGTTAGCAAAACATCAGGAATCAATTACAATTCAACCGCATTTATTGGCTGTGACAAAGGAGTGGTAGGTCATAACTTATAGTATAGAAGTATACTTATTAGTATAGAAGTGCTAGCATTCAGGGGTGTAACCAGAAGTCTAGAACGATAATTTGGGGGTGTTTATTCATACATTCAGTTCTATTGTAAGCTATTGCAGTTACAAAATATATCCGTGGGACAGAACTGATTATATAAATAAACACCTCCCTCCCCAATTATACATACATACATACATAAACAATTTATTTAATGACGCAATTCTCATCACCATTTAATTGATGTTCTTCCTGAGAAGTGTCAAAGCAATAAGACATATTTACAAAAATGAAGACATAAAAATTGATAAAAAAAAACAAGCAAAAAACTTTGAATAGAAGGTTTCTTGGAATGTCTCAGATAATATGTATTGAACAAACTAGGCTTCAAGATGCCCTTTAAAAGCACTTAAAGTAGTTGATAGCCTTGCATCTGTTGAGAGCGAATTCCATGTTACTGCTCCACTATACTTAAACGTTTTTTTTAAGATATTCGTTCTTAGGTGTAGGGATAATCAAATCAGTTTCCCTATTTCGTAATTGATAGTTATTTTGAATATCATTCATTCGAATAAAGGACACCTTTAGGTTGAGGGCAGTGTGGTTAGTTAATACTTTAGAATAGATTTAGTTTTCTTTTGTCTTTCTTCAATATGTTTCCAAGACTGAGCCTGGAAAATATCAGAGGAACGAGTTTCATAAGATGCCCCTGAAATAACTCTTGCAGCTCTGTTTTGAAGCTTTTGGGGCTTCAGCTATATCTTTAATAACCGGCATATTTGTTTACATTTTTTAAGCAAAGCCAATCAGAATGTCTAAATTTTAATGCTTCATGTAAAATGGTAGTGAATTTACCGTTTTACTGGAAGTAGTCAAAATTTATGCATTTTGATTGAGTTACTTAAAATGTAAACAAACTTCCTAATTGGTCTGAAACGAAATCATCCATTGTTCAATCGACCCCTTTTGTTTGCTCATGGCAGAACCCTAATTAAAAATTCGTCTAAATCTCCCGTTTTTTACATATTTCTTAGAGAAAAAATATTCAGGATCAATTAGGGAGACATTTAAGATTGCATCCGTTGGACTCTTTAATACAGGACAAATCGTTAATTTCTGTGTAGTGGACCACCTTATATGAGATAAAAAAGTAATCAAGGGTATTATCTTAAATTTTAGTGCTGCAGTTGTTTTAGTCCACCAGATAGCACAGACGATCTCTGTGGCACCGATTGTAAGGCAAAACCTGGCGCAAATGTGGTAAAGAATGTTTATTCATGGTTCTGGGTGAGATCATCTTCTCCAAAGAAAGTTTGGAACAAATGCATGGATTATAAAGTTTCTGAAGCGAACGGAGACGAGGTCTGGTACAAGTTGGTTGGTCAAAACGCTGTCCCTAAAAGAGTAAGTTGGGCTTATTATGCAAATAGAATTAAACTTATGACATTTTATAGCCTCGAAAAACTTTTTACCTGACATAATTCTACTCCTTGAAATGTAATTGTTAGCTTATCCAGCATAAAATATTTCATTTCCCTTAGGGTCGTTGTTCCTCCAAGGAACCACTTTTAAATGATGGGGTAAGTATTGCTATTCACGAATGAAAACATAACTACCACCTTGTTTAACAATTATTTGCCGAAGGCGAGGTGAATATCGCTGAACCGAGACGAAGTCGAGGTTTTTATTCAGCGATATTCACTGAGCCTAGGATGAATAATTGTTTTAGTATAATTACAAAGGTAATTTTTTGTAAAAACGAATCTGTTGTAGAAAATAAATGTTTTACAAACGTGAAACAAATATCTGGACAGTTTTACAGCGATTTATATAAAACATTTTTCGTAAAATAAAGTTGATAAGCGTTCTACAAATTCAAAGTAGTCTTTTACTTTGAAAATAATTTTAAGCCTAGCTTATTTTTTACTTCTTTTGTGCTTTCAGGTACAGTATTTTCGTTAAAATAACGTGTTTCTTGGCGAAAACAACACGCCGGCATAATGAAAAATCCGCTAATTTGATCCGGTGATTATCACGTATCAGTGAGCCTAAGCAAATGACGTTTTTGACAACACAAACGCCATGAGTAGCGTCAAAAGACTGGGTCATAAGTTGTGAATGGTTAAAAACAAAAACTTCACTTCCGGTTAACGTACGAGTTGTCAAAAACGTCACTTGCTTAAGCTCACTATTATCATATGGCAAGCGTCACTTCTGGTGTTATGAAGCTCAGTGATTGGCTGAGAACAATTTTCAGCCATCCATTACTTTCCCGTAATGGACCGGCACTTTCCCGTAATGGACCGGCGTTACCGGCGGCCATTACGAGATGAAAAACAGAGAAATTCTGAATGAAAAAGACACAAATAACATTTTCAAGAAAAATTTAATTGTTTTTGAAATTAATAAGACGTCTCCAGATAGTTAGGTAAACTAAATATTCAATATTTTGTTTTCGTTTTTATCAAATACGTACCAGGCTACTAATACGAATTCATGCATTTCTGGTTTGTTTCAAGTGCAAATACATGCCTTATTATGTGAGAGCGAAAATACACTTTTGGTTCTTATTGGGTTACACGCGTACGGTGTTTTTTATAGTAATAATTCCTATAAAATAAATTGATGCATATTTTAATTTACACTCTCTTTGTTAGCTAACTTTCCTAAACAAAGATAATTTGGACATAACTTTTTAAGAGGAGATTTTTTGCCCAAAATCGCTCAAAACTTAGCAACCAGGCCTTCGCTAAAATATGCTTCGCAGCCATTTTGAATTTACAAGTTTGGTAAAGTTTTCGTGTCGAGAGACCGAGCTGTTTTACTAACTTTTGGAGAATTTCAAAAGGCGAAAAGCTCCTGGAAATAAAGAAGAACATCAGGTGAGTGTTCCTTCAATTTTTTTAGTATTTTGAATGATTATAATTTTCCATGCGTACATTTTATTAGTGCGAAGGAGTGACACACAGTCACACACTAAAGTATAAACATATTGAAATATACTGATTAAGTTTGATTTTAGTGATTTAGAATTAACCTTGTGATAAATTAAAATTCTCAAATGTCAACGTATTTATTCCTAGGTCTCCAACACATATTGGAAAATATGAACAATAGTTTCAGATACTGGTCAGTAAACTACTAAACTCGCATAGTGGATGGTTATGTCACTTTAATATGTGTAGTAGCTTGAAGATACAATAATAAAAAAAGACCCTAAATAATCTATTTCAAGAAACAACACAAGAAAGAAAGAAAAAGTCAAACTATTTTCATTTATTTCAAGAACAACCGCCCTCTCTATTTTAACAGTGAATTCCTTGTGTGGTGGGTACATAATATGGGACATGTAGGACAATTGGTGGAACAATCATGGGACAATTTATTCCAAAATTATGCAGCTGTACATATAGTGTGATATATGTGTACATATAGCTGTACGTTATAATGTGACTTTGTTGTTAAAATATATCTTACTATATAAATAATTTCAATAAATAGTGTACTACACTTATACTGTAATAATTAGGAGGGAGTCTAAATACTTATGAATACTTATAATATAATTATAATACTCATATTTGTGAATACAGAGAAAATTTGATTTGAAACATCTGCATTGTTTTTTATGGTTAAACACAAGGAAATGTGATGTAATACATAATCCAAGCACATTTCTTTCAAGTGAAAAAAACCTAACAAAGCCACCTTAACTACATTGGCAACTACCAAAGTTATTGTGCCACTAGTTATTGTTTTCACAGCAACCCCTTATAAATATAATTGCCTAGGTACTTCTATTGTATCAATAATATTGTTAATACAGGTGCCACTTCATTTGGTATACTAATGCCTAAAGTAAATACACAACATATGGTTGATTTTAAAAATGTCAAAAAACGACCACGGACCTACCACCCAAATTTGAACAAAATTGTATTTTTTGCACTAAACTTAAGGTTTGCATAAAGTCCTATGGATTTTGTAATATGAACTAAGGAAGGTGTCTATATGGCTCAAAGTATCTCTATTCAAATTCTACTCAAGAAGTAGATAGCTATTCTGAAATGTCAGGTAAATATGTGCTGTGATAATTGGAAAATTACTTGATTTTGAAAATGTCAAAAAACGACCATGGACCTACCACCCAAATTTAAATCAAATTATACTTTTTGTAAACTACAATACCCAGGGTGTATTGCAAAATATGAATTAGTTTGATCGGAAACAGTATTGGTGTAATTTACCAGTGTTGAACATAGGTTTTAGCAATAGACTAATGTTTTAAGTTCATGTCAAATTAAGCAAAACCTCAGCAATTATTTTAGGTATATCTAATGTTTGGATTTTAAAACTAATGCATGCTTTTACATAAAATACATCTATTGCAAAAGAAAATCACGTACAATACAGTGTTTCCGTCTAATATTTAAGATATACGGTCAAAAATGCTGATTGTAATACATTTTTCCGATAGCAATTCCATTTTTAAATTGTTTGTAAAATAAGATGATATATTAATAAGATTAGGCACTAAAAGTTCTACGAAACTGCAATTTTTGAACACTGCGGATATGTCAAAGGATTACATTATATTTTATTCATTGTGATCACAGGCAGTTACCTAGCTAAAAAAACAGTAAAATGATAATCATACAATCCTAACTTCTATGAACTGCAATCATAGCGAACTCTTGTATAACATTCCGCCGTCCTTAATTATTTGGCAAACCGTGAATCCATTTTGTCTAGGAGTTTCATATCTTTAGATGATCACATGCTTTTTGTTTTCTGTTAATTTGCATAACTTTCCGAGAGTTATGGTTGTGAAAACGGCACCGAAACACTCATACTATTTGAAATCCGGCCGCCATGTTTACATGGAATTGCTTCTATCAACTTCCATACTCCAGGCTCCAGCAATCTGATTGGTTTTGAGCGCTCAATACGCGAGTTTGTAAAAAATCTCCTCTTAATTTCTTTTGCTTCGGCTTTAATAGATATATATCCTAGTCTTTTTTGGTTATGGAACGCTGGGTGAAAAATCCAGTGTACTAAAATTATAGTACTCAATTCTATACTTTTAGTGTATTTTTTTCAATTAGATTGTAGTTGTTCCTGACAATTTCACAGCTAGCAACATTCCCGAGGTTTCAGGGTTATTAAAATATCGCAAGGACAATCAGAAACTTTATGTGCGATCCAAAACTAGCTGGAATATGATTGCAGAGGAAAAAAAGGTACTTATCAGCATTAAGGATTTTCATTGTTTCACCATCAATAATTGCGGATTACGGGTCAATATATGCTCTTAAACTTGTTCTGACAGAATGTTTGAACTTGGAATGGCATTCAACATTTAAAAAATTTGAGCCCCACTCAGTGGCGTAGCCAGCCCGACAATTTAGTCATGCTATGCTAATATTTTGGTGTTCATCGACTGTGACAACACTGAATTTCTAAAGAAATGAATAATGATAATAACATAAAATTTGCATAGCATGACTAAGTCGTCAGGCTGGCTACGCCACTGGCCCCACTATTATAATATATTCGTAATCGTTCAATATGGAGACAATATAACAAGTTTTTAAAGAAATCAAAAGTAATATAAACTTATAATTCGCATAGGTTACGCTCCTTGTCACAGTCAGTGTGACCATTTTTAGCTTAATTATATAAGTTTCATATCTTCAATATGATGTGGAATGATTTTTCTAAAATTTCCTGGCAATGAAACAGAGCTATATCCTTAAATCCTTAATATACAAGCCTTTTCACTGACGCCATCGAGTTTTATCACATGTATATGCACAGACCAATAAAACCAATGTTTCGGTGATCGAAAAATAAATTAATGGGGAAATTTTAACAGGGAAATTTTAACAACGTGTAGGAAAAACCGCAGTTTACTCTGCAAAAAAGTTCATTGAATACTCACACCAAAAATGATATTTCAAAGCAAACCAACGAATTCATTGCAAAACCCATTATTGTAACACGTAATTAACTTCCACAAGGAGGTTTCGTGACCATTGCTCTATAAAGACGGACAAGAACGGCGGAAGATTGTTAGGTGGGGGAATAATATTCATATATTCACGTTCAGCATGATTATTTTCTTTTGAAATTGATTGTTTTTATGGTCTAACAAGAATATATAAATATTTGCCCCCGGCACTTAAAGATCTTCCGCCGTCCTTGAAGACTGTGATTCCCTGAACTGCAACTGTAGTATACTTTCCATTGCTATGAAATAAAAAACACAGCAAAAACGTCTGTACCTAACTTCTATGCTTTCTGTTTGTAGCTTGACCAACTCAAGGCCGCCCTCTCAAGACTCGAGTCGAAGCTTACGACACGTTTGGATGACTTAACTCAAGCTGTTAGAATAAAAGGTTCCAATTACCAAATACATTAAGTGGTGTTATTTTCAGTATTACTACACAGTTGCTACAGTTAAATTCTATACTGATAATTTTCACTGATTGTAGGAAGTTGCGCCCACCATTACAAATATGGAATGAGACATGATGGTGTTTACATTATTGATCCTGATGGCCTAGGATCGTTCAACGTTCGATGTGATATGACAACAAATGGAGGTGGTTGGAATGTGATTCAAAGAAGACAAGATGGAAGTCAAGATTTCTACCTTGGATGGTCAGAATATAAAGCAGGCTTTGGTGATCTTAACGGAGAGTTCTGGTTGGGACTTGATAAAATACATCGTTTGTCTAAATCTGGCCAAAATGTTCTAAGAATTGACTTGATGGATTTTAATGGCGCTGAACGTTACGCAAAATACGGAACGTTTAATGTAGCGGATGAAAGCGATAAATACAGATTGGGCATTGGCAGATATTCAGGTAACCACGCTCTTGTAATACATTCCCTAATCATCGCGCTAGTCTCGGTGTTGATGTTAAAAGAACGAAACTGCCTAAAGTTTCTAGCATAACAATTGAGCTGATAAACGGCTTAGGGCCGGGTCGACTTGACAACAAGCTGAGTTAATTACATCCATTGGCCGTGATTCCCGAAAACTGGGATTGATTTGTATTGGTGAAAATACTCTATTATGCTTTAGTGAATCCTGGTTTCCATTAGGTCGTGATTGCCGTGAACATGTCAAGGTAGCTAATGCAATAGAATATTTTACGCGTACTTTTATCTGAATAAAGAAAGAAGAATAACTTGCCCACGACAATTACGACAAAATGGAAACCAAGTTTTAGCGAGACATCAGCTTAGATATCGTAAACTTTTAATTGCAACTGATAATACACGTTGTATCAAAATGAAAATTTACTCTTGGCAAATTTCTTTTAGGCGGACGCGAACGCAACGTTAGGGCAATCTTTTAATACAAATCGTTTGAATTCGGTACAACAAGGTGGAATTTCGTTTTAAACTAGAATGCATATTTGTTTGCATTTCAGGCAAAGCCAATCAGAATGCCTACATTTTTGATACTTCATGTAAAATGGTAAATAGTAAAAGTTTCTTTACCGGAAGAAGTAAAAATTTATGCATTCTAATTGGGTTAATGAAAATGTAAACAAACTTGCTGATTGCATGGTCTCAAACAAAATTTCCCTTTTCCCTTTGTTCTGTACACCATTGCTTGACACAAGTCTAAAAATGGATCATAGTTTCAAAGTTTATCAAAGTTTCAGACTATTCGACTTTAACTGACTATTAGGCCTCTTAGGACTTTTTAGGCCGCGTTTACACTTCAGGGGCCGGTTGTTCAAAAGCCGGTTAACGTTAACCCTGCGAGCTAGGTGGGTTAACTTTTTAATCCTGGGTTAACTTCGATTCAAAATTGGTGAATCAGGAACAGAAACACATAGACACGTATAATTCGTCATGAAATAAACACTTTTGAAAGGTTTTACGAATAATTTTTACAGCAAAGAATTATTCAAGTTTGACTTCGTTCGGTTTCAGCTGATGTATTGATTTATTTATCTTCGCTTCAATGCAATACACGATAAATGAATACAACCGTACAAATTGAAACATCGTAATCGAAATATTTATTTCGGATGCCAAAATTCGACTCTTTTGATTGGCAGCAAGTGGTAAGGCTATGTTTGTTCCTGAATTTTGAATAATCAAAGAATGCTTTTAATTTTAAAATAGATTGTTTATAATTTGCTTGATTTTATTTCACATCGACATTGTTTATCATACAAAATGGCCCCTCATTTCGAATCTGACAATATATCCTCGTCTTTCGACTGACAATATATCCTCGTCTTTGGACTGACAATATATCCTCGCCGGGTAAAGTTTCGACGATCGTTTATTGACCGTTCTTATATCCAATTTAGTCCTTAAAATACATTTAATCTTAGGTAAAATATTTTAAACGTAGGTTAACTAGCCCTACCGCTAAACCTGCTTTGAACAACACAGTTTTAACCCAGGTTTAGCTAACCTAGGGTTCGGATTTTAACCCAGGTTTAGCACTAACCCAGGGTTAAATTTAACCTGCTTTTGAACAACTGGCCCCAGGTCTAGGACAAGTCCGGGTAATACGTGCTACGTTCACACTGTTTTCCTTGTTGACGATATCCGATAGCTTAAGTAATTGACAAAATACTTGGAAAAAGACCCAAAACACGTCGAAAAGTGGTAATACTATATGAATCCTATACAAATCATACTATTAATTCAAAATTTGTCAGGTTTCAGCAAGCGGGATCCCGTTTTAAGCGGGACGTTTTTTGTCATATAAACGGTCGATCTCGCTTGACCGTGACAATATTACGCTGACTTTGCATTATTTGATCAATGTCACTGAACAATATTGTATTTCCGGGAGAAATAGCCGTCCCGGGTATTCCCGGGAGAAAACATCCCCTTTGAAAAACAATCAAGTCTCGGCAAACGTCCCGTCCCGCCTCTCATATTAACTCTATATAAACAGGGCCTAAGTAACTTCCTGAGGGATATTGATAATGTAAATACAATATTTATAATGAAAGTAGTGCATCAAAAAATACTAGCTGTTACTGTTAATGTAAAAATATGCCTCCATCAACGCAAGCAAACTCAATTTTAATGATTAATTTTACGTGGTTACCGTCATGCAAAAAAACAATGTTAAAAAATGTTACGAGATTTTTGCTATTTTTTTTAAAGGTGACGCAGGTGATTCTCTTGCTTATCACAATCAAATGAAGTTCACTACCAAAGATAGTGACAATGGATGCTTGGGGTAGTGATTGTGCTCATGAAAACAAAGGAGCTTGGTGGTACAAAAGCTGTGATTATTCCAACCTCAATGGCCTGTACCTGAGTGCGGGTCAGAGTAGTGGCACAGGAATTGTTTGGTGGAAGTGGCAAAGGAATTATTCTTTGAAAAAGACGCAGATGAAGATTCGCATAAACCAGTTTTAAGATACTCCTGATAATAGAATCATCGAGAAACTTGATTAACTTCTTGCTTTGATGATCAAAATAAAACGATATGTAACTATGGTTGATTGTAAGTGACATGGGCCTAAACACAAGATATATTTCGGGTGGGGGGGGGGTGCACTAGGATAAAATTTGGTAGTGGTTTTAGGGAAAGCCAGATATACTCGTGCCCATTTCATCCGTGTTTGGCCTTTGTTTTGGTAGGTTAAACACTAATAACGCGTTAGGTTAGAAAGGCGTCTTTGATCTCTCGTAGGTTTCCCCTGCGTCGACAAGTAAAATAAAGCAATTAACTTAGGTAAGACATTAAGCAATGTTTGATTTGTGACGTGATTATAGCACAAGACAATTTTGGTGTGCTTCCTCCCTCTTCAAGCCCGTTTTCCACCTTTTCACTTGAAAAACCAGTACAACAAAGTAACTTGCGACAATACCTTTCAAAATCATATCATCAGCAAAAATCGCCAGTGTAAACGATCAGAATATCGGGCAACTTTGCGAGGGATCTGGTGGTAGACCGAAAAGTGGAGGACGCAAAGACGTTTTGTCGCGGTTGCAATTTGTAGCCTGGGGCCGGTTGTTCAAAAGCCGGTTATCTTAACGCAAGGTTAGCTTAAATTTTCACATCAATTTTTTTAATCGCAATTCTTAGTTTGTAAAGCCTTTAAACAAACAGCAGTGCAGAAGCATATAAACTCGCTCTTCGAGCTCGGTCGGTTCAAAAAGACCTCGGTCCGATATTTCTCGGTAAAGACCTCGCGCTCGGTTAGTAAGAAGTTATTAACGAAAACATATTTTTGAACGACTTAATGATTCTTGCTTGTCAGATGATCTTAATGTTATGTGGTCTCGATTGTTAACTAACCTTACACAAGTCCTAGATAAGCATGCACCTCTTAAGAAGAAACGTATAGGTAAAAAGAAGTCTCCACGAAGGATAACCTCGGCGGTTCTAAAAAAATGAGAGCAAAGGATTATTTAAAAAAGCAATATGACAAGACACGAAATACTCTTTACTGGGAACGATACAAAAATGCTCGTAATGAGGTAAATAATATTATAAAGCAAGCCAAATGTGAATACTTTAAAAACAGAATTGATTGGGTTTGGTAAAACATATCAGAACATGCGTGGCTTAGATATACGTGTGACAGAATGAATTAAACAATGATTTAAAAAATTTGAGCCCCACTCAGTGGCGTAGCCAGCCCGACAATTTAGTCATGCTATGCTAATATTTTGGTGTTCATCGACTGTGACAACACTGAATTTCTAAAGAAATGAATAATGATAATAACATAAAATTTGCATAGCATGACTAAGTCGTCAGGCTGGCTACGCCACTGGCCCCACTATTATAATATATTCGTAATCGTTCAATATGGAGACAATATAACAAGTTTTTAAAGAAATCAAAAGTAATATAAACTTATAATTCGCATAGGTTACGCTCCTTGTCACAGTCAGTGTGACCATTTTTAGCTTAATTATATAAGTTTCATATCTTCAATATGATGTGGAATGATTTTTCTAAAATTTCCTGGCAATGAAACAGAGCTATATCCTTAAATCCTTAATATACAAGCCTTTTCACTGACGCCATCGAGTTTTATCACATGTATATGCACAGACCAATAAAACCAATGTTTCGGTGATCGAAAATAAATTAATGGGGAAATTTTAACAGGGAAATTTTAACAACGTGTAGGAAAAACCGCAGTTTACTCTGCAAAAAAGTTCATTGAATACTCACACCAAAAATGATATTTCAAAGCAAACCAACGAATTCATTGCAAAACCCATTATTGTAACACGTAATTAACTTCCACAAGGAGGTTTCGTGACCATTGCTCTATAAAGACGGACAAGAACGGCGGAAGATTGTTAGGTGGGGGAATTATTCATATATTCACGTTCAGCATGATTATTTTCTTTTGAAATTGATTGTTTTTATGGTCTAACAAGAATATATAAATATTTGCCCCCGGCACTTAAAGATCTTCCGCCGTCCTTGAAGACTGTGATTCCCTGAACTGCAACTGTAGTATACTTTCCATTGCTATGAAATAAAAACACAGCAAAAACGTCTGTACCTAACTTCTATGCTTTCTGTTTGTAGCTTGACCAACTCAAGGCCGCCCTCTCAAGACTCGAGTCGAAGCTTACGACACGTTTGGATGACTTAACTCAAGCTGTTAGAATAAAAGGTTCCAATTACCAAATACATTAAGTGGTGTTATTTTCAGTATTACTACACAGTTGCTACAGTTAAATTCTATACTGATAATTTTCACTGATTGTAGGAAGTTGCGCCCACCATTACAAATATGGAATGAGACATGATGGTGTTTACATTATTGATCCTGATGGCCTAGGATCGTTCAACGTTCGATGTGATATGACAACAAATGGAGGTGGTTGGAATGTGATTCAAAGAAGACAAGATGGAAGTCAAGATTTCTACCTTGGATGGTCAGAATATAAAGCAGGCTTTGGTGATCTTAACGGAGAGTTCTGGTTGGGACTTGATAAAATACATCGTTTGTCTAAATCTGGCCAAAATGTTCTAAGAATTGACTTGATGGATTTTAATGGCGCTGAACGTTACGCAAAATACGGAACGTTTAATGTAGCGGATGAAAGCGATAAATACAGATTGGGCATTGGCAGATATTCAGGTAACCACGCTCTTGTAATACATTCCCTAATCATCGCGCTAGTCTCGGTGTTGATGTTAAAAGAACGAAACTGCCTAAGTTTCTAGCATAACAATTGAGCTGATAAACGGCTTAGGGCCGGGTCGACTTGACAACAAGCTGAGTTAATTACATCCATTGGCCGTGATTCCGAAAGGGATTGATTTGTATTGGTGAAAATACTCTATTATGCTTTAGTGAATCCTGGTTTCCATTAGGTCGTGATTGCCGTGAAATGTCAAGGTAGCTAATGCAATAGAATATTTTACGCGTACTTTTATCTGAATAAAGAAAGAAGAATAACTTGCCCACGACAATTACGACAAAATGGAAACCAGTTTTAGCGAGACATCAGCTTAGATATCGTAAACTTTTAATTGCAACTGATAATACACGTTGTATCAAAATGAAAATTTACTCTTGGCAAATTTCTTTAGGCGGACGCGAACGCAACGTTAGGGCAATCTTTTAATACAAATCGTTTGAATTCGGTACAACAAGGTGGAATTTCGTTTTAAACTAGAATGCATATTTGTTTGCATTTCAGGCAAAGCCAATCAGAATGCTACATTTTTGATACTTCATGTAAAATGGTAAATAGTAAAAGTTTCTTTACCGGAAGAAGTAAAAATTTATGCATTCTAATTGGGTTAATGAAAATGTAAACAAACTTGCTGATTGCATGGTCTCAAACAAATTTCCCTTTTCCCTTTGTTCTGTACACCATTGCTTGACACAAGTCTAAAAATGGATCATAGTTTCAAAGTTTATCAAAGTTTCAGACTATTCGACTTTAACTGACTATTAGGCCTCTTAGGACTTTTTAGGCCGCGTTTACACTTCAGGGGCCGGTTGTTCAAAAGCCGGTTAACGTTAACCCTGCGAGCTAGGTGGGTTAACTTTTTAATCCTGGTTAACTTCGATTCAAAATTGGTGAATCAGGAACAGAAACACATAGACACGTATAATTCGTCATGAAATAAAACTTTTGAAAGGTTTTACGAATAATTTTTACAGCAAAGAATTATTCAAGTTTGACTTCGTTCGGTTTCAGCTGATGTATTGATTTATTTATCTCGCTTCAATGCAATACACGATAAATGAATACACCGTACAAATTGAAACATCGTAATCGAAATATTTATTTCGGATGCCAAAATTCGACTCTTTTGATTGGCAGCAAGTGGTAAGGCTATGTTTGTTCCTGAATTTTGAATAATCAAAGAATGCTTTTAATTTTAAAATAGATTGTTTATAATTTGCTTGATTTTATTTCACATCGACATTGTTTATCATACAAATGGCCCCTCATTTCGAATCTGACAATATATCTCGTCTTTCGACTGACAATTATCCTCGTCTTTGGACTGACAATATATCTCGCGGGTAAAGTTTCGACGATCGTTTATTGACGGTTATATCCAATTTAGTCCTTAAAACATTTAATCTTAGGTAATATTTTAAACGTAGGTTAACTAGCTACGCTAACCTGCTTTGAACACACAGTTTTAACCCAGGTTTAGCTAACTAGGGTTCGGATTTTAACCAGGGTTTAGCACTAACCCAGGGTTAAATTTAACCTGCTTTTGAACAACTGGCCCCAGGTCTAGGACAAGTCCGGGTAATACGTGCTACGTTCACACTGTTTTCCTTGTTGACGATATCCGATAGCTTAAGTAATTGACAAAATACTTGGAAAAAGACCCAAAACACGTCGAAAAGTGGTAATACTATATGAATCCTATACAAATCATACTATTAATTCAAAATTTGTCAGGTTTCAGCAAGCGGGATCCCGTTTTAAGCGGGACGTTTTTTGTCATATAAACGGTCGATCTCGCTTGACCGTGACAATATTACGCTGACTTTGCATTATTTGATCAATGTCACTGAACAATATTGTATTTCCGGGAGAAATAGCCGTCCCGGGTATTCCCGGGAGAAAACATCCCCTTTGAAAAACAATCAAGTCTCGGCAAACGTCCCGTCCCGCCTCTCATATTAACTCTATATAAACAGGGCCTAAGTAACTTCCTGAGGGGATATTGATAATGTAAATACAATATTTATAATGAAAGTAGTGCATCAAAAAATACTAGCTGTTACTGTTAATGTAAAAATATGCCTCCATCAACGCAAGCAAACTCAATTTTAATGATTAATTTTACGTGGTTACCGTCATGCAAAAAAAACAATGTTAAAAAATGTTACGAGATTTTTGCTATTTTTTTTAAAGGTGACGCAGGTGATTCTCTTGCTTATCACAATCAAATGAAGTTCACTACCAAAGATAGTGACAATGATGCTTGGGGTAGTGATTGTGCTCATGAAAACAAAGGAGCTTGGTGGTACAAAAGCTGTGATTATTCCAACCTCAATGGCCTGTACCTGAGTGCGGGTCAGAGTAGTGGCACAGGAATTGTTTGGTGGAAGTGGCAAAGGAATTATTCTTTGAAAAAGACGCAGATGAAGATTCGCATAAACCAGTTTTAAGATACTCCTGATAATAGAATCATCGAGAAACTTGATTAACTTCTTGCTTTGATGATCAAAATAAAACGATATGTAACTATGGTTGATTGTAAGTGACATGGGCCTAAACACAAGATATATTTCGGGTGGGGGGGGGGTGCACTAGGATAAAATTTGGTAGTGGTTTTAGGGAAAGCCAGATATACTCGTGCCCATTTCATCCGTGTTTGGCCTTTGTTTTGGTAGGTTAAACACTAATAACGCGTTAGGTTAGAAAGGCGTCTTTGATCTCTCGTAGGTTTCCCTTGCGTCGACAAGTAAAATAAAGCAATTAACTTAGGTAAGACATTAAGCAATGTTTGATTTGTGACGTGATTATAGCACAAGACAATTTTGGTGTGCTTCCTCCCTCTTCAAGCCCGTTTTCCACCTTTTCACTTGAAAAACCAGTACAACAAAGTAACTTGCGACAATACCTTTCAAAATCATATCATCAGCAAAAATCGCCAGTGTAAACGATCAGAATATCGGGCAACTTTGCGAGGGATCTGGTGGTAGACCGAAAAGTGGAGGACGCAAAGACGTTTTGTCGCGGTTGCAATTTGTAGCCTGGGGCCGGTTGTTCAAAAGCCGGTTATCTTAACGCAAGGTTAGCTTAAATTTTCACATCAATTTTTTTAATCGCAATTCTTAGTTTGTAAAGCCTTTAAACAAACAGCAGTGCAGAAGCATATAAACTCGCTCTTCGAGCTCGGTCGGTTCAAAAAGACCTCGGTCCGATATTTCTCGGTAAAGACCTCGCGCTCGGTTAGTAAGAAGTTATTAACGAAAACATATTTTTGAACGACTTAATGATTCTTGCTTGTCAGATGATCTTAATGTTATGTGGTCTCGATTGTTAACTAACCTTACACAAGTCCTAGATAAGCATGCACCTCTTAAGAAGAAACGTATAGGTAAAAAGAAGTCTCCACGAAGGATAACCTCGGCGGTTCTAAAAAAATGAGAGCAAAGGATTATTTAAAAAAGCAATATGACAAGACACGAAATACTCTTTACTGGGAACGATACAAAAATGCTCGTAATGAGGTAAATAATATTATAAAGCAAGCCAAATGTGAATACTTTAAAAACAGAATTGATTGGGTTTGGTAAAACATATCAGAACATGCGTGGCTTAGATATACGTGTGACAGAATGAATTAAACAATGATTCCGACACCAACACCATGCACGCAATCAATGTTAATTCAATCTTTCGTTTAACACAAACATGTTTTTATAGAAGTAGAATGCATATGCATAATATTGTATAGTGGTTTTCTTTATTTTTTTTCATATATGACATTCAAACTTCCACTTATAAAATAAAGTTTGTGATTGTAAGTATATTTACGTTTTGGTGTCAGATTGAAAAAAGTGCTTTGTTTTTATGATGATTGTGTTTCAGACAGCCTAACTTACTTCACCTACTTATTATATCTAATTGATTCCTTAACTTGATTACACCTTGATTCACATCATTGATTAACATATATGATTGACGATAGTATGAACAGGATGTCGGTTCCAATTACAATCACGGTAGTTTTGTCATACATCCATCCAAATCAGCTTGAATGTGAGAGATCGATTTTATGTATTTATCAGTGCGAATGTACATTTTAAACATATCAAATTTCCAAGTGCCACACAACTCATCTCATCGTCGTCATGAATATTCTTACAATGCAGGAAATAAGTATAGTTAAATATACGTATAGGTATACCACGCCAGTTACTTTTGGTTATTTGGAACCTACGCCTAATAACCAAAACCAAAACCAAAAAACAAAACCTAATAACCTAATAGGAAAAAAACTAAAGAAAGCGAGAATGCTCTTGGTAATATATCGGCCACTGAAATGCAACACAGCGTGATAATGGGAATATAATTAGGCAATACTGCAATAATATCAAACTGATTTTTTAATTTAATGATTCCCTGTAGGGAATCAGGGCTGGTAATTTATATTTTCTTTCATGTGGAACGTAGCCATATGTCAGAGGAAAAGGACCTACGCATAAGATATTTAATCCTAAGAAAGCAAAGATGAGTCATGGTTCGAAAGGAGGCTAGAACAAAAGGCGAATATAGCTGGAGAAAAAATCCTTGAGAAAGTTCAAGTCCGTATTCTTTGAAATACAGATGTATACAAAATTCATTATTTTTACCTCAACGCAAGGCAGTTAGTGCTGATTCCATGTCCAAACGCCGACCTGACTATGTATGTTTCAATATCAGTGTATATATAGGGTGTACAGATGCACAGGTCTTTGCAGGTATATGCACGCGTCATAAACATTTCCGACAAGGACTTTTCAATGTATACGAATTGAGCAGCATGCAGGTAGATTAATGTCCACAGAAAATGTATTTTGTGGAAATGTTAATACTTCATCAAAAGGCATCGGTAATTACGAGCTGGCCTGCGCTATGCTATATAGCTATATAGGGTGCGAAAATGCATAAAATAGCTATATATGCATAAAAATAACGAATAAACATGCACAACGATAACTTTTGTTTCACCCGAAACGTTGTTATCAAATAACGCTGCATGTAATTATATACTGTATAGTATTTCCTCTGATATAGAAAGTTTTTAACGAATTTTACGTCTGTTAGAGAATGCGATCCGTGCATGTGGAACGTTTTCGTGTTGTTATTCGGCCTATAATGCAAGGTTTAGATACATGTGCGCGGTTTATACATTACTCATGCATCGTGCATTATTTCCGACATTTATATAACAACCATTGCTGGTAATTCGTTTAACATGCAAAACACATCTAATGCATATACATATAATATTGTCTTCAATTTTTTTTCATACATATACATTCAAACTTCCATTTTTTTACTGTAAGTATATTTATGTTTTCGTGTTGATGATGTCTAAGTGTATCGGGTCTATAAATTATAAAAATAAGTCGAGAAGTATAACGCCATCTCTATGCAATATTCGTATTTATATCTCATTTATCTGATCTATCCCATACGATTTTGCACGCACAATACTGCATCATGTAATCTGCACGAATGCCCATAATCGTGTTATCGTGCCTAAATTTGGAGGATAATATAAACCTGCACGATACTATCATTATCTTGGAATGAAAGAAACCATATTAAGTGATTGAATGGTTTTGAATTAGAAGTAGCTACTAAGGTAAATTCCGATTATAGAAATTTTCCTTCTCTAAACTATGCACTTTTGAAAAAATCTGTTGATACAAAATAAAATGCTTTTTGTTCCAATGGAAGTGCGGATACTAGGCTCTTGCATGCTGAGTATAATACCCTGACTATTATTAGCTATTGAAAAGAGTGCTTTGATCCTATGACGATTGTTTTGGTCTATAAGAATAGCGTGCGGATTGAATCGTATGCCTATATAGGGGTAACAGGGCGTAATGTGAACAGAAGCTAATGTACAGAATAAAACGTTTGCCAGTGCAAACATCAACATTTCCAACAATGCAAACCGTTACATCGCGTGTAAACTTCAACATAATTTTTTCTTGCACAATGCATGCACAATAATTATTTTGGTTTGGTAAAACACATCAGAGCATGCAGTGGCTAGATACGACATTAACAATGCTTCCGATAACAATCATTGCAGGTTAATTTACGTTAACACACGTTTTCATATAAATGCATATAAATACATAATATTGTGTAGTGGTTCTCTTTAATTTATTCATACATGTATACATTCAAACTTCCATTTATATATTATATAAAATAAAATTTACACTGTAAGTATATTTATGTTTTTCTCTCAGATTCGGAGTGTGTCGGCTCTAATGCCCTGACTATTATTATATAGCTATTGAAAAATGTGCTTTGTTTCCATGACGATTGTATTTGTCGAAGAATAGCGACGGGGGGGGAATGGCGTTGTATAAGTGTAACAGGGCAGTTATAGCAATAGAATTGCGCCGAATAAAGCGTTTGCAAGCGCACACATCAACATTTCCGCGACAATAAGAAGCATTTTAATAAAAATAATACATTTTATATATTCTCAGCTTTCGAAACGTTTCACTGATCAAAGCTCTGCATACTAATGTATCACTGAAATGCTACCATGCGTTATCACACATAATTCGATCTAAAATTTCACTCAGGAAGCAAGCTTATAGTAAGATAGATAATCGAAACAAGTACAAGTGCACACGTTGGGACGGAAAAAATAAAAAAACTATATTCAAATTCCAAGAAGGATCGCTATCAATCTATGATGCTCTTTATCATGAACAGTGGACTTCACTGAATGGAGGTTTGTGGTGAACAAATCGTATGTAGACTGCATTTTGAATCTTTACACTCTAAAATTTTTACCTAGACTGGATTTTGAATCTTTATACTTCTAAATTATCGATATGAACTTTATTTTCGGAAAAATGGAAAACACATAAAATTTGGCTGATTTTAGATGAAGTATAGTTCCCAACAAGATATGGTTATGAGCCAACCAATGCACATGCGGAAGCAGCTGCAATGCTCTGTCTGCAATGCATGATTCCGTTGATAACCTCGGCGTAAGCGACGGAGTTGAAAATTCGCCTAGGTTTGGGTTTTTTTTTTGTTTTTTTTTGTCGTCGCAAGTGTTTTTTGGCGCGATATATACTAGTATTTTAAAAGTGTATGTGACCGTATCTATCTGCGTCACAGTTTTGTCTCCCAAGATCGTGGGGCACAGCTCGAAATCTAATTTTCCGATGCGCGATTTAATTTCGCTCGCATGATACGGAAATTCCTCCAAGAGGAACAAATAAACCGTTCTTTTGATGCTGTTCGATTAATTGGGGTAAGAATATATTTAATACATATATAGATTCTGGTCCTATTGTAATATCGCTGCTATTTCGCAGTTTAACAAGATGTGGCCGTGTATGGGCGCGTTTACATGCACGTCGCAGTTTGCACAGGATTGAAGATTTTATATAAGCGCCAATTCCAAAGTGTAAGACAAAGTGAACGTATCATGCGGTTTATTCACATTTTTGAACAATTGAACTTCTATACTTTTTAAAGTACGATGTGCTTCTGAATTTTTCGATCGAACAACATTTCGGTTCGCTATAGGCATCTAAATGAATATGAACTGTATATTGTTTATGTTCAGAAGCTTTATATTCAAGACTGGCACGTGCGCGGCACGCCGGAGTTGACGCCAGAACAGGCGTCTTGTTGTATTTTAAAATAGAAACAAATAAAATCAAACACTGGATTTTTTTTATCTACGTTTTTATTATTAATCAAAGTAAACTGCATGGACATTTCATAACTGCCATTTCCATTTTATTTTCCAGGCGGGTTAATACTTTAGGCTGAAAAGAAAATTAAAGGTTAGCGCTGAAGTATTGTGGGAAGAACTAATTAAGAAAAGTCTTAAAGCTATTGTTCTTAATAAGGAATTTTACAAAATAGTGCCGGTACTAAAAATCGAACTAGGACCACCGACACAGAACTTGCGGATAAGTGTATTGATTTTTACTTTGTTCTTTCTGCATGATATCGTTCTCTTAAGGCCCGTTTACATTTTTGAAAATTTTCTGCGATTTTTATGTGCGATTTTCTTCTTTTGATAGATGGGAACGAGTGAATTAGTTAGTGATGTTCAAATAAGAGCATTTATACATAAGATTACTCGTAACTAATTACTCCTCCACATATGTAAAAAGGAGAAAATTGTACATAATTCGTCGCAAAAATCGCAAGTGCATGTAAACGGACCTTTAGGATAAAATTGTTAGGTTTAATTTTTCTCTAGAAAATTAAGGACGTGATGAAGTGAAAAAATTGTTTAGCATTATTCCATTAAGAAATACTTACCAACAGCAATGTTCGTTGCCAAAACAAATACCCGGACAGTCTTCTGTCCTACCAAAACAATCTATGCCTGAAGGCAGGCACATACCACGAAGATCATGCTGACAAAAGAGTACTGTAAGATTGAAACATACGGAAAGTATGTGAGAGATTTTTATGTATTTGCGGTTGCCGAATGTTAAATACTACTGCTTTCTTACAGGGCTTTCCAGTTGATCTTAGATCATGACATCATAAGGCGTCTTGACAAAACTAAGTTATCATACGCCTGGGGTTATTTGTCCTTATTCTTCAAACTAATATAGTATAGGGCGAGAAATTTAAGTTCTATTCACCGTTGGGAAAAAATAAGCGTGTTTTCGCCTAAATATAATAAAATTAATCGATATTTTCGAGTGTTGAAGTCATATGCAATGAAGGAAATAATAATTCAATTTTGTCGAAGATCTGGCTTCTGATTGGTTGATTTTTACACCGATATCAGCTAATTCCGTTACATTTCAAGTCGCGCACACAAGCAAGGGACATGTCGCAGTGCTCGGAAGCTTTTGTTCAATTGGCTAATGCTTTTCTATGCTTTCTAAAGAACGAAGCTATGCTATTGGTTGAAACAGATGTGTATTGTATAATATTAGTATGAGAATTTTATGTTGTTCATATATGGATAAGCTTTTCTATTATCCTTTTTTGCATGTTGACTGCTCAAGTTACTTACGCTTGATCTTAATTCATTCATCTAGTTAATATCAAGCAAAAGCCTCGTTCTTGTGTCTATCCATGCAATGTACATTCTACAACATTAAAACTCAATCTAAAAGGGAAGGTTAGGACACATTGAGTTCATGCCATGTTACTGTTTCAGAGCACAAAATATTTACATTTTTCATTAAATATTCACATCCAAAAATGTACATAGTTCTGATTGGAAAATAGCTTAATTTCAATCTTCTCATATAGAAGCCACATAGAATATCATAATTAATTTTAGATTAGATTGCAAATTGATTTGCATGTCTTTCATGAATATTATACAATCATGTATGAAAAATTAATGTCTCCTAGCATTTTCCATTTGTGTGTGGTGAAGTTGGATTTTTACTCATGCATGTAAAGAGTATATTGCATGCACGTGTATAGGTACAAGTTGCATTTGTTTATTGTAAATCCTTTGAATTCAAGTTCAAGATTCGAATAAAAAACATGTAGTTTTTGTTAGATTTAACATGGCAAAATAGGTGGTGTATTTTTGAATTGTATAGAAATAACACATCAATCATGCTTGTTTTCAAATCAGCTCAAGCTCGATATTTATAAAGAAAATCATTCGCGATTCAATCAATCACTTCTTTAACCTATAACGCATATATTTCTTGCAAAAAAACCAATCATTTACCGTTTATTTTTAAAATTTAGGCGCAAGAATGGAGATCGATAGAGCTAACTTTAAAATATCAACATGCAGAGCAATTTGCGTGGCGCGTGGAATGGCGTAGCAGGGGGACACCGCCGCGAGTTCCATGAGTGTATATATACCATTAAACTGCGACCGTTAACCGTGTTGTTGTTGAAATTCATGGCGCTGCATGTGAATGGAATTTTCTTCACACTTTATTGATTTAAAATGTATTGTTGTTCTGTTTGTATAATAAATTAAAGGGAAATATATAAGTAAAAAGATCAAAGGGTAAAGAGGAAATATATGACCTATATTACTAAAGTTTTTACAACAGGCTTCTTACGAAGACCCTGACTAAATAGCGTTACATCCTAATACCGTTAAATTATACCTTCTGCGGAATCACTTTTACGGCCATCAACCGCAGAATATGCGACAAAAAAAAGCAGGAACAGGCAAACATTCATACGGAAATCCATTTGGGTAGAGAATATAAATTATCTGAAATGAATAACACATAGATGAAAAGAATCAATATAATTAATGGAAACTCGGGATAGGAAACATTTATGCGATTAAGGTGGGTTAATTTAACTTAATATAGAATTGCCTGATTTTGTATAAAAAATTAAGATGACCTTCGTAATAGGTAGGATAAGGTTTACGTTCGATGCAGGAATTGTTGTAGTTCTTTGCAATAATTTCAAATTGAAATATTGATCAGACGAGCATTTCGCATTGGTTTTTCCAGTATAATAATATATATGTTCAAAAAAAAAATAGTGTGCTTTGTATATATATACATATATATATATATATTTATATATATATATATATATATATATATATATATATAATAATATATATATATATATATATATATATATATATATATATATATATATATATATTCATATATAATAATTTACCAGCCTGAACTTTGTTCTTTAAATTCAAGAAGTGAACTGTTATGGAAATGCAGGCATAGAAACAAATTTCTCTTAAGCAATATAATTACTTGATATAATCTGTATATATTTATATGTAATTTAACACTAGAGCTTTCCGTTTACGTCAAACATGTATATAGTATATATAACCTTGGCAACAACATAGCGCGACATTTAAATTCACCTGATGAGTGTGGCAAGCGTTAATTGCATGTTATACGAAACAAGTTTGTAGTGAATAATATCTTATGAAGTAAACCAAGTTTATTTTATTTTATCTTTATATATAAATATATATATATATATATATATATATATATATATATATATATAAATATATATATTATATATAATATATATATATATATATAAATATATATATATATATATATATATATATATATATATATATATATATATATATATATATATATATATATATATACACTGTATATCAGAGAGCCAAGTAGCTAAGAAACTGGAAAATATTCAAATGAATATCCTAACAATTCAAATGCAAGATGAAGCTTACCTCAGTTTGTAGTCTGAAACAGTAAAGATTTGAAAACTTCGCAGAGAAACTTCAGTTCGTCAATGACTGGGGTTGTGTTGACCCGAGTATACATGCTATTCGTGTGTCCAAAATGTCAAAATATTGCGGTTTAAGACTTCTGAAAAGGATATATCTTTCTCAGATGAACGCGTAGATGTCTGATATGTGTGTCTAGACTGTCGATTAACAATATCGATCCGTAACGTTCTTTCCGATAGCCATATTAACAAACTTGCCTCATGCAAACAAATGATAACTAGGTGAACAATGTCATTGAGCTCTATTGTGTGAATTGCATTGGAACTACAGGGTGTCTCAAAAAAATGAAAACTATTGAAATCACTCATTGTTAAAATTTGAATGCCGTGTTCACAAATTTCAGCCAGTGGGGATTTAATGCAACTGACAAAATGCTAAATGCTTTGTGTTGCTAGAGAAAGGGGACATGTCGAAGGTCATGGTCCTTGAGATGCACATTTAAGTATTGTTATCCATATTTGTAAATTGTAAATTTTGTTAATAAATATCATTTTTGCGTACAAGCAAATTTTACTGCATCATATGCATGCATAAAAATGCGTATGGCAAACATTTATACACCTGTGGGTCCCAACAGAGTGCTTAGGCATTCAAACTCTAACAATTGCATTGTTGTGGGTGATTTCAATAGTTTTCGTTTTTTTTTGAGACATCCTGTATAGAATGCATAAACTAGACTTTATACTGTTATCCTATATACTTAACCAATACTCCTATTTTCGCGATACGCTGGATTAATCTCTTCTCAAATGAATTGCCTTTACAGTCTGTTAATTAGATGCATGAATATATGAATATTTCCCTCCCGCAATTATCGATGGCTACGCCACTGAGTATTATAAGAATTTTTCTTAATATGAAGTATATCGAGTTATCATCTTCTTACATGAACGCTATAAACAAATGTAAATATATTCTTGTATGTTTGCATGGTGACATAAAATAAGTAAATTAGCCTAGCAGTAATAATTAAAATACTAACAAGGTGTACCTACACAAGCTTATTAACTTTATTTAAATGTATATATGATTGGAAATTTTCACTGCAGAAGAATATGCAGACGGAATACTTACAAAATTTTAGGGGTAGCAAGATTGACATCAAAATTATAAATCAGTGAAATTATGTATACAAATGACTTCTTCTGATGAACTTCGTGTTTGTATGAGGATCAATATAATGCTGGACGTGTAAATGCGTTTAAGTGTTTATGAGCGGGCTCACACAGCATTTCTCCGTGAATACAAGCTAGGCTATAAAAAATAAGCATACATCTGAAATTTTCACTGAACGAGAATATGTAGACGGCCGGAAAACATATTTGAAAGTAGGAATTTAATCTATATATAAATCAATGGTGATGCATCGAAATTTTTAGGACGAATTTCGTGTCTGTTTGAGAATGCGATCCGTGTGGGACGTTTTCGTATTTCGATTTTGCAACATTTTTCCATATAACGCAAGACCTGCATGTGGTTTAGATACGTATGGACGTTTTATACATTAGCATGATAACTTAATTAAGTTCCGGTAATTCAACTTTTCGTTTAACACAAACACGTCTAATGCACATACATATATATTGTAATTGTATAGCGCTTTTCTTCAATTTTTTCATATATATAAATTCAAACTTCGATAGGTATAAAATTTTTGAAAAGTTAAATTAGTCACGATTACGGGCATGCTCGCGCAGTTTTGTGCGTACAAAATCTGATACATGGGTTTAAATAAGGATATCGGAGAGGGCGTTATACTTATCGACTTATTTTTTATAATTTACAGCTGAGATACTCCGACATTTAAGACAAAAACATAAATATACTTGCAGTCAAAAACTTTATTTTATAAATGGAAGTTCGAATGTATATGTATGAAAAAAAATATTATGCAATAAAAATTATAATGTATCATGCATTGTACCTCTAAGATGTGTTTGTGTTAAACGACAGATTAAATTAACAAGGCAACGGTTATTAATTGTCGGAAATGCGTGCTAATGTGTATGGAACGTCCACACGTATCTAAAACACTGGTCTAGTGTTATATGAAAACATTTATGCCGACAACTTTATTACAACTCGAAAATGCCCCACACGGATCGTATTCTCAAACAGACCCGAAATTCATTGTCGAATACATTTCAAACAATAGATAATGAGATAAAAAGAAAGCCTAATGACGTTTATCACCTAATTATCGCCTAATTGTGATGCATGAATTGCATTCTTCGCGACCGATATGCGACTTATAAACTTACATTAACGTAGTGTAAATTTTGCAAATTACGAACCTATCCACTCCCAAAAAAGCATGAGATGACAAGCATGAACTTAGCAGGAACGATAATTCGTGGTGGGAGGGAGGGCATATTCTTGATCTTTTTAAATCGATTGGTTTTACAGTCTGTTAAAATGAATATATGCATGAATATGGCCCCCCAAATGATCAATGCTAGCTACGCCACTGCACTATAAGAGATAAGTAACGTGGGTTTAATGCGTTATAATTAGCGATGGTAGCAGGGAAATGACGAATAATAACGATAAATATATTAAAAGCGTCTTCATGCATCATCGTCACCTTAACCGTAATTTTTTTCCGCTCGCTCCGAGGAATAATTTAACATCATACCAACAACCATTTCACAATTGGGCAACCAGGCCGAGTTGCCGTCATTATTTTAGCGTAAACTATAGCATTACCGAGAACTTGGGAACGCAGTACGTAAATAAACAGAAGTATTGATATTAAATACTATAATAACTTATATTCCGAAAGGACACGCCACGTCACGCTATTACATGCATCATGCATGCGACATTTTTAAAAAGTGTCAAGTTTCAAAGTTCACCTGTTGACAATTCCATGGTTTTAAAAATCAGCAAACTATTTAACATAGAAAATAAAGAAGAAATATTACAGTATATAATCACACCGTTATTTAACAAAAGATGAAACATAATAATATTACTAAGAAAAGTTCGTTAATATGGCGATCGGAAAAACGTTAATAACCAATATTGTTAATTTACAACCAAGACACATATATCCGACACACAAATATTCAACTGCGTTATTTTTGACATAATAGACCCACGAATAGCATTTATCCTCGCGGGCAATGGAACTCTAAGTCATTGACGAACTGAAGTTTCTGCATGTGTGAAGTTTTAAAATCTTTACTGTTGTCAGACTACAAACTGGGGTAAGCTCCATCTTGTATTTCAATAGTTGGGATATTTATTCGAATAGTTTCCAGTTCTTAGCTACTTGGTGATCTGATATTATATATATTTAGTCAACACTTAGTTTAGTCGTTTCCCGTTGAGAATTAATCACACAAATTTTTATTTAAACATGTACTGCAAATTCCGATTCGGAATGCGTGTCTGATCAATAGCTTTTTATTTGAAAGCATTAAAGATATCAAATATTCCATGTAACTATTCCACTATTTCTATTTGAAATCATTGCAAAGAACAACAACAATTCTTGCATCCAACGTATATCCACACAGAAATGATAATGTGTGAGCACGCTCATAAACACTTGAGCGCATCTGCACGTCTTTATATTTATCCTATTCTCAGAGACTCAGACACATGCACACAAAGTTCGTCATAAGAAATCATTTTTATTTATGCATAACTGCACGGATTTATAATTTGCCGATTTTTAAATAAGTATTGAATTCCGTCTACATATTCTCCTGCAGTGAGCAGCATCCTAACCATATATTAAAATTTGTTGAGAGCTTATAAGTGAAAGTAAATGAGAACTTAATATTCTTCTAAACATTTCCCATGCTAATCAGTAAAATCTAGTTTATTAGTAAAATCGGTCACATTTTGGTCAGTTCAAATAAAATATATATTCAGATGATAATGATTAATAAAGCTTAATGTGGTTAATCACCTAATTATCATTTCTTTGAATTGCATTCGCTGCGACCAAAATGCAACTTATGCGAGACAGAAGTTATTAGTATTAAATTTTCATATGCATATATTCCTGAAAGGTGACGCGATTATGACAACATGCGACATTTCTAGAACTGTCAAGTTTCAACTTTCAACTCTTGACGATCCATGTTTTTGAATATCAGTAAACTATTTAGGAAAGAAAATAAAGAAGAAATACAAACTGTCTATTACCAGGATTTTACTAAATACTTTTAAATCTATGATCGGCATGTTTTATTATGACATGCAGACTCGCAGGATCTGATATTACTCAGGCAAGTTTGTTAATATGGCCATCGGAAAAAACGTTACTGATCGATATTGTCAATTGACAGCCGAGACACTCGTATCCGACAGAGTGATGTAAATATTCATATGAAAATAGATAGTTCCCAGTTTCTTAGTTACTTAATGATTTTCCCGTTTAGAGTAAATCACACAATTTTTTTATTTCAAAACTTATAAAAAACGGCCGGGAAATGCTTGTCAGGAATCAGTTGCACTCCAGGCAATCCAGAAAACGAACTTTTTGAAATACTTTCTAATTTAGTGCAAGACCAACAAAGTGCGGAGGCATCTTGCTCTTGAAACTTTGGATTTCAATTGACCGTTGTTCAACTATAGACATGCCGGACTTCGATTGTTTGATCAGACTGCATTAAGAAGAAACATTAACGCTAACTTGATTAATTACGAAGTATATCTGTTCATGTTCTGGCCATGATTGTCTATGGTTGTACGAATGCTAGATAGCGCTAACCACAGATTTTTTCGGTCATACCAAACAGCGGGAAATTTTAGAGTGATCGAAATAATGACTATCCGGTAGACAGCGCTATCCAGCTTTCGTACAATCGACCCCGGATCAATAGCTTTTTATTTGAAAGCAGATTTCAACTATTCGATGTACTGTAAATATTCCACTTTATCAATTTGAAATTATTGCAAAGAACTGCAGCAGTTCCTGCGTTTAACTTAAACCATATCCTACCTATTTCGCAGGTTATAATTTATACGCTTTTTGGTACAAATGCTGACAACAATTTAAAGATGATGTAAAGTCCGTTCCGCG